TTGGGAACCATGATCGAAGCAGAACCAATTAAATTGGACATGTGCGGTTGGGGTTCAAGCGACACTAACAGCGGCAACTCTGGACCACATACCTAACCGTTGCCCTGACCACAGCTTAGCCCTGACCACAACTGAAACCCTGACACCAATCCTGAACTGCCTCTCTCATCTTCACCCGCTTGATCTCGTTCTTCACCCTCGCTCCTCCTCCTATCTACTATTCCCTCGCAGGTTCTCCCTGCCTTACCCTCCATACACCCTTCTTCTCAGCCCTCTCATGGACGGACGCTCTGAAATATATGCTAACATTTTTTCGCCGAGGGGTGGCGGCAGTGACGGCGGCGCTGGACCAGCGGCGGTTGCCGGGTGAAGGCAGAAACGGCTCTCTCGAGCTACACTGCGAGGGCAAAAGCATGCCTGCACTCGTGCCCCTTCGCCTCCTCCTCCTCATCCTCCTCCTCCTCCTCCTCCTCCTCCTCCCCCTCCTCCTCCTCCTCCCCTTCCCCTCCTCTTCCTGAGACGAGTTAGCAGGAGGTGGATCCTGCCTCAATGGTGGAATACACTGCGCCGCCAGCGCTGGGCCAACAGGAACTCGCGCGGCCCCCGCAGGGGCAATCTCATCCCCAGCCAGAGCCTGCATGAATGGACTCTCACGTTCTTACACTGCTTCTCTGGAGGAACGTGAAGCGGCGTGAATCTGACTTTTCGGAGGTCCGCGCGGACCTCGGAGACCTTATGTTGGTGCCGTTTCTTGTGTTCATCGATTCTTACGAGCTGGACCTGCTGCGCCGACAGCCAGGCGTGCCCGTCACGTTCCCGCCCACCACTGGCCCTGGAGGCCACGTCGCCGCCGGTCGCCAGTTCCCTGGGCTCCTGTGGGGCCCTGTGCGTCCCTGCGCAGTTCGATTTTCCGGCATGGAAAGACCCCCACAGGACGTACCCAATCCGTTCTCGATTCGAGAAAGAGTTTGGATGTCCCCCCGCCCAACCCGGACGGAAAGAGACCGATGCGCATATGGTGGTTCAGGATCGTTGGTGTTGAATGCCAAATGAGATCATCTCTGGCAGGCCAGTATCGGCCTCCCACCACACACATATCCCTGTCGAAGAATACGATGCGGTGCACGTGAGTTGATATATGAAGAGTTCTTCCCTCAGAAAACATTGCAACAACAACTATGCGCGGCACATGCTGGCGCAGCCGCACGCGCACATGTCAAAATCGCTTCAAAGCCGTAAGGGTTCAAGCCACTAGCAGACATAGCTGTCTAACAAGCATGAACCGTTTTAACAGATGAGATTGTAATAACTCTGAGCGCGCGCAGCCAGTGAAATCACAAGACCTCTGATGGCGCTTGGCAATCTGGTCAAACGAAGCCATGCGGGCCACACGCGCCCGTCTCCGCGCTCGCACGCGGAAATCCCTCGAGATCCACTGGTGATGTCACCGATTCCAAAAAGAGATGCCCACGTGCATGCTGGAACCGAGCTGCTTTTCAACACAAGCGTCAGAAATCCCACCAGCCCTCGGGACGAAGATGGCTCGGAGGATCTCTTCTTTCATGACAACACCCCCACAACCATCCGAGAAGTTTTCTGAGCCTTCCTCGGAGACACAAAACACTTTTCAGGGGGCCGGAGGGCTTCTGAAAAGCCCCACCGCTCACTCGCCGCCGCCCTCAAACATCCCTTGCAACAGAAACCATAAGACGTGCATTTGGCACCAACATACGAATCATGCACGGACGCCTCGTGCTTACACAGATTGGTTTTTTGGTAGGGATGGCGGGATGGCCGGCAGAGTGCGTGCTGCGTGCAGGCCCTGCGTACCTGTCACAAAATGGCAAGACGTGGCCCATGCTGCCGAGGACAGGGTGGGTGGGGGGGGGGCAGTATACTGCCTGCTGTACGCAGGCCCACCGAACAAATGCAAAACCATCGTGGGCGGACACCCGCGCACAACAAACCCGCCGTCACTGTGCATTGTTTTTGACAGGGACGGACCTGGTGCGCGTGGCGCAGCCAGCATGTGCGGCACACCTCGCGGGCTTCGCGCACTTGGCTGAAGCTAGCTTTGGCTCCCGATGTTGGGAGGGCTGGTGGGAAGGCGCGAGACGGCATGTGACCCCTCAACCTACCCCCTCCCCTGAGTCTGGAGGGGAGGGGCCGCGAGGTGTTAGAGGGCCTCTTTGGGCCCAAGAAGGCTCCAAGAGGGCCTGGGAGAGCCGACGCTGACTTGCATAATGGCTCGGAATGGCTCATGATAGCTCAGGGTGTCTCCCCACACGCTCCAAGATGCTCCAAGGCCACGCCAAGACGGCTCCAAGTGGCCACGGAGCCTCCCACGGAAGCCACCAAGAGGCGAAACTCCTTCCATCACCTATGGAACGCCACTGTTTGTGTGCGTCTCGCCGGTTCGCGTTCGACGGCCCTCCGAGGCCTCAAGATGGCCCCACGAAGGCCCAAGACAGCCCCAACATGAGCCCAAGAGGGTATCAAGATGGCCCCAAGAGCTCCCGCGAGCACTCCAAGAGCTCTCCAAGAGGGACCCACGAGGCGATTTCAAGGGATCTAGATGGGGGCGCTACTTAAGGGCCAACCCTTACTTGATCTCCTCCAAGATGGCCACAAGATGGCGCCCAAGGCTCCCAAGAGTGCCCCAAGAGGGCCCCAGGAGGCCCCAAAGGGATCCACAGGAGGCTCCCAAGAGACCCCCGAGAGGCCATAAGAAGCTCCCCAGGCACCCAAGACGCTCCAAAAGGCCGCAAGGACGGCCAAGAAATTACGCCCCCAAGAGAACTCCAAGAAGCTCTCAAGGGATATCCGAAGAAATTCCAAGAGGCATCCAAGGGGTCTCTGGCCTTTCTGCTCGCCCTCCTGCTCCTCCTCCTCCTCCTCCTCCTCCTCCTCCTCCTGATCGGCCTACTCTTCTTCCTCCTCCTCCTCCTCCTCCTCCCTCCTCCTCCTCCCTCCTCCCTCCTCCCTCCTCCCTCCTCCCTCTCCCTTTCACCCTCTCTCCCTCCCTCCCTCTCCTCCTCTTCCTCCTCCTCCTCCTCCTCCTTCTCCTCCTCCTCCTCTTCCTCCTCCTCCTCCTCCTCATCATCATCAGCAGCATCAGCATCATCATCTGATTCCTCCTGCATCCTCTCCCCCTGGGTTATGACGGCTTCCCCAGCCCCTTGTTACACTACAGGCTCCTCAACATCCTCGATCAGAGCAACTCCCCTGGGCATCGTTTCTGGATGTGCTGGCGGGGTTAATTATGCGAAGTGTCTAATATCATTCGTTTGTGCGGGCGCGCACTTTCTCGACATCCTCATCAGCACGATCGTTATCATCATCGTCAGCGTCAACCGTGCAGCCGTCATCGTCCTCATCATTGCCACCGTCGTCATCAACGCCGCCGGCGTCCTCATCGTTATCGTCGATGTCGTCGCCCTAGTCAAATTCATGCCCGCGGACCCACCGTCATTATCATCACCGTCAGCCTCATCAAGGTCGTCACCATCGACGTCGCCGACATCGTCCTCATCACTACTGACAAAAAACCATCGGCATCAACAGCATCATCACTGTCATCGCCATCGTCGTTGGCAGCGCGGTCGTCAACAGTACCACCACCGTTTCGTGACCTGCAGGGCGGTCTTGTCTGCGCGATCGAGTTCCAAGCGCCCGTGCGCTAGTTGAGACCATGACCAGATGAGCGTTGCTAACAGGTTGCTGGGATGGCGGGATGAGGGTGGGAGGGTGGGATGTTTGCAGGAACATGGGAGATGATCGCGTACGCATGTTGCGCAGGGAGGAGATAGAACCGCATGTCTTGCGCCATGTACTGCACTCCATGGACTGCGCCCCGTGGATTGGGCTGCATAGTACGGGTGTCATTGAGGTATGGATTGCACCACGCAGCATGCACCATACATGTATTGCACCTCGTAGATCACAGCCACAGAATTTGCACCCCAGAGAATGTCTCTCATGGGCTGCAAAACATTCACCGTTTGAGGTTCACTCGCTGGCAGAACTGCGACTTTCACGCCCGCGGCGAGGGAGGAGACCCGCGGATGGGCGCACTAGAAGGAGGATGAATGTGAGGAGGAGGAGGAGGGGCAGGAGGAGGGGGAGGAGGAGGAAGAAGAGGGGGAGGAGGAGGAGAAGGACGGGGCGACCCATTGGCAGAACGTCAGGAGGAGAAGGAGGAGGAGGAGGAGTATGTAGTGCTCCGCGGGTGACCCGTCGCCACAGCACTCACCGAGGCCCGTGCTGGAGAGGAGGAGCAGGAGGAGAAGGAGGAGGAGGAGGAGGCTGCCTACCCTACCTTCGCGTTTCCCGCTGCGCGCAGGGCACGGCCCAGGCCGCAGAGCGCGATCAGATCCGCCCATCCTGCGGGAGACCTGCGCCAAAGGGGTGATCGAGTGTGGGCACGCTTTTGCTACTCCAGCCCGCAACAGACACCGACCTGCCACAACTGGAGGAGCTGTGCTCCAGTAAGGGGACACAAAGAAGTGGAACCCCTTCGTTTTCGACCCCGTGTTCCCACCCTCTCCTTCCCCCAAGACTCAACGTTGGCGTCTGGTCTGCTGGAGGTCTTGGGGCGTCCACTTGTTTTGTCCTTTCGAGCCTGTGCTCCCGAATGCCCAGGGTTAACTTTGCATAGAGGGGGGGACGGGGGGAGCGGAGCCAAGGGTTCCACCTTTTGTCCATCTACGGTCCCTACACCTCTGGGAGGACACCTCGTCCGCCTACACCACTCGAGAGAGAGAGAGAGAGATCCTGGGCACGGTGGCGCGTCCCCACAAGAGGGGGCACGGAGGCGTCCCCGCATCGACACGTAGCCCGTCACAGTCTCGGGAGACCATCTTTACTGCCGCAGGCTTCGGCCGACTTCCGCCGGCGGATCCGGCCAGAGATTCACCTCTGGGCCCCCTGAGAGCGAAGCCGTTCCTGGAGCACCTCAAGTGATTCCCCGATTGTGGCTGGTCTGCGGCCAACCCTCGCCCCTAGCAGTCGCAAGCCCCGGCGCTCACGAACAGCGCGGCGCTCGGCACGAGACCGGCCTCCCGCAGGGTCTGCGACTTGTCCGCGAACGCCCGGGGCCTCAGAGGGCTGCTGGGATGGGCTCGGGGTGTACACAAAAGCCGTCTGGGTGTATAGGCGCTATAGCTTCCCAACCGATGGGACGCTGGAGCTTGCACACACGGACATCCCTCGCCAACCCCTTGGCTCCTCTTCTGGGGAAGCTAAGAGGTACTGATACCGCTGCTCCCAGGACCTCTCCTGGGGGGGGTCTGACAAGACTTCCGAAGCGAAACCGACGGGCTTCCAAGGAGCCCCGCAAAGACGAAAACGTGGCGAGGGTAGCGGTACGTGTACCTTTTTCCCCGACCAAGCGACGCGGTGTATACATCGAGCCCCTTCCAGCAGCCAGAAACAGAAGGGCCGAGGCGGTGGGTCCAGGCCTGTGGCCCCCGCAGATTCACGCAGGCCTCCGACGTCCTGGTACATCAGCTCCGCGAATGACCCCAGAGCTCTCGGCCCCTGCCCCATTGCGCAGCTTCCGTCGTCGCGGGAATGTTTTCCTCCTCCTCCTCCTCATTAACTGTTACGGTTATTATTATCATCCTCCTCCTTATTCTCCTCCTCCTCCTCCTCCTCCTCCTCAGTGAAGGATGGCGACCCATGTCGACAGTGAAGGATGGCTGACATGCCCACAGGGGACTCGTCCATCCAGTCCGAAGGCCAGACGATTGGCACTGCTTTAATTCCATGTATACGCACTTCACTCCACCACCGTGGCTTGGAATCTGCATTCAGTCCGCCCAAACCTCTCGGCAAACGTCGTATTCAAGTCCAGGTTCGTCATCGGGCTCTCTCACAAAACGAAACCTCCTAACAACCAGGCGTGTATGAATTTCGTGCTCCTTCACAACGGTATTGGTTGCATCCCCTGCGATAGAATTACTTTCGTACAACAGCGTTTTACCAAACGTTGTTGGCAATATAGGCTTGACCATCATTGCTGCAATGCCAGCTGCTACTCTCTCGCACTGGCGTCCGTACCACACTTTAGATATCAAGACACAACAGATTCCCAATAGCCGCTCCCAGCGGGAAATGACGCCCTTACTTGTCTGGCGCTGGAACTGCAACTGCATGCACCACAACCCGGTGTGGCCGCTGTTCCTGCGCAGTGCCGTAGAGTGCCCCCCATGTACACTCAACCATGGTCTTTGGCAAATATGAGGACGTCTCCTTTGACGCTGCGTTGTCACTCGCTCGGCAAACTCAACGTGGCGTTTGTTTTCAAAGGTTAGTCGGCTCCTTAACTTCTTAGCCTCTCCCTTCCAATGGCGAAGGTTCATCTGACTAAGACGCAACTGGTGGTTTCTCTCTTTCAACAACTGTTCCAACCTCGTCACCCTGTCCTCCGCACGTGCCCCAAACTCCACAGGGGCCCAGCCACCCCTGCCTCTGCCTCTGCATCTGCCGCCTCTGCCGCTTCTACCGCCAGCAGGAGCAGCAACATGAACAACGGGCGCACGCGCAGTCGGTGTTGGTTTTGCATTATCCTGAATTTCCCTTTCTTCTATTATGTTCAGAATAAACAGAGAGACGGTCTTGATCTCAAGAGTTGCAAGCCCGAAAACACATCGTTCATCGTCAAAGAATGCCCATCACAACTCGCACGACCATCTCGATTCGCAACCATGTGAGAAACGATGCGCTGGGCATTCGAACGGATGCGTGCCTGCTGCTGTGGAATTAAACCACCAGGCATGCCGCAACAGATCGCAGTTGCACATTTAGCTAACAACTTCGTACCAAACCTGCATTGATCATCGACGATGACGGTGTACTTCTTCGCTGATGCAACGAGAACAGCTGTGTTTGACATGGTGGGGCCTCCACACAAGTGTCCCATATATCCGGAACGTCCCAGATATTCCGACATTCCTAAGAACATCAGAACGCGTGTCTCTTTTTCAAACACACGCGGGCCCCGATCAGGTCCACCAGGCACGTGAGCCGCAAACACCAGGCGCGTGAGCCGCAACGAGACACCTTTTCAAACACACGCGGGTCCCGATCAAGTCCACCAGGCGCGTGAGCCGCAAACACCAGGCGCGTGAGCCGCAAAGGGGCACCTTTTTTTGTGTGGTGCTGCCAGCGCAAGTGCGATAATCGCAAGAAGCAATGTTGCCAAACTCTGAGAATCTAATGTTGTACGCGACGAAAGCGCTAAAACCGAAGTAGGCGCGCAAAAGAAAAAAGCGAGATTCCAAAAACACATGCACATGGAAACGTGGGATCCTATATCGGCATGTCAAAAAAAACACAGAATTCGACGCGCGCGCGTCAAGGAAAAACGACATTCCGCAATGTCAAAAGACGCACCCCAAACAAAAAACAAACGCACAACCATGAAAAAGAAAGAGAGCGGACTGGATAACAAGCGTTGGCTACTTTTGACCTCCCCATCCGTGTGGGGGAGGGAGGAGGAAGGAGGAGGAGGCGGAGGGAGGAGGAGGAAGGAGGAAGGAGGAAGAGGAGGAGGAGGACGAGGAGGGAGGAAGGAGGATGATGAGGACAGAAGAGGAGGGAAGATTGGGGAAGGGGAAAGAGAGGGTTCAGGGGAACCTCCGCACCCATGTCCTCCTTGTGCGAGCGACGCCCACCTTGTGCACACGAGCAGCCGTGGATCGGACGGGGCACGAGAGAGAGTGCGCAGCGAAGCAAGGCAAGGCAAGGCAAGAACCGCGCCCTGACGGCGCATCGGCAGAAAATCCGCCGACCCTGTCGGCGTGTGGACTGGGTTGTTCGTCGCGGCTGTTGTCCTCGTACATACTCGTCGTCTCATTTTCTGGGTCCGTCGCAGCTCCCCCCTCTATCACTGGGCCCTCGTCCTCAAGCGCGCTAGCCCAAGCGAAATGAAGCAACCCAGCCAAAGCGAAATTTACAACGTTGTAATCGAGTCGAAGAAGCCCCTTCCCTTTGATCCCTTCCCCGCCGGGGGGGGGGTCCCGGGAGGGGTTCCGGGGGGGGGTCCCGGGGGGGGTCCCGGGTCAGAAACCCATCCCCCGCTTGCGGCTTTTACGGAGGGGCCCTTTATAGATGCGCTGGAGGAGGGGGGGGTCGCCACGACGGATCCGCAAGAGCGCCCCTAGACGGCCCAAGCCCCACAAGACAGCCCAAGAACGCCTAAGGACTGCCAAAGGGGGCCCCCGGACGGGTCAAAAGAGCCCCAAAAGGACTATCAAGAAGGCCCGGATAGCATATTCATTGATTTTCGGAAAGGCTTTGTCCCCGCTCTCTCCCTTCCATTTCCGTCGAGGGCCGAGGCCTCCAGAATTGGTTGCTCCTACTCGCTTCCTCTCGCTGCTCCCCCACTCCTCCTCTTTCTCCTCCTCCTCCTCCTCCACCTCCGCATTCCTCTCGCTGCTCCCCCACTCATCTTCCTCCTCCTCCGCGTTCGCCTCCTCTTCCTCCTCCTCCTCCTCCTCCTCCTCCTCCTCCTCCTCCTCCTCCTCCTCCTCCTCCTCCCCCCCCTCCCCCTCCAGCTCCTCCCTGCTGCTCCTACCCACTTTCTCTGCTCCCATAACCACCCCTTCTCTCTGCTCCTTCCCGCCTCGTCGTTCTCCTTGGTTGCTCCCACCCGCTCCTTCTCACATTGGATCGAAAGAACAGCCCTTCCTTGTCATCCCTTTCCCGCGTTGAGGAAGGGCGGCGGGTCCCGGAACCGTACCGGGCCAGGTCCCGGAAGCAATCCCAGGAGAGGTCCCGGATCAGAATACCACCCTCCTTGGTTGCTCCTACTCCCTCCCCCTCGCTGCCCCCGCTTTTCCTCCTCCTCCTCCTCCTCCTCCTCCTCCGTATCCGCCTCATCTTCCTCTTCCTCCTCTTTCTCCTCCCCCTCCTCCTCCAGCTCGTCCCTGCTCCCACCCCCTCTCTCGCTGCTCCCCCCCCGTCGTCGTCCTCCTTGGTTGCTTCCGCCCACTCCCTCTCACATTGAATCGAAGGGAAGCCCCTTCCTTTTCATCCCTTGCCCGCGGGTTAGGGGGAGAATGCCAGCGGGGACGCCGCCCAGATACGTTTCCCGTGCGTGCGGGGGGGCCGCCTGGCCATAGAGGGGAGGGGCCGATCTCTGGAAGGCCGTTTGCCATCTCGTGGGGCGCATCCTTTACTTCCGCCAACTTCCGCTGGCCTTCCGCCATCTTCCGCCGGCGGAGCCGTCCTCGTTTCACTTCCACCGCCTTGCGCCGCCCGCCGCCCTTCCGCCGTCTTCCGCCGCGGAAGAAATGGCCACTCCTTCGATCCTCGAAGGCGAGGCCCTTTCTGGAGAGCACCTCGCCCCATGTGCATCCAGCGGAAACAAACACAAACAAGAAGATCTCGCCCTGGTAGGGCCAGTCGCGTGCATTCACCTTCGTGGGCCTACGAACCCCCATTGCCAGACCGGCGGCCCGACCGAGCCCCCACCGAGGCTTCCGCGAGATCTCTGGGGCTCAGGATCTGGGGCTCAGGCTCTGGGGCGGCCCCCCGCGTCGTCGTGCCACCACGGGGAACGCTGAACGCAAGTGAAGAGGGGCTTTTCTGGCCACGGCGAGCTCCGCCACGAAGAGGGCCCCCGACCTGGACCCGAGGAGCGGCCCCACAAGCCCAAAGCCCCCTCCTGAGCCCGAAGTGGTGCTCGTACTCCGGCGTCTCGACTGCGAGACGTGCCGACCGGCGAATGAAGGTCCTCTGAGCACGGGGCGGGAAGGCCGAGCGCAGACACCACTGGCGCCCGTCGTCACCAGCACCTCGGGCAAGGCTGGCGGCACAGTGCGTCCGACAAAGCCCCTTCCTGCACGCTCGCCACCTTCATCTCTCTGACCTCATATCCCACTGTCCTCATGATCCGCCTCCGCCTCGCCATACTCCTCCCCCTCATTTGTTGTGTGCTCCCCTTCTTTCTCCTCCTCTCCTCGTCCTCGCACTCCTACCCCTCTCGCATTTCCTCCTGCGCCGCCTCCCCGTTGCGGCAACGGGCACGGGCCCTCACGGCTGGCGAATCGAACGGGGACACGGCACAGCGAATTTCGCTCATGCGCGAGGGGAGCGGCAGCAGGAGAGAGGGCGGCCGCAAACGCGGGGAACGGACAGAGGGCCCCGAGGGCGACGAGGCGCCGCCGGGTGGGCCGCGGCCCAAATGCACAGTGCAACGGGCGAGTGCCGGGCGCCAACCCGCACGGACGCCGTTCCTCTGCCGCGAGTGTGAGGGATGGTTGCGACACAGGGCAGAATGCCAGGGCCGCAGGCCGCAATAAAGAACAGAGGCATCCGTCATCCACGCGTCCAGCCAGCAGGCACCAACAGCCAGCTGCTCGCGAGCGTCCGGGAAGAGCTGGTCTCGATTCGCACGTGCACACTGCTTTTGCTGCTGTGGTTGCGTATGCTTGCCCCGCTTTCTGCCATGGGGAGGGCACCCGATGCTGGACAGGAGAGTGCGTTTCCTCGATATCCCTCTATGGCCAGGGACCTCCTGCTCAAGCCTCCAATCTCGTTTTCGATCGCCCGAGCCAGCAGCTGCACTCGAACGAGAGCTTGCGATGCTGCATGGTGTGCCGCAGAGGCTCCCGGCGGAGGCCTTCGGCGGCCCTCGGAGCAGGCTCGCGCAATGATAGAACTGGCCCTTCACGCCTGGGTCACCCAGCTTCGCGCATCGCGCCCCGCGATGCGCGACGCGCACCGGTCTGCGCGCCCCCCGCGAGGCCGCCCTGGAGAAGGGCACCTCTCAAGCCCAGGCCTCGACGAGCCGAGCGCGATGATCTTCGCCCTGAGGGGGGGGGGGGACCATGGTTCGGGGAGACGTAAGACCCGGGTACGGGGGACTCGGAAATCCCCGACGAGGTCGTCAAAAAAATGACGAGGCCGAGCCTGCATTTTGACGAGGCCTCCCGCTGCAGACATCCCACGAAACTCCTCCTCGTCAAAATCCGAGGCGCGGTCGTCAAAAAACGATGGCGAACCCGAGTCCCGGCAAACCCGGGTCTTACGCTCCCCCGAATGGTGCACGGCTGGCGCCGTCCGGCCACCACGGTCCTTCCGCACCTCCCCCGCAGCAGCGGCCCGACGCAGCGGCCGGCGGCCTCCGAGGGCGGCGCGGGCCACGCCGTGCTCCGCGCGCCAGCGGCCCAGGGCCTCCCAGAGCGCGCCCACGGTGGCGTCGGGCTCCATGCGCAGGAGCACCCGCTGCCCCCCCTCCAGCTTGACCTGAGGGAGGGAGGGGGAGGAGGAGGAGGAGGAGGAGGAGGAGGAGGAGGAGGAGGAGGAGGAGGAGGAGGAGGACGTCAGGCTCCACGAGCGACGAACGTATCTGCACCCGCGCCCTCACCACCTGGGGCACGGAGGCGAGATGCCGTGGGTGCGTGATCGCGTGGATACGTTCCGCGCGGGGTATCCTCGCAAAGCCGCCGCGTTCCCACGGGGCCGCTGCCGAGGAGCCGAAACCGCGAGGCCGTGGATGTGGGCGTTGTGCTGACCGCCCACGAGGATTTACATCCATCCACCGCTGGGTTCTGAAGCTGGCTCCCAATGGTTAGACCCACGGAGCAGAGCTCCACGAAAGGAAGGCCACGACCCCAGACACAGCAAATGACAGGGTAAAGAGCCCACGATTTGGTCCCGGCAAGTCTCGGCTCTTCTTCCGTTGCGAAAGCGAGGGGGAGGATCGGCAGCAACAGCCAGGTGGCAACTTTTGCCGGGATGCCTGTGGCAAGACGAAGGCATGACCAGGACGAAATCGGACCGGGACAAATCGGGAATCTCTGAGATCTGGCGGTTCTGGAGGATGTGTCTGACGCCGCGGCCGTTTCAGAGCGTTCTGAAAAGCTCTCAGAGCGTTCCAGGAGCGCTCTAGAGCAATCCCAACCTTGGCCTGCCTGACGTCGGTACGACTAAGAACTGTTGAGCCAGATTGACAAACGGTTCCGCGCGATTTGGTCCAGCTTACCCCGAAGGACTGGAGCATACTACAACAGTTTGAGTCTGACTCGGCCACAGTAAGTTACACTGGGCTAGAATAGGCCACTATAGCACCAAGAAGAGCCCAAGAGCTGATTCTGAATTCAGCCTCACAGGAGCCGCAAAGTAAGAGGAGGGCGAGGAGGATGAGCACGAGGAGGAGGAACGTCAGCAGGAGGGGGGGATCAGCTTTCGAGGGCCGATATGCGATACAAAAAATAGCAGGCCCTGCTTGGGGCTCCAGGACCAGTAAGCCTCCAGAGGCACTCGTGGACCTCGGGGAATACAGCTTCCGCGAGCAAGCACTGGTCTCCGTTTGCGTCCTGCAGAGGTCCCCAGACTTCCCTGGAGCAAGCTCTGGAGGTTTTCTGGGGTATCTGCGGAGGTCGCTGTAGCGAAACTCTCAGAGGCCACACTAAAAGAACCTTAATAAAAGTGTAAGCACCTCGACCTTCCCCCTCCATCTGACCTACTTCCTGGAATCATCCTCGCTCACCCTCCTCCTCGACCATCAGCGACCCACCTTGATCGGCCTCGATCCTCCGCCACATCATCATCATCATCATCATCATCATCATCATCATCATCATCATCATCATCATCATCAGCATCATCATCATCATCACCATCATCATCATCATCATCATCATCATCATCATCAGCATCAGCATCAGCATCAGCATCATCATCAGCATCAGCATCAGCATCAGCAGCAGCAACAGCACCATCATCAGCAGCATCAGCAGCAACATCATCATCAGCAGCAGCATTATCAGCAGCAGCATCACCAGCAGCAGCAGCAGCACCATCCCCATCATCAGCATCAGCATCAGCATCAACAACATCAGCGTCATCATCATCATCATCATCATCGTCGTCGTCGTCGTCGCCATCAGCATCGTCGTCATAATAATAGAATCAGCATCACCACCACCACCATCATCATCATCATCACCATCATCATCATCATCATCATCATCATCATCATCATCGTCATCGTCATCATCATCATCATCAACCTCATCAGCAATATCATCATCGTCGTCACCATCATCACCATCACCATCACCATCACCATCATCATCACCATCATCATCATCATCATCATCATCATCATCATCATCATCATCAGAACCTCTCAGTCCTCCTCATTACTCCTCCATCCAAGGGTAATAATCTGAATCCTCCTCCTGAGCCTTCTCCTCCTCCTCCTCCTCCTCCTTATCCGCCACCTCCTCCCCTTCATCTCATTATATCATTGCGGGTTCCACCTTCTCCGTCCCCTCCTCCTCCTCCTCCTCCTCCTCCTCATCCTCCTCCGCTTCCTTCCTTGATCATCCTCCCTCATCCTCTGCCAACCTCCTCCCAGGGCCAAGACATAACGAACCTCCCTCTTCCCTCCACCCTCTCTCCCTCCCTCCCTCCCTCCCTCCTCGTCCTCCTGCCTTCGCCCTCCTCCCTGTACCCTCCTCCTCCTCCTCCTCCTCCTCCCTCCTCGTCCTCCTCCCTCCTTCTCCTTCCTCCCTCCATCACCACCGAGGGCAAACACGTCGATCTTCCTCCTGCATTCTCCTACGAAGCCCCGCCTGCGGCCCAAGCCCGCGATCCTCCCTCGATCCCCTCTCGATCCTCCCGTTGATCCTGCCCCCGGTCCTCCTGTGGATACCGCACCTCGGGCCTCCCGTCGAGCCTCACCCCCATCGACCCTCCCCCATCCCGAGCTTCCCCCCTCCGACCCTCCCTCCTCCCCCCATCCGATCCTGGCAGGGCGGCCACCTGGCTGAGAGGTCGAGCGGCTAGCCGTGGTGGAGCGACTGCAAGTGGTGGAGAAGTTTGCGGCAGATGGCAGAGCTCACCCTCTACGCTCAGGAACTTTGCTCAGCGTGCCTCGGCGTCGGCCCTGGCGACACGCTAAGCTCTAGCGTGCCGATCCTCTCGATGGGGTGGGGGCAGGGAAAGGCTCGGCACATTGACGCTTCGGGATTTGGGACGTGGATAGCATGTCGCGCTGAAGCGTAGTGGGCCAGAGCCGGCGTCGCGACGCGCGAACCAAAAGTTCCCGACGGTAAGTGGTACAACGGGGTAGTCTTCTCTCGAGCCTCCCCCCGAACAAAACTATCAAGAGTTGGGGACGAGGCCAACTCCGTTCAAGATCGGTCCCTGGACACCTCCTCCCGGGGTCCACCTGGTGGAGTTTCCCACGCCAGATCAGTGTTTGACGGTCCCAGGGCCCAGAAACGACACCCGAAGGCCGAAAGACGCAAAAACCGCATCGAATCCAAAACCTCGAACCTCGCCACCCCTTCCTGCTCGCCAGAACCAATACTGGGCAACCTCAGACCCTCAGCCGGCTCCAAGTTCTAAAGCAAATGGTAGCACGGACCATCTGAGCTTAGCTGCCCTGACACGCACGACGCAACATGTAGCGTGTTGACAGAGATCTCAACACGTAGATTGAAAACGAAGGGCTGGCGCGATACGGTCGCCAAACCGTTGGCCAACACGTGCCTAGCCAACACGCAATGTGCTGAATCCCAAAGTTTTGAAAACGGTACGTGCTGTTTTCCATATGGGCGTAGCAGGGCAGCTGATCTTCTGAGTGGTAGAGCGGTGTAGTTTCCTCCCCTCGAGCCTCGAGCCCCTCCTCACTCCATCCCTGCACAGCGTTTTACCGACCCCTAATTATCCACACCGGCGTGGCCTGGGACCCACTGGCCGATTTCTCTGAGGAGATATGGCAGCTGCTTCCTTCGGATATCGAGGAGTATATCCCCAACTGGGGTACTGAGATCGTCGGGCTCGAATCGGGGACCCAGACATCTGGCCGCTCCAATATTTTCGATGCGTGGGCCCTGGAGGTCTGGCCCACTTCCCTGGGGCCGGTTTTTCGTCCTGCGTAGTTTTTGACGGCCCCGAGGCCCAGCGAAGGCCCCAAGAGGCCTAAAACGGCCCCAAACCCGCCGCTCCAAAATTTTTGGAGCATCGGATCTTTGGGGATGGGGATGGGGTAGGAGTCGGTTAAACGATACCCGTCCGTCAGACGAAGTAGGTAGAAACACTAAGTAGGAAGGCGTTCGAAGTAGATCGAACTTCTGCCCGCCCCCTGAAGAGAAGAGAAGAGAAGAGGAACAACCGCTCGACCCTTGAAGTAGGAGGGCGCCAAAAGTAGATTAGGATTTGGGCATCCAATAATACCTACTTTCAACGACCGATGGGTACTGACTCCTCCAACACCCCGAGGGCCCACCTGCAGCCGCGCCGAGGGCGCGTCCGGGTCGCGCCCGGCGGCCAGCAGCGAGACCTCGCAGCCGCGCGCCTCGGCGCCGGGAGGGGCCCCGTTCAGGCACGAGGACGAAGACGAGGACGTGGACGAGGAGGAGGAGCCTCTGCCGCCACAGCCGTGCCGCTGGAGGAAGAGCTAGCAACCTTCGCCGCCAGGGCACTTCTCACTGCCGCTGTTCACATAGTGGGCGTTTTCTTATTCGGCGTTTCGACATTGGGCGGAAGGGGAGGGGGAGGGGGGGGTCTGGCTCCAGACCTCTGCTTAGTGCACTGTTTGCGGCAGTGCGGCCTACGGGGGAGACTCCACCTGCTCGAAACTAGCGCCCAAAACAGCCAGGATCTACTCCATGGCAGGGGGGAGGGGAGGTGCGAGGGCTCGCGCTAATCGGCAAAACACTGGATAAGAAAACGACGACGCATACGGTGGGGGTGGAAATACAGGGTCGGTCGGGGAACAACATGCGCCACATCACCGCTACCCATGGCGTCAGCCCCACCTGTCCCCCCCCTTAACCTACACCGCTGGTGAACCTCGGAGCGGTGCCCAAGGGGTCACCTGGCATTAGATTTATCAGTCCCTCTCAGGGCCGACGGGCCCTGAGGGGGGGGAGCCATCAGGTGTCAGGAGGATGATCAGCCATCAGGTGTCAGGTGTCCAGAGGAGGACGAGGACGGTCGGGCTCATTCTCGTCCTCTTCCTCGTCCTGGTCATCGTCGGGCTGCTGAAATCAGGACCGAAGCGGTTGGTTCGCGCGGCGTCGGCGCGCGCGCAAAGATTTTTGACCCCGCATCGATCGTTCAATTTTGAACCGATCGCGGCCCCGATCGTTCAAGGTTGAATTCCGTCGGGTGAATTGGCGTTACCGCGTCCCGCGATGCTTCCGCGCAACCTTGAACGCCTTCGCCAGCGTCGCCGGCCCGCCAACGCCGCACGAACCTGCCGTAAGGAGCTACGTCCCTTGTTGGCACCGAAAGTGGATCATCCATCGTCGTGGTCGGTCGTGTTCGTCGTCGTTGCCGTCGGTCCTCGTAAATGATCGTCGTCGACATTCCGTCGACATTAGTCGTCGTTCGTTGTCGTCGTCGTCTGCGTGACCAAAGTCTTCGACAGCGTCGGGGACGCCCCGGATCGGCGGCACTGGCCGGAGGCCACTACACTCAGGAACGAGAAGTAGGAAACGACACCCCCTCTCGGCACCGAGAGCGCCTGGGCGCACGAGGAGGGGTAGAGGAGCAACCACGGAATGACCTACTGTAACGAACAGCGAGCCCCTTCCGAACCCAGAGCGGTCCTTATCTCGGCGCCTTGGTTGTACTGGGACTTCCCGGTCGCGATCGACGGGATGGGTCTCTGCCGGCTTTGCTTCAAATTCCAAGATCGGCCGCGACCGAGTTGCCTACAGATCGGTCGCAACCGACTGGTCGCGACCGATCGGTCGCGATCGGTCGTGATCGGCTTGGAGTGCCGATCGGTCGCTGCCGATGGCGACCGAATCAAAACAAAGCACGGTAGCCAATTGATGCGTGGGGGCTCCCCGGCTACGGCTACGGCCGCGGCCCGGCAGGGGGAGGCTCGGAGGTGGCTGTACCCATGTCCTTGCCACACTGCTGCCGAAAGTCCAACCTCACCTACCGACGAAAGTCTGGCGGGGAGCGGGAACGATCCCACGGCGCTGTGGCAGCCTCTCCCGCCCCCTCCGGCTCGCCGGAGGTTTCGCGGGCTACCCTCCGGGGTGGAAGGGCGCAAACGGCACGTGGTTGACGCGGCTAACGAGGCTCTGGCGGGCGTGGCTCTGGGCTGGAGAAGTACCTCGCACGAGGGACTGTCTGCTGACCAGGGCCATATGCTGACGAGGTGCCCGGGGTGTTCACAGCTTCGGGATTCTCGGTGCTCGTGCTACCGCGTAGGCAGTGGCAGGGGGGCCAAAGACATGCAGGGAATTCAACCGGCCCGCGGGTCGCAGCCTGACAGGTGGGTGGGCCAGCCGACCTACATGTGGGAGCGCCTTATAAAGCTCCGGCCTACAGGAATGCCCATGTGCGGACCGTCGCGCTGGTTTGCCGTTACAGCTCCTGGCCTGCTCCGAACTGCTACAGAATCCAGAAAGGGGTTCTACGGGATGGGCGCCCCGTAACAGATCCAGCACGCAGTGGAGGTCTCTACTGCGTCAGCGAGATCCCCCCCGGAGGGCCGACCCGAGGCCGCGGCGCGGCCCGCACGCGGGTGCTTATTGATGCGTGGGGGGGGCTCCGGGAGGCGTCCGCCATAAGGGCGCGCCCGGCGACGCGGCCGTCGAGTGTCGAGGAGTCGAGGGGTAAACCCCAGCTCAGAGGTAAGATAATCTCACGCTTAGAAAATCGGCGTCACTCCAAGCACTGTCTTAACCAACGCTCCATATCTAGATATACGAACATTCCACGTAGACGAGAAGCTCCAAGAAGACGCCCAGGGCCCCGTCCAGAGCCTTGATTTTCTGTAGCGAGATTGGGGGCCCACGGGAATTCATTCCTTTTCTTGCGATTTCGGACGGGGGTACAGGGTCGAGGGGTCAAGGGCACAGGGCTCGACGGGGTCGAGCCGATGGAGGTGGAGGGGTCGGAGATCGAGGGTCCAGAGCTACAGGGGGGTCGAGGGGTCGAGTCGATCGAGGGGTCGAGGGGTCGAAGAACGAGGGGTCGAGGGGTCGAAAGGTCGAGGATCGAGAGTCGAGGGGTCGAGAGGTCGAAGATCGAGGGGTCGACGGATCGAGGGGTCGATTGGTCGAGGGTTTCTGAGCATCTTCGTCCCTCTTCTGGCCTCCGCGGGCCTCTGGAGTCCGCCAGCGACCTCTAGAATCCTCCAGAGACGGAGGACGACGTGGGTCGTCGTCGTCGTCGCCAGGAAAGTTCGGGGCATCTAGATTTCGAGAGGTTTCCCGCCTGCCTGGACAGGAGGCCTTCCGACTGCCACGGCTGGACACACTTCGAAATTCTGGTCGCAACGCAAGCCAGAAGAGTTGGAGGTTCGTCGTCGTCGTCGTCGTCGTCGTCGTCGTCGTCGTCGTCGTCGTCGTCGTACGTCGTACGTCGTGTGCGTCGTCGCCGTCGCACGTCTGCGTCTGGGAAGGCAACGACCCAGACTTCGGCGGCCTGCGTTTTCAATGCCGACGGTTTGCTCCAAATCTCCGCCTCAGGGTGCCCCTGCCGGGCCTGGCCTGCTTGCACTGATTTCTGCGTCGTTCGGCGCCTCGTGGCTCTGCGTCAGTCGTGGTGCGTTTCTTTGTTTGATTTCGCACCCTCACAGCCTCCAAAGTTTTCATACCCGCGGGCAGAAACTCCAACAAGCATCAGCCGTACAGGCCTCGGCCGAAATTAGCAAACACTCATGCCACGTTCATCTGTCAATGCACCCCAATGGTCAATGTTGGCGGCGGGTAGATGAGTTGTACTTCGACCGCAGTCTTCCCCGCGCGCGCCAACTTCGAACTTGGGGGAGAGGGAGGGTGTCCACGACTTTGGACTTCGCAATAAAAGGGGGGGTGGTCTGATTTGGGGGGAAGGTCTGATCGGAGCTGCATTGGAGGGCTCAAGTGGGGTCTGGGCACGAGGCCGCCCTCTCGTGGCTGGTCTGGTGGTGGGGTCTAGAACTGCTCGTCTGGGAGGTTGTCATGTGACCCCTTCCCTTCTGTTGCGAAGCTTGGAGTACCTGTTCCCTTCCAGTCAACCCGTACCAGAAGGATTCGAGGTAAGGATGCACAGGCCTTGGAGGGGCATGCCGGCGTTCTTCGAACGAGGTTGGCCAGCGAAAGTCGCTGAGGATGGGCCGAAGGGGCAACGATGCGCGGGTAGCCTTGGAAAGTTGCTCATCCTTTCGGGCGAAGAGAACTATGCACATGCACCGATCCTGGCAAGGCCCAGCCTTGACCCAGGATCGGTGCATATGCCTTCCTGGCCAAGGTAGGAGGGCGTATGCACCGATCCTGGGCTCAGGATGGGCCTGGCCAGAATCGGTGCATGTGCATAGTTCTTCTCCCTCTGTCCTTACTGTGCGGGTTGATTGCACCATACGCCCAGGAGTGATCCCTCTGCTGGCTTCTGCCAGCGCGTGCTGCGGATGCACGGCGCCCGACCCGACCCCTGGGGAGGCCGCGGCCAGGGCCCCCGGGGACGTCGGCAGTGGCCCTGGGGCGAAGCGCTGCCCCCTGGGGACGCCCATGGTGCCCGCGGATCGGGCACACGGATGCCCTGGACACGGTCTGGGCACTCCAAATCTCGCAGTATAAAGGAGTGGGTCACAACCCTCCCAGACGAGCAATTTTTAACACCAGACCCCCCTGGGACCCTCCAAGACAGATCCAATCACCCCCCCCAAAAAAATCAAGCCACTCTCAATTTAATGCGGAATCTGGGGGTACGTCGTGATACCGTAAGCGTCGCCGTCGCACGTCGGCGGGGTCAAGGGAGGAGCAGGGAGGATGAACGAGGTGTCTCGGGGGGTGCTACGCAAGTGTCCCAGGCCTCGAGTGTCCCCGGCTCTCCGCTCCGCTTCAGAGTGCCCCTGGGCAACTCTGGGCCTCGTGAGGGGTGCTGTTGGAGGCCGTGTGCCCTGGGCGGTTTCCTGGGGTGCCTCCCGAACATAGCCGATTCGATGTGCGAGCAAAAACCAGCAGTTCTCTTGGTCCTGGGGGCCTCCCGCGGGCCCCGCCGCCCTTGTCCCTTTGAGAACATTTGGGGCACACTGGCCTGGGGACACCTTTGGCAACACCCGGTGTATCTGGGCGTGTGCGTTCGCCCCGTAGTTTTGCCTCCGGAGGGGCCAGGGGCCTCTCTGCAGACTTCTCTGGATCGACTACACGCAAGAGTGACCCTGGGTAAGAGTGACCTTTGGTGCGCGGTTTTTTGGGGACCGCGGGGAGGACCAAACACAAGCGCGCAAGACGCTACTATCGCATCGCGTTTGGCGACCCGGGGAACCCATTTTCGGGGATGGACAAACCTCCCTTTGGTAAAACGTGGTTTAGTGAAAACGACTTCGGGCCCAAACCTGGCGGGCGCAAGCCTGGAAAATAACGGCCACGGCGCCCTCTCGAAAACCGAAAACGGACAATTCACTAATCGACGTGTCACTGTTGGGGGTTCTGTCCACCCCCGACATTTGGCCTGCACCAAAGGTCACTCCGGCGAAAGGTCACTCTTACGTCTAGCCGACTGGAGAGAGGGGTTGCGACCTCTTCTCCATGTGCTGCTCCTGGTGGAAGCCACGACATCGTGACCTGTTCTGTTCGCAAAGTGGACCCCCGCAGGTCTGCACCCCTTCCCCGGGGGCCAGTCTTTCAGCCCGAGCCGTTTTTTGACGGTCCCAGGGCTGGGCCCCGAGAGGCGAAAGTGGCCAAAGACCTCCCGTCGTGACCTTCTCGCAGCGCGAAGAGGCTGGGGAAGCCCGGGCCACCTCTGGCAGCCGCCGACACTGGGAGAAGCTAGCACTGGCAGCGCGCACATGGCGGCAGGAGGGGAGGGGGGTAAGGCTCCTTAGAAGGAGCCCCCGCTTCTTCGGAGGCGCCAGCCCTACATCTACAGACGCGGCCCGCGCTTTCTAAGGAGCAGCCTCCTTCTGAGAAGCCTCCCCGTGACCTTTTCTTGCGTTCCCGAGTAACGGTCGCTACCCGGGGAAAGGGGGGGGGGTTCGGGCGGGAGGGTAATGGTAATGGCGGCCGCGGCGTGCACCCGCCTGCAAGGTGCGTCCGCGCCACCGGCGCATCAGCCGTGTGTGCGCACCACAGAATGGAGGGGGGGATCCAGGCCACCTCCCCAATACGATCGCTAGCGTTACCCAGGGGGGGGGGGGTTGGCCTGGGCAACGAGCGCTACCCTTGGGAGGAACATAAACAAGCGCTCGCCCCCCCTCCCCGCTGCACCACCTCTGCGCGCGGCCAGCACGTCTGGCAGCCGCCCACCAGGGCAGAAGCCACCACGCCGAGCTCGCGGCCTGCCGCGTCCCACCCCCCTCCCTGCGGGCGCGGCTCCGCCGCGCCTCCGCGCCGGCGGCGCCCGCGCCCCCGGGCGCCGGGGGCTCCGAGGAGACCCTGGCGGCGCTGCCGCCTGGGCGCGCGGGGCCCACGCGAAAATCGCGACGGGAGGTCTCTCACAGCTTTCGGCCCCTGGGCGTTGAGACGAAGCCAGGACGAAGGTAAAATCGGGTGAGGAGAAATCGGGAATCTCTGAGATCCTGCGGCTCCGGAGGATGGCTCGGGCGCCGCGGCCTTCTCAGAGCGTCCCCTAACGCTCTCAGAGCGTTCCAGAACCCTCTGGAACGGATTTATGCTCGTCCTAGTCCCGTCCGACTTTCACAACTTTCGGCCTCTGGCACCTCTGGGAGTCCTCGCCAGGCCCCGGGACCGTTGCAAACGACTCGGGATGAAAAGTCAGTTCCGGGAAGGGGTCCCAACGTGTGGGAGCTCCGCCAGGGAAAAAGGCATGACTTCGCGGGTCAGCGGTTGGGGGATAGGGGTAAGGCTCGAGGTAAACGGTGTCTCCCATTTTCGTGTTGTTTTCATTGTCCCTCGTTTTGTCTTCGTTCCGCCTCTGCTGCAGAACGAAATCAAGAAGAAAACGGACAACAACATCGCCAAAACACCGTTTAGCTCGTCGAGCCTCGCCTTCAGGCCCTGATGGATGGGGCTCTACGGTCAGGAACTTTTGCTTAGCGTGTCGTGGCGGCGGCCCTGGCGACACGCTATGCCCTGTGAGCTGATAGCGTGTCGCTCCGCCCCGCGGGGCGGGAAGCTGTGAAAAAAAAAACGGGACGTTGACGCCTGGGGGGCTGGGGCGCGCTTAGCGAGTCGCGCCGAGACGTGGTTGGCCAGAACTGGCAGCGCGACACCCTAAACAAACGTTCCTGTCCGTAGGGCTCTGAGGGATTGGGCCCTGAGGACCGGTGGCCTCAAACAGTGGAGGTTCAGCTTGGGGTCCCTTGCGTATCCTCAGGGCCCCATCTCTCGGGGCTCCACCTCAGAACTGCCTGGCGCATCCGAGACGGCGCCTTCTGGCGGGGGGGGGTAGGGGAATGAGAAAAAACCTCCGCGAAGAAAAAGAAGGGGGTTGGAAGAGGAAGCGCCCTAATTACATACTTCGCCTTCGCCCATGGGGCCTGGTGGTATCAGCTTTCCCCTAATCACGGTGGCCTCCATCCCCCGACATGCGCCTACTGATTACGCACGCATTTTGATCCGACGACGATGCGGACAACAGTATGGTGTAATGAATAATCACGACTGGACCTCACGACACCATTTTTAGACACCTGCGTCATAGCAGGATCAATATGAGATGGTCCTGTGGGGCATCACGCGGCACTTAATAACGCAACGTCTATTTTCCCAAGAAGCCCCGTTGCAGGAGATCTTGTCCGCGTCTGCAGGGCGTTCTTACGGTACCACGCTGGCTCTCCGAGTCACACATTCCCTTCATCTCCCTCCAGCCAGGAGGAGATGCAGTAGGAAAAGAGAGAGGGTAAGGAAGAGATGCAAGGAGAGTCATAATAGTACTAGCAGGAGGATGTGATGAGGAGGAGGGGCATGGAGACCTCCACGCACAACCACGACGACCATGACCACCCCGACGACCATCACACTGACGAAGAAGCCACCGCCAAGGACGACTGCGACGCCGACGACGACCACGACGACAATAACGCAAACGATGACCACGTCGACACAAAGAACAACGCACTGGCCCCCGATGCGTCCCGCTACCGGCCTGACTACGATGATGACGACGATGCCACCATCGACTCGACGTCACCGACGACGACGACGACGACGACGACGACGACGACGACGACGACGGTGACGCTCGCCTGGCATGAGCCTCTCCGCGATCGCACCACGCACGTCGACGACCTTCGGCTACACCCCAAAGTGACCACAGGCAAGGGTGACCTCTGGTGCGCGGCTTGCCGATCGCCGCTGCATGCGGTGCGACGGCGGCGGACTTCACGTTCGGGACTGGCCCTGTCCGATGACCCCTGACAGAGGCGCACCAGAGGCCACCCCGGCGAAGGGGCATTGCCGTGTAGCCGAGACCTGCCCCCCGCGCACGACCTTCTCAGGCAGCCTGGCCAGGAACCGCTCCGCCGGCGTGCGCTTGTCCGCCGGCGCCTCGGAGGGAGGGACCGCCCGGGGGCGAGCGTCCGCGCGCGCACGCGGGGCGCGCGGGGCGGGGCGCGCGTGAGGATCCGAAAAGGGCACGTTACTGTCGCAGGCCGATGGATTTCTTGAGCTCCAGACGACGACGACGACGACGACGACGACGACGACGACAAGGGACCGACCGACGACCGACCGACCGACGACGACGACTGACCGACCGACGCGGCGACCGACAGAAAACTCAGCCAGCCGACCGACCGACGACGACGATCGACTGGCCGACCGACAGGAAAACCTTTCCCCCGTAGAATCGCAGGATTGGTCTGCAGATCCACTGCCCCGCGGATCTGTATCCTTTGGGTCCACGATACGATTTATGACAGAACTATTCCAAGGAAGTGAGGGGACCCACGGAAATAACAAGCCAACATGTGGGTTCCGGAAGATGTAGGAATGAGACCAAAAGGACTCTTGCACACACACACACACACCATGGGAGCCACTGGGGTCCATGTTTTCACGGAAACACTGTCGGCCTGGAGATGAAGGAAATTGCGCCCCCTGCCCTGCAGCGAAAAGATGCACGGAAGAGAAACTCCAGGGGCTAGCCCTCTGGCTCTCTCCTGTGTGTGGGTGGACACAAAATCTAATGAATTACCAAGGGGCCCGTTCGATCCAGCCACCTCTGCTCGCGCGCGTCTCGACCGGGTCGAAGAGGGGAACTGGCGGAAACGCCGCGTGTGTTGGCGGTCGAGGCGCAGGTCAAAACCCCTCGAGCCCAAGATGACGACGACTACAACGACGACAGACCGACCGACCGACGACGACCGACCGACGACGACCGACCGACCGACGACGACCGACAACCGACCGATCGACGCGGCGACCGACCGACCGTCCTCCAAGCCAGCCGGCCGACCGACCGACCGACGACGACGACGACGACGAAGATCGACCAGCCGACCGACAGAGAAACACCTCCCCCTTAGAATCACAGTATTGCTCTGCAAATCCACGGCCCCGCGGATCCTACTTCCTGTGGGTCCACTATATCAAAGAATTTAAGTGTATACGAAGGAAAGCATGGGATCCACGAAGCCTCCACGCCAAACGAGGGGACCCGAAAGATAAACCGATGGAATACATGGCACCCACCCGAGGGCCTCCTGCACACACGATGGCATCTGGTGGGATGCGTGGCTCCTGGGCTGTGGTGCACACCTGCGCCGTACCTGGCCGGCGCCATCCTGGGCCCTGGCACGGCGCGTGCGCCCTCCGGGCCCCGGGGCCTCGGCGGCAGCACCCCCCCCCAACAAAAGAATGTGCGCCGTCCTGGGGCCCACGAGGGCGCCAGCCGGGCAGGGCCGCCGTGCACAGGCCCCCCCTGCGGAGAGGAGGGGCGCGCGGTGACACAGCCGGCGCGGCCAGCAGGAGGAGGGGCCGCGCGCGGCCGAAAGTCTTGCGCTGTCCGAGCCATCGCCTGGGAAGGATGGCTCCTGCTGGACCACCCGCGCTGGCACACATCGAGATCGCCTCTTTGGCTCTCGCACCCTTTTCGTCAGGGAACACACCTCAGGCTCGACGACTGCTTGTTGGTCCCCAGGCTGCAACCACAACGGCTCCTGCCCGGCCTCCCCGCCCCCGCAGTTTGTTCAAGAATCGCGCTCACGCTCGAGACCTCCCTGCAATCTACTCGAAAAGCGTGCCCTCGCCTGGGACTTCCTCCTAGTGCATTCAGGAACTGCGATCTCTTCGCCAAGGGATCGCGCCCTCGCCTGGGACTTCCCTTCAATTTTTTCACGAATCGCGCTCTCGGCGAAGGAGTTCCTCGCAATTGACACCTGGGGCCCGCCGACCGACACGCGCCCGTGAAGAACAAACGGCAAGTGCTCGATCCCTCGAGGGCGGCTCGCTTCCTGGAGCGCACTTTGTGGCAACAGCCATCGCAAGGCATGCTCCGGCAACTGCCCCTCCAGCCCCCCAAGACTGCTCCAGACCCGAGCGGCCGTGTCCCTGGAAGGCCCTGCCCGCTTCGCTGTCCTCCCTTGGCGTGCGCTCGGTCTCTCGTTTCGCTTCGTCTTGTCTCGTCTCGTCTCGTCTCGTCTCGTCTCCTCCTCATCCTCCTCCACCTCCACCTCCTCCTCCTCCTCCTCCTCCTCCGACTCCTCCATATTCTCACGTATAGAGGTATCCTAGCGAGCGCAGCTGCTTGGACTCGGGCCCGTTGATTGCCCTTGCATTGCTTGGCCTTGCCTCCTCCGGCTCCTCACCATCCTCTCGTCCTTCTCGCCGATCTCCTTCTGCTCGCCATCGTCCTCCTCCACCTGCCCCATCCTCCACCTTTACCTCCTCACCCTCCGACGCTGGCGGTCACGCTGGCGGCGGCGATGGCGGCAATGGCGGCGGCGGCGACGCTGGCCACGGCGGCGACGGCCACGACGGCTGAGGGCGGCACGTTCACGGCACGGCCCGCGCTTGGGCGGAGCCGGATGCCGCCGTCCGCCAGCTCAGGGTCGCGGGCAGCCAGATCGCGCAGCCAGGCGCGGTAGGCGCTGCCCGTGCGGTCCACCACCTCTCGAGGAGAGTGGGGGGGATCGAGGTTCGCGGATCGGCGTCATCGCTTCGGTGGCCTCTGGTCGAACGCCACTGGCCAGGACAGAGACGTGGGGGGGGGTCTGGGGGTCGACCTCTGCGAGCTTGCCGCGCCGAGGACCGGGGTTTGCCATCTTTGCTTGCTTCCAGTGAGGCCTCCTCCAGGGACCCTCAGGGGGGCCAGGGCCTGAGGCGACAGGAGGACGGCGAGGGCGCGAAGGTGGGGGAGGGGGGGGGGGGGGGGGGCAGTGTGCGCAGCGAACGGCCACACCCGAAGATTACCTCGTTTGCGTGTTCCGAGGCTCGCTGCACGTTACCTTTTCCCAAGGCTCGCTGCACGTTGCATGAGCGTGCCCGCGCAGGGGCGGAAGGCGACCGGGCGTGCACGTGCGTCAAATATCGAAGGCCCGCATTCTGCAGCACCCTGCTGCTTCGCTTTGATTGTCGGGGGGGCGGCGCGCGGGGCCATCCTCCTCCCCAGCGGCACACCATTAAATCTGGTGAGAGAGGGCACAGGGCCCGAACCCAGGCCCGCGCTCGAGCCCAAGCCCAAGCACGAGCCCGAGCCAGCGCCCGAGCCCGAGCCGCAACCAGGTTGAGGCAGAGAAAGGACACCCCGAAGTCGGGCACGAGTCACCACTCCCCGCAGCCAGCGCGGTAGCATGCTGCCGCCGTGGGGCTGCCTTCCTCGCGCTGAAGATCCCGAACTCGGGAGCTGCCTCCTCGTACTCCTCCCGCGCTCTCCATCCTCCCCCTCTCCCCCTCCTCCCTGACCACCTCCTCCCCCGTTGTCCATCCCTCCTCATCCCTCCGACTCCATCCCTCCTCCTCCCTTCTCGTCCTGTTCCCTTCCTCCCTCCCCCTGCATGCCCCAATTCTCCCCTCCGCCCACCTGCTCCCTTCTCCGCCCTCCATCCTCGACGTTCTAGATACGGTGGGAACTCACAGCTGCGCCGGTTTTGCAGTGGCTGGCAAAGCCCGCTGCGCAAACCGCCACGCGAGCACAACGGCAGACTACAGTCAGCACGCGCCCCTCCTCCTGCTCCTCCCTCTCCTCCTCCTCCTCCTCCTCCTCCTCCTCCTCCTCCTCCTCCTTCTCCTCCGCCTTTTCCTCCTTCTCCTCCTCCTCCTCTTCCCCCAGTTCCTCCCACTCCTCTTCATCCTCCTCCATTAACGCTTGCTAATTACAACAACTTCAAGGATAAAGCCCGAATGGTTTCAACATGTGATTCTCGCCATGGCGCCGCGCACACTCGTCTAAAAGCTTGCAACACATTCAAACATGGAGGCCCGATGGCTTCAACATGTGGTTCTCGTCCTCGCGCCGCGCACATTCGTTTTACAAACTTGCAACAGCCTCAAGGATAGAAGCTGGTTCCTTTTCGACAGGTGGCTCTGGTCTGAGCGCCGCGAGCATCCATCCGACCCACCCCCCACCATCATATGCACATGCAATATCCGGCGCACATCCACCCAACCCAACTCTCAACATCCTTTGCAAAATCCGCAATCCCACTTCCATCCATACGACACAAAGCCTTCACAATCCGTACGACCAAACCCTTACCGTTCTACGACAAGGATAATGTTTGGTATACATCCACACAGCCCAACCTTCATCATCCAAGAAACTATTTAATTCACATCCATCCGGCCCTACCCTCACCACCCTGCGTAAAACAATTGTGCGTAGCTATTTGGCCCAAGCCCAACCATCCGATGTAGCAAATAAGACTCGATGCGCACACATTGATCTTCAATATCGACCCGCCCTGGCCCCGAAGAACCTTGGGCACAAAAGGCATAAACAAACAAAGAACGGATTGCAAACTTAATAATACATCGATGCCGTTAAGGCTCCCCGTGACGACTCCGATTTGGGACCCAAGCGCTCCCCAAGCGCTCCCAGACGCTCCGAGGCGCTCCCAGGAGCTAGAATCCCTTCCCAAGCGTTCCCAGGCTCGCCGTCGCCACCAGCAACAACAGCATCGACATCCTCATCTTCATCGCCCTCGTCGCCGCAGGAGACTTTTAAGGAGCAGGTGAATTCAGATCGCCACGACGCGTGGGCCATCGACGGTTTTCACAGTGGGGCCGTTCTGCGCAACCTACGAACAGATCGAGGGCGGGCCGTCTCCGGAAGGGGGCTCTCGCCCTGGCGCCGGGCATCGTCGGCTTCCACATCGCCCGAAGCTGCGCGAGTGGATGGCGAGCCCTTTCCAATGCGGTGGGGGCCTTGGGCAAGGGACCCTCGGATAAGGAATCCAAGGTTTGGAAGCCCGTGGAACTCCGCTCGTGGATCGGCCATGGATATCACCGCCGCCGTCATCAGATAAGGGATGCTCCAGGGTCTGCGAATTCCTAAAAACATGCCTTAGTAAACGCCCCGCTGTACAGGGATCCCCCCTCGGCCTCGCTCTCCTCTGAACACAAAATACATCATCTATAACAACTTGGCCCTTCCTCGACCTTTACGACCGGGCGCTCCACATTGTGCTACAGATAACACGGATGGAGGGCTCCTCTTTCGAAACGGGGATCTCGCGTGAGACGTCCACGACTTAGGCCTCCTGCAACGCTTACGCGGATGGACGGCATGTTCTTTTCAAAATGAGATTATCCCTGGGCCTCGTTGAAGGGCTGTCGTGTGGGACTTCCGCGGAGCATACGTCCACGACGTTGACATCCTGCAACGCCCAGACGGATAGAGGACATGTGCTTCGCAAAGTGGGGCTACCCTGGGCGTGCTCAAAGTGGAGGGGGGATCCTTTACAACAGGCGCCCTCGTCTGACTGGCGGACCGACCGGCCGCTCTTTATTGAAGGGGGGGGCGCCCGCAGTGGAGGGGAATCATTGCACGTATGGACTTCTGACGAGAGGACTCGGGACGGGAGGGTGTGTTGCAGCATCGGTTGATGCATCTTGGGTTTACTCTGGTTCTCCTCCTCCTCCTTCTCCTCCTCCTCTTCGGCGGCGGCAAACACGCCTTCCCCCCGAGACGCGAACCGCGACCACCGAGGCGCTCCCAGGCAGCGCTAGTTGGTGGCCCCGGCTGGCGCAATCCCTCCCGCAGTGGTCAATGTTCGGCGCCTGCGTCCAGCAACGGTTGCTCCTGGAGGTTCGGTGCCGATCACTTGCGGACCTCCTCCTCCTCCTCCTCCTCCTCCTCCTCCTCCTCCTCCTCCTCCTCCCTCCCCCTCAAGCACAGGTGAACCAAGACTCCGTACCCTCTTGGGCTGAACCGAATCATGTTCCGCCTAGTTCTGCGCCTCCACGTCGGCGCGTGAGGGCACCGGGTCTACTGCGCCGCGGCTCGCGCAGCCGATCCCAGTGGCAAAGCAGGGCGCGTTCGGGCATTCATGCAGGAAGTTGTCATGCGGTGCGTAATTCTCGGCTGCTTCCAAGGCGGGCCCCTCGAGTGCGACGAGCAGCAGAGTGGGCGCGGTCGTAGCCAGCAGGACGATTTCAAGCAGTTCCTCGCGGAGCAGTGCGACGTCCGCACCAGGCATCTGCAGCTTCAATGCGTGTATCTATCAGTGCCGCTTGGGGAGGGTACGGCAGTTTCGCTGGTGGTGCGTTGCAATCGCTTTTGCCATGACCTGGAATCATCAGCTTCATTACTTGCATCTACCAGTCCCGCCCAGAGATAGTATGGCAGTTATTTTGTTGTTTGTTTTCTCGCGGTGGTTTACAGTCGTTGTTGTTATCTTATTATGTCGAATTTAGTTTCTGGGCATCCTGGGGATTGGTCTTTGTTGCACAGTGTGCGCGGAAGATCACAATCAATATGCTTTCGTGTCGGCGTGGGAAGCGGAGCCCGCCCCGACCGCCATCAGCTACAGTGCATTGTACAACTCGTGTGTTCAGTTACGAAGCTGGGATTTGCACGCGTGTTATGAGGGGACAATGGCTGCGGTGTGTGCTTGGGCCATGGCTCTTCACGCGAATTCGTGTTTACAGTCGTTCTCGGTTCTGGTGCATTCATGGGCCTCTTGATCGGCAACCCGATTGTCCTACAGCACGGTCGTTGCTGGGCTATGTCCTGTTCGTTTTCGGCGGCGATATACGTGGGGAGACGTGGTTTGGCGCGCGTAACTCTTCTCTCTATTTCATCGGTTGGGTGTTGGAGGGAAGAAACTACACATTTTGTTGTTGTCTTGCGAGGCTGTCTGTGGAGGAGAATATATTTATGATACACATGAGAGGTAGCCCGAAAAACTGTGATGCAAATCATGGTAGAGCCGAATCGAGCCGAGTTCACTTCAGCCACGTTTGCCATGTTATCAGTGTGTGGCGAAGAATCCATCTGAGGTGTGCACGGAGGTGTCCGTCTTCCTCAGGCTCTGTTCAGGTGCCCTTCGCTGGGGTCCATCATATGGTTCGCCTACTTCGCGGTTACGCTCAGGGGGCCTCAGGTGTATCGAACCATATAACTACGTGATGGCGGAATCCCTGGAATCCTCCTCCTCCCTCCTCCTCCTCCTCCTTCTCCTCCTCCTCCTCCTCCTCGACCTCCTCTTCTTCCTCCTCCTCCTCCTCCTCCTCCTCCTCCTCCTCCCCCTTCTCCTCATCCTCCTCATCCTCCTCGTACTTCCTGCTCCTCCTCCTCCTTCCTGCTGCTGCTCTTCGTCCTCCTCCTCTTCCTCCTCCTCCGCCTCCTCCTCCTCCTCCTCCTCCTCCTCCTCCCCCTCCTGCCCTCCCTCCCTCCCTCCCTCCCTCCCCCCCTCCATCCTCCTTCCAACTCCTCCTCATCCTCCTCCTCTCCTCATCATCCTCCTCCTCGTCCTCTTCTCCTCCTCCCTCCTCCTCCCTCCTCCTCCACCTCATCCCCTCCTCCTCCTCCTCCTCATCCTCCTCTTCCGTCTCCTCCTCCTCTTCTCTCCTCGTCATCCCTTTCCTCACTCCCGCCCTCCCTCTCGCCCTCCCTCTCCCTCCCTCCCTTTTCTCCCTCCTCCCTCCCTCCCTCCCTTCCTCCCTCCCTCCCTCCCTCCTCCCTCCCGCCCTCCCTCCCCCCTCCCCCATCGCGCCTTGAGCGCGACGCCCGCGGGAAACTGCTCCCTCAAGGCCTGAGGGAAATAGCCGTCAAGGATGTCCCTCAGCACCTCGGCGCGCGCTCGGCGGGGGGCCGGGCGGCCGAGCTGAGGGAGAAGAAGAAGAGGGCGGGAACCGGGGAGGGGCCCGGTGGCTTCTCCCAGGAGAGGGGCAGGCGGGATGATCCAGAGGATCTGAAGAGATCCCAGGAGCCTTCAACATGGAGGCGCGGCCTCCAATCTGGAGGTGCTGTTCGGGGCCCCTGGGGGGAGAGCATCGCGAGGACGAGGAGGACGGTGGGGAGAAGGAAGGAGGGAGGACGAAGTCGCGACCGCCAGAGAGGTTGAGGCGCGTCGAAGGCCATGTGCGCCGTGAACATGGCCACGATCGTCTACAACACGTCCGTGACAATTACAATATCATTTTTTTGCACCTCTTACCTGTTCGTTCTCTCTTACGCCTACATCCACCTCGTTACGCTGCACGCATTTTGCATACGCCACACCAGCACCAATTGCACGACCACCATGGCCACGACGTCAGCAGCCAACCCAGCTTGGCATCGTCGAGACCGTGAACGACGAGCAGCAGCACGCACACCTCTACGGGTAGTATCAGCACGCGACCTACTCGACCAGCACACGCAGCACTAGCTCGACTCAGCTCGGCAACTGCTCCAGGCGTTCCACAACGCACAACAACCACTACGACTTCCACCTCAAGCTCCCAAACTGGCACCACCATGGGGATCAACAGTGAGTGTCACAGGAACTACGCCTCTGCCACCACCCTGGAGATCAACCTCGACCCACACTCCAAGCAGAGGACCGACACCAGGCCCCACTCCACCGGCGGGCGATTGGAGCAGGCCTCGAGCGCTGGAGGAACAACACGTGGGCGGAGCAATGGGCCAACGACCACCCCGACCCCAACTGGAGCAACGGCTACAACGGCAAGGGCAACAACGGCAAGGGACAGAGAAGCTCCTCGAAACCCTATGACGACATCGAGCCCGACAATCGTAACCAGAAGGGCAAGAACAACAACAGGGGAGGGCCAAAGCACAACCCGAACAACGCAACACGCACAAAAAGAAGGATACCGTCCAGGACTACAACGCTTCCCTCGTCAACACGATCAACTCAATCGACGGCACGGTACGACACCAGCGCCAAGGCTGCACTGAAGGATTGGTTGCGCTACAAAGCACCACCGAGAAAAAACCGTACCCGCCAAGGCACCGCCCCCAAAGAACGGTACCGCGCCACCACCGGCTGCAGCTAAGGCAATGCTGCACGGGTCGCCAGACGACGGGAACTCGGGACTGGAAGGGAGCCAGGCCCACACCCAACACACATTACCACACTGGGAGGTGCCTTTCCAGACCTCCTTCAAAGACAGCACCACTGGCACACGCGGGCCACAGGCACAGAGCAGCAGCAGCACCACCACCGATGCAGGTGCTCTACAAGTCACCTCCCGCCAAAGCAACCGTCAAAAGCATCGACCATACCACACTTGGATACAGTGTACGAGCAGGCCACCACGCCCATCAAGGAACCACACATGGGCATGCGATCAGCATCATTATGGGCAGGCCTTGAACACGATGCCACCGCGCGCCTGACCATCAACATCAGCGGCATCCACTACAAAAAAAACACGCACCTCTCCAATATTCAAGTCCACATATTGATCCCAGAAGCCATGGCAGGCATCAACGACCCCGAGAGTACATACGACTGGGGCACACACCCCAACAACATGCCGATATGCGAATGCGAAATCATGATGACCTACGCCGTGGCCTCCCTGAACTACTTCATGCGCTACGATGCACTCCCCGCAGCACGACTACTCCCGATGACCCACCAGCAGACCGTCCTGGCTCACTTCACCAACCACCAGCTGGCCGCGATGGTCACATACCCGATCGCTGACGACCGCACGAATCTATCGACCCAAATAGCAGCCGCTCAAGCAAGAGCGGCGCAACGTCCTCACGCATACCAAGCTGGGGATACGCTACAACCCTACTTCAGAGGCGGCCCCATTCACGATCTCGCTCTTCCAAAGGGGAGTCGCCAACGAGGCCATCGATGAGATCAACGAGCTGATCGGGGCCCAGGCAGCCGCTCCGCCTGGCAACATCGCTGGGCAGCCTACGACACAGGGCGGAGACGGCAGTGGGGGACCACTGGCTGAGGGAGACACGACGGACAATCACCACACGCAAGGAGAACCGAGCACCTTGACGCAGAACGACAGCGCCGCAGAGCCCACGCGCTCGGACCCGACACCCTCAGGCTCAGCGCCGCAGGAGCGAGACCCGTCCCACATGGCCGACACCCGCAGCAGGGACCTGCTCCACTCCTCTCCCCGACGCCTGATCGAGGAGACACGCTCATGGCTGGCGACCGCCACCGAGGCTGTGCAGCGGAAGCCGGCACCAACCCGCATCACGATTGTCAACAACAACATCCAGACAAGGGGCATAGACATCGACGCCGTGAGGCACCTACCGCTGATAGCCGACGCCGAGGCGATCCACGACGACAGCGAAGGCGTGGCCCACCTCGGGTGCGACGACCTAGACTACGCTGCCAAGCAGGCCATTGACGCCTCCAAGACCACGTGCACTGGTCGAGACCTGGCGCTACCTCAACATCTGCCAAGCGACACCGCCAGCCGAAGCGGAGAGGCGCCACTACTGGCACCGTGGCCGCTCTTCGCACACGTCTACCAGCCCGAGCAGCCGACCACCCTGGTGAATCAGGAGACTCACCCCTGATCTTCCACAATCGCTGATACACCCGCCCCAAGGAGGGACTGGCCGATCGGCGGCCCATCGGTGCGTCACCCACCTCCAACATGGTTGTCCTGTTCTGCTCCGCTACCGACAGCAGACACCACCAGCGGCCAGCTGCTGACAGGGCGGCGGGGCAGCCAGGGCGGCGGAGGCCACAACTTGGGCCGACGCCTCAACCATCGCGTCAGCTCTGCCACCTCGCCCGCCACCGCCAGCTTTACCTGTGCCAAGCGCCCTTCCGGCGACGTGGTGGGAGGTGGGTTTCTATGCGAGGGGGTAAGACACCTAGCCGCTGGCTGTCCTGGCGTTGGCCAGGGCGGCTGCTGGCACAACGCAAAAGCCTGGCCACCGCCACAGACAGCGCAAACCTCACCCTCGCCCTGTGGAACCCCCAGAGGCAGCCACTATAGTCTTTCGCTCAGGAGCCGTACGCTTGCTTGCAGGCGAGGGTCCCCGACGTTGGACTGTGGACGCCTACTAGACATTCCTGCAGGCGGGGGGGGAGGCCTCTGCGCCTTCTACCTGGGCAAGGGTGGCCAAGCAGCCGAGCTGCTCCACGCCACCCAACTTCTGGGAGAGCCACCGCCGCGGAAGGCTCAAACCTCCCCCACGCTCGATGGACCCCCCCAGGAGGCCCCCAGCCCCACGTTCTGGGAACCCTACGCCTGCTCTCTGGAGGTAACGGTTCCCGTCGTTGGACTGGGGGATGCCTGTGGGGTTGACAGAGGGGTCCTATGAGCAGGGGGAAGGGCCTTTGTGCCTTTCACCTTGGCGAGCGTGGACCCCCCCCACGCTGCCGCCACACAGCCACACGCTGCCGCAACACCGCCGCCGCCTCCGCAGTCCCCTCCATCTCTCGTCTTCTTCTTGAGGCTACGACATGTATATCCTCCTCTGTTTCTCGCCTCGCCTTCTCCTGTCTTTCACCCTTTGCCTTTCATGTTCTAACGCACCAGATGGTGACACAAGTTACATGGCTCACTAGTTTTATCACCCCCCCAGGGCCGACCGGCCCTGGTGGGAGGAGGGCAACGTCTGACAGACCTTTCTGCCTTCAGGATTCTAGGCTCCAGGAAGAGGATGAAGGGGATGGAGGGAGGAGTGATGAGACGGAGGGAGTAAGGAGCAGGCGGATCGGGAGAAGGAGCAGGAGCTTTTTATTACCGGGATAACGGTCGTCATCGGCCCCGCCCCCCCCAAATGACGTCACGGTCCTCGCCGGTGGCGTCCGGCACCACAGCGCCTGTGTGCACCGCAACATCCGTGTGCAACGCAGCGCCTGTGTACACCACAGTGCTTGCGTGCACAACAGTGCCTGTGTACACCACAGCGAATGTGCACACCGCAGCAACCATGTGCAACACAGCGCCTGTGTACACCACAGTGCTTGTGTGCACCACAGCGCACGTGTACACCAAAGCGCCTGCGTACACCGCAACAGGCGTGTGCAACGCAGCGCCTCTGTACACCAGAGTGTTTGCGTGCACCACAGCGCCTGTGTACACCACAGCGAATGTGCACACCGCAGCAATCATGTGCAACACAACACTTTTGCACACCACAATGCTTGCAAGCACCGCAGCGCCTGTGCACACCACAGGGCCTGTCTACACCACAGCGTCCGCGTGCAACGCAGCGCTGGTGTACGCTTCAGTGCCTGCGTGTAAAGGACAGGTAGAAGGAGCACGTCAGTGAGGATCTGCTGCGGACAGCTCAACACCACGCCAGGGCAGTGCTGATAATAGAACGCGATGTTCTTCCCTCCTCCTCCTCCTCCTCCTCCTCCTCCACCTCCTCCACCTCCTCCTCATCCTCATCCTCCCCAACCCTTCCTCCCGTCGTGCGGGTCAGCGTGCACCGCAAAATGGTCGATTGAATCAGTCCACTTAGTTCTCCGACGGCCAATTCTGCGGGAGCCTTGTGGTCGCAGGTGGGAAGAGTTAGGATGATGCGGGAATGCTCGGGGGGACTCGTAGATTCCAGCGGCGCTCCTTTTTCCATCATGATTTTTTCCAACCAAAAACTGCTTTCTGTGGATCCACCGGTGTTCCAAGTTGTCAAACATATTCATTCTAACATTCTGTTACAACAATGGTGCTCTGTTGCACACGGTTGCTGTGGTGCACACAGGCGCCGTGGTGCACACAGGCGCTATGGTGCACGCAGGCACTGTGGTGTACACTTGTGCTGTGTTGCACACGGCTGATGTGGTGTACGCAGGGCACGCGCCGTGGTGCACACAAGCGCTGTGGTGCACGCAGGCGCTGTGATGTACACAGGCGCTGCGATGCAAAACGCCACCTACATGCTGCTGCTACCCGTCCTCGGTCATTCCTACGCATTCCCAGACGCCGCCGGCGCGAAACGTAACGTCATCGGCCCCCCTTCCCCCTCGTCAGATGACGGCCATCATCGGCCCCGAAAAAAAAAACAGGCTCCAGCCGAAGGAGGAGGATAGTCAGCAAATAGAAGAGGAAGATGGGTAGGAGAGAAGGAGCGAGAAGGACGGAGGAGCACAGACAGGAGGAGAAGGGAGGATCGGCCCCCATCCCAAGACGCTCGAGCACACCAGATGACACGAGGATGGCCCAGACCTCTCGGCGTCTGTCAACAAAGCCAAGACGGAGGCTCCTGACCGTTCCGGGGCTCCACAGACGTCCCGAAGAAGAACGTTCTGGGAAGACTCGGCCCTGCGCCCCGCCGCCCCCCAGCCCCCGACTCAGCCTGGCCCGAGGAATCGCGCTCGGCGGCCGCCCCCACCACGGGACGGGCGCAGGGGAGGGCCACACGACCAAGGGGGCCCTCGCAAGGCCGTGGGGTCCCAAAATGGCCCCATGGCCCCAATGCGACCCCGCACTGGCTCGAGGAATGGCCCATGACCCTGTGCCTGCCTCCCTCAATTTTGGGTTTCGGGGGGGGTGGTCTGGGGACCGCTTCTGGGATCCAGGAGCGTCCACAAGCAATCTGAGGGAGAAAGGCTTCTCAGACGGAGGCTGGTTCTGAAAAGGCGCGGGCCTGACTTCTACAGACAAGGCCCTCGCCTTCTAAGAAGCAGGGGTGCTTCAAAGAAGCCTCCCCCCCCTCCCCCTGCCCCCCTTGTGCGCGTGGCCGACAAAGGGGCCCTAAGAGCTCCGAGAGCCGCGCATTGCATTGAGAACAGCCACGATTCGTCGGAGGTCCGGGGAGCGATGCAATTCTCCTGCATGCGCTGGAAAAAAACGCAGCGGGGAGGACGTCCAGAGCGGCGGACAAAACAGCGCAGTCCGCTGGAGGCAGGCATCACTGGCCGCAACTGCCCCCGTTTTTGACCCCGCAGTGCGGAATGAGAAAAGGGGGGGGCAAAAACAGCCCTCCTGTACGGGCGTACCTCCAGCTGTTGACCACCCCAAGCCTCATGTTGTTCGGACCACGTCCCATAGATACTTCCGAGCACCACACACGCTGGCAAAACTGTCGTCGGACGACAATCGATCCCCGGGGCCCGACACGCGCAAATCTCCAGTTTCGGTACTTCCCTGGTGCTCGAAACCCTTTCTGGTGGCCAAGGCTGGACAGCGAGTCGGAGCGTCTCAGCCCCGGCCAGGCCCCCGGCAGCTCCGTGCTGCCCCGGCCCGGGCACTCCTCCCCCAAAGGGGGGGGAGGCACTCCGTGCTCCGGTCGCGGGGCCGAGCTCTGGCGCGGAGGCCCTCCGGGAGGCCGCAGCCCCCCTCCGGGCCTCGGAGCCCCGCCCGCCGGCACGGCGCCGGGTGCCTCACCGGCGACGACGCGCGCATCGCGCCGCAGCGGGCAATGCTCCAAGCAGTCTGCCGTGTGCCCGAGGTGCCCCAGGCAGGGTGGTGGCACTGTCTTCGTCGGCGGCGGGGCAAGAGGCAGTCCGCACCCGCGCGGGGCTTCTCGGGGTAACCGAAAGGCGAAGTGTCCGAAGCGTCCAGCGTGCAAGAGGAAGGAACGAAGATGGCAAGGAGGTGACACCGACGAGCGAATTCGAATTATACATCGGCTCTGTAGTGCCGCTGCCGCACCGAGGGCGCATCACCAGCATCGTCATCATCGCTACCATTGCAGCTGTCGTCGGTTGGCTCGCTCTCCGCCCCATCGACCTCCTCATAACCCGAAGGGTGGTCGTATTGGTGGGGACATGCTTCAAGTTGGTAACTAACACCATCACAGGGTAAGACGAAGCCCGGACGACGAGGATAAATTCGGGTGAGGGTAAATCGAGAATCTCCGAGATCTGGCGGCCATGGAGGATGTATCGGGCGCCGCGGCCTTCTCAGAGCGTTCCCGAACATTCTGAAAGCGTTCCGGAACGCTCTGGGCCGGACTTATCCTCGTCCGAGGAGAACGAGGAGGAGGAGGAGGAGGAGGAGGAGGAGGAGGAGGAGGAGGGAGGAGGAGGGAGGAGGGAGGAGGGAGGAGGGAGGAGGGAGGAGGGAGGAGGAGCCCCCGTCCGACGGGTTCCAGGACGGCCCTGCGTCTGGAACGGCGGCGGCGGCCAGCGGCGGGGGCGCAGCCGAGCCCTGGGCACCCTGCGCGAGGCGCGGGTCGAAGGGCGCGAAGGCGCGGTCGGCATGTTGTGTTTCAAGCTGGTAACTACAGTCGGACCTGGGCCAGAAGACCATCCTTCAAGAACATGAGACCCCCCGCCCGGCCACGCAAGCAGAACAACCAAATGCATCTCCCCAGGATGCACATCCAACAGACACCAAGAAACAACTAGAGGGTATACCCTCCCCGACCCGTCCTCGATCTTGAACGAAAGTTCGAGTCGTGTGACTGCGGCGACCCCGCCGCTGGCGTTCAAGGTTTAACGCGGCTGGAGCCCCAGGATCGAGCAACGTTGAGCGATCGGGCGTTGAGGGAACATCCGATCGTTCACGATCGTTTCAAGGATGAACGATCTCGCTGGTGTCAGAGACCAACTTCGGGGTCGACACGACGCCGAACCTGCGAACCTCGGTCCCGACTGGCCCACACCACCCAGGGTCCAGGACGGCCCTGAGCCTGGCACGGCGGCGGCGGAGGCGCCAGCGGCGGGGGGCGCAGCCCGGTCCCCGGCCGGTCTGCGCGGGGCGAGACCGAAGGCGCGAAGGGCGCGGCCGGCCACAGCACCCGTACCACGGAGCGGGAGCTTATGTGCAGGCCCTCCTCCTCCTCCCTCCTGCTTTCCTCCTCCTGCCCCTCCTCCTCCTCCTCCGTCCTCTCCATCCTGCTCCTTCGCCTCCTGCCCTCTCCTCCACCTCCTCCTTGTCCCTCCTACTCCTCTTTCTTCTTCCACCTCCTCCTCCTCCTCCTCCTCCTCATCCCTACAAAAACATCTCTCCTCTCCTCCTCCTCCTCCTCATCTCCTCCTCCCCTCCTCCTCCTCCTCCTCCTCTCCCCTTCCGACATCTCTACCTGTCCTTCTCCTCCCCCCCTCCCCTGCTCTCTCCTTATCATCATCTTGTTTCCTCCTCCTCCCCTCCGTCTGCCTGAGCTAATCCGTCCCTCCCCCGCCATCCTGCTCCTACTACGACTTGATTCGACGGCGGCGGAGGCCGGGGGAACAAAACAGATGCCAACACTGGGGTGCCATCTGACAAAGAGTCTGCGGCGAATCGAGTCGTGTCGACGAGGGACCCCCAGGAGGCCCCAAAAGGCGGAACCGAGGGAAGGGCTGTATCTTTCCTCCTCTGAGACGACACAGCTCCTGGAAGAATGTCACTGGCAGCGGCCCCGCCGCGTCCGCCGCCAGCCGGGCGCGGCCGCCGCCGCCGCCGCCCTCGGCGACCACCCTGGGCCGGTCGTCCTCCACGCTCGCGTTGAGGCCCTCCACTCGGCTCCTGAGCACCTGGCCCGACGAGCGCAGGGCACGATGTGCGCTGCGAACGAGAACCAGCACGACGGGCTTCTTCCCACGAGCTCGGTGTCCGGGGGCCGCTCTCTGGGCCCGGAGCGATCAAGAAGAACGGCCAGCGGCGGGAACCCAGTCCCGAGGAGGGGGTCCCCCACCCGGCCTCCTCGGAACCTGGGCGCTCGAGCCCCCACATCTCCAGTCTTGGGAGTGTCGGTGCGACTGGCGAGTCTGAGCTGGGTCCCCTGGGAAATGTCCCCAGTCCCAGGAGCCACGCACGAAGGCGGCGGCGGGGGCATGAGGGCACCAGGGCGCGTGTAGGAGGACGCTATCACAACCGCCAGCACCGATCCTGGCTAGAGCAATCCTGGGCAACCTTCATGGGTTGGGAATACACATGCAGACACACACACACACTGACACTGTGTAAGTCGGCAGCTGCGCGCCTCGACATAGACGTGATAGCGGTGGTCACGCGCGCGAGGAAGCGGGCACACACACTTACACTTATACTTATACTTACACGTACTCGTACACTTACACTTACACTTACACTTACACTTACACTTACACTTAGACTTACACTTACACTTACACTTACAATTACACGTACACGTACACTTACACTTACACGCGCACACACTTGCACTTACACTCACACTTACACTTACACTTACAGTTACACTTACACTTACAATTACACTTACACTTACACTTGCACTTGCTCTTATACTTACACTTGCACTTACACTTACAATTACACGTACACGTACACTTACACTTACACACGCACACACTTGCACTTACACTGACACTTACACTTACACTTCCACTTACAGTTACACTTACACTTACACTTACACTTGCACTTCTACTTACACTTGCACTTACACTTACACACACACACACACACACGTGTTTTAGCGGTCGTAGCCTCGCGCGCGGCAACGAGGCGGAAAAACTCACCGAACGGGCGGTTGCGCTCGAGCGGGGGCCGCTCAGAGCATGTGGGAACCGTATTGGGTCGACCAACCATCGCCAAACTCGGGCGTGGGCAGCGAGGAAGTGCAAAGTCCCGGAAAGTGAAGGCGCAGTACAACGAGCGACGAGCGACGGAAATACAGCCGGGGCCAAGACGGCAGCACGCATCCGCCAAGGAGGTGAAAGGCAGGGAGGACAGCTGGTGCGAGGCTGAGCGCGCCAGGCGGGTCGAGCGGGCGGGTCGCTGAAGCGTGAGTCGCGATTCTTGGGTAAACTGGCAGGAGGTCCCAAGCGGAAGCGCAATTTCTCTTTAGACTGTGAGGAAGTATTGGGCGGGCGCCGTTATCGTTGCCGTTGTAGTTCGGGAGCCAAAACCTAATCTGAGGCCGAAGACCTGTCTTTGTACAAATCCAGGTGCGAGCCCCGAGGGTGACTTCAATCGAAAACATACACATTTTACTGGAGCCGGGGTTCAACCATATAATTTCCAAACATGAGAAGGCAACAACCATGGTCAGACTGCTCGCTCTCATGCTCGCGTGTCATTCAACGTGTAAGTGCAAACCATCGATGCCCGACCCCTTCGTCTTTGATCGTGCCCCCCCTGGAGGGGTATATCTCCGTCTCCTGACAGGTGAAATTGGCGCAGCCCTCAAAACAGGAATAATAACAATAATGGGAAAGGGAGAGAGCGGGGGGGGAAGGGAATGGAGGAAGGGAGGGAAAAGGGGAAGGGATGGAGGGAGAAGATGGAGGAGGAGAGATATTAGCAAGAGGGATGAGCAAGAGGGGATGACTAGAACGTCTGAGGCGAGAGCGCGGCTCCTGAGTCAAATCTGAGGAGGTCCCGAGCGACAGCCCGAGTCCAGAGCGCCGAGAAAGCGATTCGTGAATCAAGTCCAGGAGCTTTCAAGCGAGAGAGCGATTCCTGGACGAATTGCCGGGAAGTCGAGCAAAAGAAAATAGCTCAGACAACTGTGAGGAATCATCAGGCGGGAGCCGCTGTTGTTGTAAACCGGGGGGGCAAGAACATAGTCTCACGCGCAAGGCCTTCCCTCGTAAAAGGCCGGGTGCGAGCCCCAGGGGAGGGGCACTCAAATGAAAAACACAATGAGCACAACGGGGATCAACAACATTGATTCTTCAGAAGTGACGGTTCAACATCAGCAGTCATCTCACGACGATCTGATCTCGGAGGCCAGCTTGACTCTCATGCGTTTCCCCCTCGCCCTCGCACCCGCTCTCTATATATCTCTAAGCGCACTCCCATTTGAGGGGGGCGAGGGTCCATTCCAGCTCTGGGACAGACCCCAACAAGGGAGAGAAACAGGCGCGACGCGCGGGAACACCCTCGCGGGCGAACTCTGGCGTGCGTAGCGCGATTCCTGAGTAAATTGCGAAGATGCATCGGGCGAGAGCGGGGTCACGAATATACTGAGATGAACAGTATCAGGCGGGAGTCGTTGGTGTTGTTAGACTCTCACTACTGAAGAATAACTATTGTTGATCACCCCCCTCCTGTGACCATTGTGTTTCTTCATGTGATGTGCCTCCCCCAGGGCTCGCACCTTGTTTTTCATCAGGGAAAATCACTAAGGTCAAACTGCGTTGTTGGCCCCCGAACTACAACAACAACGGCACCCGCCTGATACTTCCTCACAATGTATTCCCAAATCGCGCTCTCGCGCGGGACTTCCTCGCATTGTATTCAGGAAACGCGCTCTCGCGTGGGATTTCCTCGCAATTTATTTAGACGCCGCGCCCTCGACATTCGGGAGTCACGCTCTCGCTGTGGATTTGCTCACGATTGATTTGGGAATCAAGCTGTCGCTCGAGACTTCCTCGCGATTCATGCCGGACGCACGCTTGAGCAACCCGCCTGCTCGACCTGGCCGCATGGGCCCTCCTCTCCGACCCGCCTGGTAGGGTCTACCCGCCTGATCTGCCCGTCTGGTTCTGCCACGTGTTTTCTGCTCCCAGCCCGTGATCCATCCTCCTCCCTCCCCCTTGTCCTTCCTTCCATCCGTCCTCTCTTCTCCTGCCTCATGAGCTGCGCGAAATACACGTTGCAGGTAAGAAAGATATCCCCCCAGAGGGGAACGGTCGAGGACGAAGAGGGCCGGTATCGAGGGTTCGGGATAGTCGTGTTGAATGGCACGCGAGCAGACAAGAGCGAACAATCTTAAAATGATTGCTGTTGTTGTAGCCAAGCCGTCAAGGATTCTTAGTAAGTTGTGGGGACGTCCTCGGCGAGAGCGCGATTCCTGAGCAATCTGCAGGGAAGTCTCGGACGGGAGCGGGGGTCCCGAGTACATTGCAGGGAAGTCTCAGGCGGAAGCCGTTGTTGCTCCTCCTCCTCCTCCTCCTCCTCCTCCTCCTCCTCCTCCTCCTGGGGCCAGGATGTCTCAGGCGGAAGCTGTTGTTGTTGTAGTTCGGAGGCCCGCGCTCGAGCGTGAGCCTGGCTTTCAAAGAAAATTGAGCCCACGCTTCAGCGAGAGCGCTCCGCCAGTCTTCCGTATGCCAACAGTGCATAGCGAACCTTTTTCTATAGAAATGAAAACTCAGCAACCTCAACAACAACAAGCATCAGGAAGGGGATCGCTCCCATGTGCTCGCGTGTCACTCAACATGTACGTCCCACACCCTCGATACCCGGCGCCTTCGTCTTTTATCGTGCCCATTGGGTCGGGGGCATCTCCTCCTCACCCGCTACACGTAACTGGCGTAACCCTCAACCCATGGAAAACAAAAAGAATGGAGACGGAAGACAGCGAGGAGGAACGGAGTGCAGGAAGGGAGAAGGGAAGAAAACCAGAGGGAGGGAGAGTATGCAGGACGAGAAAGATGCGCAACAGCAAGGGAGCCTCAGGCGAGAGCGCGGCACGGCTCCACGAGGAACTCCCGAACGACAGCGCGGTTCCGGAGCGCCGAGAGAGCGATCCGTGAATAAATTGCACGGAGGTCACAGGCGAGAGCGCGACTCCTAAACGGATTGCAAGGAAGCTTCTGGCGAAAGCCGGGATGCCCAATGACTTGTGAGGAAATATCAGGCAGAAGCTGTTGTTGTAAGCCTAGGGCCAGGGGCACAGTCTGAGGCCCAACACTTTTCCTTGAGAAAAACCGGGTGCGAGCCCTGGAAGGGACACTTCAATTGAAAAGCAGACAGTTAGCCAGAGGAAGACACCAACAGTCACTATCCGTTTCCAACTGGGAACTGAACAGCAGCAACAATAATCTTAAGACTGTTCCCTCTCATATGCTCGCGTGTAATTCAACATTTGCATCCCGAACCCTCGATACCGGCCCTCTTCGTTTTCGATCGTGCCCCCCTTGAGGGCATCTCTTCCCTACCTGCAGGGGCATCTCTTCCCTACCTGCAGCGTGCAGTTGGCGCAGCCCCTGAAACAGGGGAAAGAAGGGAGGAGGGAAGGGACAAGGGAGAGGGAAAAGCACCAAGCACGTGGGAGATGATCAGAAAAGGGCCAAGAGCAGGAAAACGGGCGGCAGAACCGAACGAACAACTTGAACGGGCGGACCCTCACGGGCGGATCGGGCGGGCGGGCCCAGGCCGTCGACCGAGCGGGTCGCTCAAGCGTCGGTCCTGCATGGGTCGCGAGGTAACCTCGAGTAACAGCGCGATTGCCAAGTAAGTTGAGGAGGTCCAAACCGAAAGCGTGATTCCTGAGCGTCGAGGGGGCGGCGTTTCAATACATTGCGAGTAAGTCCCACGCGAGAGCGCGATTCCAGTTTGAATTGTTAGGACGTCCCGCTCGAGAGCGCGAAGCTAAAGTAAATTGTGAGGGAGTGTGAGGCGGGAGCCGCCGTTGTTGCAGATCGAGGGGCAGCACCACGGCAGCACCACATTTCAGGCTCAAGGCCTCCCCCTGTGAAAAACAGGGTGCGAACCTCGGGCGGGGTACTTCAGGTAAAACCATGAAGTAAGCCGGAGGAGGATTCACAGTACTTATCCTGTAGAAGCGAGAAATCCTCAACAACATAAATCATTTAACCTTGTGGTCGCTCTCATCGGCTCGCGTGTCCATCAACGTGTATATCAAAAACACTCGATGCCCACCCCCTTCGTCTGCGATCCTACCCCCCTTGGGAAAACATATTCCTTACATGCCACGCGTTCTTGGCGCAGCCTCTAAAACAAAGGGAGGGAGGAAAGAAGGCGAGGGTGACGGACGGAGAACGAGAGCGATTAGTAGGATGGGGGTCAAAAGCAGGACAACAAACGGCAGAACCAGACGGGCGGGTCGAGCGGGTGGACCCTTACGGGCGGGTCGCGCGGACGATCCCAGAAAGACAGGTCGAGCGAGCGGGCCGCTGAAGCGTGAGTCCTGCATGGATCGCGAGGTAGTCTCGAACGACAGCGCGATCCCCATGGAAGTTTCAGCCAGCGTGGACCCCAAACGGTGTGTTTCTAGCACTCGATGTTGTGCAACCGATGCGTTGCAATCTGGGTTGTGCAATCTATGTTGTGCATTCTACGTGGTGCAATGCATGTGGCGCCATGTATGGTGTGCACCCTACGTGGTGCAATTCATGCGACTTGCAACAGTAGTTTGGCGCGTCCGACGCGGCCGCGGTGGCACTGACCGCTGGGCACTTCCCAGCGGGCACTTCACTGCGAATCGGCGATTTGGGAAGGCACGGTATCATGGCAACGTCGACAATGGCAGGCACGATGATGGTAATAGTGATGTTAGTGACGATGGACGGCGCCGATGCTAATCACGCCGACATCGATGACGGCTTCCTCACGTCGGTGTTGACGGTTTTGGAAGGAATTCGCCATGCGCGCGCGGCCGACGCGCGAGTGGCCCGCACTGTATTATTTGAAACGGATCGCGCCCACCCCCCCAGCACGCGCGCAAGGGCGTTCGAATGATTTCGACCTGCGTCGCGGGAGGCCTGCGTGGCCGAATTGAGAGAACATTTTGGAAACCGATGATTTCAGAAGAATTCGCAAAACGCGACCGCCTTTTTTTGTTTTGAAAATGGATGTTGCAAAACCATGTGTTTTCATATGTTCAAGAAATCCCCACGCAACCTTCAGTTTTTATGAACGCTTTCGGCATGCGCGCGCGACGAAGGTCGCGTGTGCACTTCGTCTCGTTTTTTGTTGAAATGAGGTTATTGCGACAGCGCGCACAAAGGGCGCCCGAGCAATTTCGACATGCGCGCGCGAGAAGCCCATGTGGTAGCATGTTGTGAAATTGTTGACAATCATATGGCTGTCCAAAGAATATGCAGGAACGCGAGCGCAGGATTTTTCTGTTTGGACAGTTCTTGGTGCGAAACCATGTTATATATATATGTCTTCGGAACACTCGGTTTTGAAATATCTACGCAACATAACATTCTTGACGGATTTCGGCAAACGTGCGACGACGCGCGCGTGCGCATTTCGTCCCATTCTCTTGCACGGGGTTCTTGGGAACTGATGAGTTTGTATAAACGAGCGCGCGCGCATGGCGCATTTCTGCAGCAAAGGGTGCAAAACAAGGGAAACCAGTGTAGCTGGTATGCTGCGAATTTTAAAAATATGCGATGGTGCAAGATCAACTGTACATTCCAATACGAAAGGGGTACCGTGAATTCCAGGGGGGCGACCCTCATATTCTTGCAAAAGGAACTTTTGTGGTGCAGTATCTGTCGTGCACTCCATGAGGTGAACAAACATGTTGTGCAATACATGTAATACAGTCTCGGCGGTTCAATCTATGTTGTGAATGCCACGTGCAATGTGTGATCTGCACTCTTTGACGTGCAGCGTCCGTTGTGCAACTCATGCGGTATAGTCTCTGCGGTTCGACCAGCGCTGTGCATCTATATGGTCCAGTTTGCGTGGTGAAAACTATGTGGTGCAATCGATGTTGTGCGCTGTATGCGATGCACTATATGCGGTGCAGTCTATGCAACGCGATGTTCTTTTCACAAAATAATTGAATTGAACAAGTCCATGCTCCTGGACACATCCCACCTACCCACCGGCAACTTGGTTTGCAAAACCCATGCGGCCGCGTTGGCGCTGACCACTTCCCAGCGGGCACTTCAGTGTGAGTTGGTGACGTGGGCGGGCGCGGTATCACGGCGACGCCGACAACGGTAGACACGATTATGACATAGCGATGATTGTGACGATGGTGGCGATGACGACGGCGAGGCCAATGACGGCGCCGATGTTGATTACGCCCGCCGATAACGATGACGATGTCCTCGCGTCGGCGATGAAGGTTTGTGAAGGACTTCGACATGCGTGCGCGGCCGTGGCCCGCGTGATCATATTTACCACGGACCATGCCCCCCCAGCACGTACGCAAAGGCGTTCGAATGAGTTTGACATGCGGCGCGAGAGGCCTGTTTGGCTGAGGTTGATGAACATGTTGGGGAACCTATGGTTTTCGTAAGAATCCGCAAGACCGCGAGCGCAAGATTGTTTACAAACTTGAGATTGCAAGGCTGTGTGTTATTATATGTTTCTTGGACATTCGTCTTTTGAAATCCTTGCGGAAATCAGGTTTTTGAGAGATTTCGGCATGCGCGCGCGACGACGCGCGATGTACACTTCGTGCAGTTGTTTGCAAGGGATTGTTGCGCCAGCATGCGCACAAGGGCGTTCGAACGATTTGGACATGCGCGCGAGAGAGGCCCTTTTGGTAGCATGTAATGAAGATGTGAAGCCCATGGTTTTCTCAAGAAGTCGCAAGAGCGCGGGCGCCGGCTTTTTTGAATACCCTTGTTGCGAAACCATATCCTTCTCATATGCTTCCAGGACACTCGTTGTTGAAATCCTTGCGACACCTGGGGTTGTTGTATGATTTCTGCATGCGCGCGCGACGACGCGCGCGTGTGCACTTCGCCCCATGTGTGTTGCAATGGATTCTTGAAACCTACTGAGTTTTCAATAAACGGGTGCGCGCGCACAACATGTTTTGCAGAGGGTGAGGGTGGAGAGACCGAAATGGGGCCTGCATGGGATGGTTTGAACTTACATCTAGGATGAACGATGGGGCAGAATCCGATGTAAACTGCAATACGAAAAGGTGTACCGTTAAGTCCATGGGGGAAGGTCGAGCATAGATGTAGCGCACTCCATGTGGTAAAATCTATGTTGTCCAACGCATGTGGTTCAATATATGTGGTGCAAGCTACGTTTGCAAGCAATGTGGTGCACTCTATGTAGTGCAGTATATGCGGTGCAATCTTTCTGGTGCAATCTATGCGGTGTAACATATGTTGTACAATCCAGGGCGGCGACGAGGCGGCGAGGGGGCGGCGACGGCGGCCACATAGCCGCCAGACCAAAGACACGGCCCAGACGACGGGCGGCGACGAGGCGGCGACGAGGGTACATAGCCGCCAGACCAGTCACACGGCACAGGCGACGGGCGGCGACAAGGCGGCGACGGAGCAACAACTGCGAATGCATAGCTGCCAGACCGGCCGCACGGCCCAGTTCCTTAGAGCACTTTAAGAACCCCAAAGTGCAAACACTGCTTGGGGAATTGAAAGGACATCCAGATCGAGGATGCTTCCAGATTGTCGCGGGCACGGCGTCTCAATAAACTGAAAAGATATCCCTCGCGGGAGCGCGATTCCTAAAACAATTGTGAGGACGTCCCGCGCGAGAGCGAGAGTTTGAACAAGTTGTTCGGACGTATCAGGCGGGATCCGTTGTTGTAGTTCGTGGGTCAGGGGCGTGGTCTTCAAAGTAAAAAGCACCAGGTGCACATGGGGGGTAAACAATAGTTATCCCCTGGAACCGACAACCCAACAACAACATCAAAGCTGTAAGATGGAAGGAGCCTGGAGGAGGGCAACAAATACAATCGACACGCAGAAATGATTGAGAAAACGTCCGAGAGACCTCCGCCCACCCTCGGGCGGAGGGGAGGCACCTCGATGTCGACCGACACGCCGCCCTCGGGCGGCCTGTGGCCTGCGGGCATGACTGGAGGAGGGCACCGCAGCCGGGCATCGCTCACCCGCCCAGGACGCACCCGACGCCTGCTACTCATCGTCAGCACCGTGATCCTCGTCCACTTTCCCAACGCCATCCTCTCATGCTCCTCCCCCCATCAACCCATCCTCATGCCCACCCTCGTCCTCCTGGCCCTCCGCCCCATCGCCAATCTGAGTCCCGAGGGTGGAGCCCAGGAGGCCCGGGGCCCAGACCTCACGTGCGGTGCAGCTCTCGCTCCGACGTCAGGCTACCAGGCGCCGCTCGGCAGCGCTCCGCCAAGCTCTCCCATTCTCCGAATCTTCGGAGTGCTTGTCCAATCCCGGTTGCCCTGGCACGCAGGTCGTCGCAAGGCACTCGCAGGCTCTGAGGTCGCGGGATAAAACCTGGTCTGCCTCATCTCTGCCTTGCCTCGCTCCTCGCTTCGAGCCAATCGCCGGGCGCAAGGCTGGGGGCTGGCTCCAGGGTCCCGCTCACCGGCAACAGCCAAGAATATACCCTGCGCTCCGTGCAGGCCGCAGTTCCAGCCAAGGGCCAGTGAGACTGCGCGGAGGGGTGGCCCAGGCAGGGGCTCGACCACGCAGTGGAACCCAGACGGCACCGCCGCGAGGAGACTGCATCGCCCACCGCAGCTCGGCAGCCACATGGGCTCAGACGCCGAACGGCGCCGCACAGTAGGCACGCGGCACGAAGCACTGCTACAAGAGATCCAATGACGCATCCGTCACCAATCTTGAACATTCCTACCGTGCCCCAAGACTTCTACGGGTCCCCTGCGGCTTCGGGGCAAATGTTCGTGGCACACCTGCTTGCAGGCTGCACTCTTATCCGACGTGCCAAGTGAAGAACTAATTGGCCATGTGGCAAGCCAAAATTTGTTTTGCTTTGGCAAGGAACCGATACGTTCTGCCCGTGAGCAGCGTGGCAAGCAGCGAGGTATGCTTGTTGCAGGCCTTGAGAAGCCCAAGCGTACGGCATTGCGGCATGACCCAAGCCTCCAGTACCTTCCTATGACCTTGCGCCATTGGGAGAACAGCAGCGGGGCAAGGACTTGCGGCACGGATGGTGGTTTCATCACTCTAACCTCGGTGCAGAAAAGAACGAAACATCTGAACACACAATGTCGAGGGACATTTCTCGGTGGCACTATTTGTGGACCCTAGAGTCGCTGTTGCGTGCGCCGATATGTGTCATGTATCATGCATGGCCCAAGCTCTAAATTGCTGACGCTTCCGAAGGGCGGGTTCGGTTTGGCGTGGGGGTCGACTGGTGCAATGCTCCTCCGAGGCTCACCCCTCAGCCTGCTTCCACGGCCGCCGTTGCTGAACAGCGCGTGTTGATGGCAAGGTGATTACGCACTCCTCGCCGTTTGCAGCAACATGTACGGTTGGCGTTGGAGAAATAGCGTGCGACGTCGACCTCCGAATGGCACGCTGTCCCTGTGAGGGGATCCCTCCACGAGGGCCCCTCCTGTGCATGATACCCCCTGCCAGGGCTCCCTCGGTGCACGCTATCTCCCAGACACGTTGTTCAGAGACAGCGCGCAGCAAGCAGCAAGTCCGCCCCCAAAAATATGTACACAGCCACCCTGCAACGAATGGCTCCTGGGCCTCCAGAGGAGGGTGGCGGTGCAGAGATCACCACCGAGAGCCAACGACGTTGTGCACTGCAGGTGCCTGCAGCACTCGCCGGAGGATGCCCGCGCGTATGCTCTCCTGGCGTATAGCAGGCGGGCCGGCGGCGCCCCGCCGCACGCCACCCTCCCGACGCCAGCAAGCTACCCCCGCAGCAGCGAGGGCCGACGCGGGCCCCTCTGGAGGCCGGCGCGGGGGCCTCCCGAGCAGGGCCGCCGCCCGAGCAGGGCCGGAGGCGCCGCACAAGCCTGTCCTCGGATCCCCCCCAGGTGGGGCCCACCTCCCTCCCTCCCTCCCTCCCTCCCTCCCTCCCGCCCTCCCTCCCTCCCTCCTCCCTCCCTCCTCCCTCCCTCCTCCCTCCCTCCCTCCTCCTCCATCCTCCTCCTCCTCCTCCTCCTCCTCCTCCTCCTCCTCCTCCTCCTCCTCCTCTCCTCATCCCACTCCTCCTCTCTCCTCCTCCTCCTCCTCCTCCTCCTCCTCCTCCTCCTCCTCCTCTTCCTCCTCCTCGTCCTCCTCCTCCTCCTCCCTCATCCTTCTCCTCCCCACCATTCCTGTCCCTCCCTCCTCATTCCTATCGCCCCCCCCCTCCCATTTCCCCTCCACACTCCCACTCCCCCCCACCCTCCCCCCCCCCCATCTGGCCTGCTTGCCGCCCGTCCGTCCCTCCCTCCTCCCCGGCCGGCCAGCCGTCCCCCAAATGGACGCGCTCTCCGGGTGCGCCCACTCTTCCTCAATCCATGCCATGATCCGCTCAATGCGCTCCTGCGGCCATCCATCCACTTATCCATCCATTCAGCGATCCGAACTCTTCATACATCCATCCATTGGCCCTCGCGGGTCGAAAAGACGGGGTCCATAGGAACGCGCAGGAGGAGATAGGGTCCAGAGCTCTGGAGCCTGAGTGCCATGCCCTTCCCGAGCCAGAGACGGCGGAAGTCTGGGCCCCGTCCTCAAGGGTCCCGAGCCGACCGCGTCGCAGAGCTCGAGAGCCCTGGGGCACCTGCAGACTGGCCACAACCTCGGCAACCGCGCAGCATTCGGACTGGGCACCGAAGCAGCGGCGTGCATCCAGAATCGGCGCGTGGCCAGGGCCAACCCTATAGGCAAGGGTGACCTCTGGTGCGCAGCGGCTTGCCGATCGTTGCACGCGGTGCGACCTCAGCGGTCCGTGTGTTTGGGTTTGCCCCCCCCCCACCCCAACCCCCCCAGCACACCCGAAAGCCGCGCACCAAAAGGTCACTGCGGCAAAGGGTCACTTTTACGTGCAGCCAGACTTGTCTTTCCCCCATGGCAGTGCAGCACACTGAGGCAAGCGTGAGGTCCCTGAACTAGCCACGCGAAGCGTGCAACTGCATATGCGAAATGCTTGACCCCGGGAGGAGGGAGGCAGCAAGACGAGGAAAAGGACAGTGGCGTCGTGTGTGCTTCCCACCATGGCGAGTTCGATGATCCTCAGAATGCGTGTTAGCGCCAATGTGTGCTCGCCCACCAGAGCCCTTCAATACGACGCAGGCGGCGCAACGAGGGCCGACCCAGGCTGCGCGGCATCGGCAGAGCTGAACGGGGAGACACACACGCTTAGGCCGACACACGTCCTTAGGATCATCGACGAGTGCTGCCAGCCCATGGCAGGCTCGTGTCGTGACGACCCTGGCGTTGGTTCCTGACACCGCGAGGATCGTTCAATCTTGAACGATCGGCCGTGTCCGAAACGTCAGAGCGTTCAGCATCTACCAATTCTGGGCCTCCAGCGGCGTTCCACCTGGAACGCCCGCGATGGGGTCGTCGCCAGTCGACACGACGCGCGCGAGCTTCCGCACCCAGTTGAGACTGATGAGCAATCAAAAAAACCCTAACCCTTTGGGAGCGGGCCTGAGTTAAGAGGCCCACAGCATTAGGGACAAGGGGCCTTTTCTGCAGATGTATCGACCCCAAACCAGCCAAAACTACGATCCCTAATGCAAGCACGGGGACCTAAGTGAGGCCACGTCTTCATCGATTTACTAGGGGTGGGGGTTCTGTAATTCTCGGTGAGAGACGTCGCCCCCTGGCGGCCGTCAGGCCGGTGTATCCCGCGCCCGCGGGCAGACGCGGGGCTGCCCGCGGCACCGCCGCCGCTGGCCGGCGAGGCCGTGGGCACGCCGCCGCCGCCGGAGGTCGGCTCCTGGCGGCGGACGCACAAGAACGTCCAACAAACAAGAAGAATTCTAGGGCACCCTCCCCGAACCGACCTCAATCTTATGCCTCCGTCCGACTGTGCATGGAGGGGCGAGAAGCGTGCACATCTCGTGCCCCTTTTGGGCCCCAGGGGGCCCGTGAGGACGCCTTCTGGGCACAAAAGACGTGCAACTTTCTTCACCCCCTCATTGAATCTCTATCGGTCTTCAGAGAGCCCCCCCCCAATAGTGGAAGCTAAGAATCTTGTCGACGCCCTTATTGACGGCGTGGGGTCCCACCAATAGCGGAAAATAGATCTTCGCAGTACCCGCCGCGCAACAGCGACGACGACGACGACGACGACGACGACGACGACGACGACGACGACGACGACGACGACGACGACTACGAAGAGGAGGAGGAGGAGGAGGAGGAGGAGGAGGAGGAGGAGGAGGAGCAGGAGCAGGAGGAGGAATCGGAGGAGGAGCAGGAGCAGGAGGAGGAGGGGCGGAACCTATTCACCGCCAAGAGAAACGGGGGGGGGCCCTCACCACCCCCGTGCAACGCCCGACGACGGGGGCGCGCCCTGAGATCCAGGCGCGGCGATGCTTCAACACTGGGGATGTCGCCCCTGGCTTTGGGCCCCCCCGGGCCCTCACGGGCCCATCTGGCTGGAGAAGTGCCACACGCGCCGATTGGCGGCGCGCACAGAGGGGTAGGGGAAGGGGGGAGGGCTTCTCAGAAGGCGCGGACCCCTCGCAGACCACCTCCACCTTCCCTCCACCTTCCCTTCCTTCCTTCCTTCCTTCGTGCCCCCTCCCTCCTCGTCCTCCTCCTCCTCCTCGTCCTCGTCCTCCTCCTCCTCCTCCTCCTCGTCCTCGTCCTCCTCCTCCTCCTCCTCCTCCTCCTCCTCCTCCTCTTGCCTGCGTGTTGCCTGACATCGGTTTCTGGTCCACCTTGAGCGATCGCGGCTCCGTTGCAGCGCAGATCTCGTCCGATCCACCGGACGCGTGCAGGCCACTCCGGGCGCTCAGCCTCGGCGGCCCGCGCCGGGGTCGCTGCTGCCTCGACGTGGCGCGAACCTGCCGCACGCCAGGCCTCGGACAAAAACATATATAGCGAGCACGCAGGCCACGGTCAACGCCTCCCCCTCCCTGCCATGTTCAAAGTTGGCGGTGGGTGTGATGAGTTGACTACCTACCAGACCACCCCAACCCAACCCGAAGACCCGAATCTGACCCGAATTTCGGGTTGGGGGGGGTACGGATACCATGTGTTTTTTCAACGTTCCCCGACCCCCCCCCACTGGAAATCGAGGATAAATTTGGGCCTTCGGGTTGGGTTGGGGTGGTTTGGTGGGTGGTGATGAGTTCCACTTCGACCCCAGTCTCCCCCGCGCGTGCCAACTTTGAGTTTGGGGGAGCGGGGGAGTGTTCACTAGTTGTTTTCCCCCAAGTACTGGCGCACCCTGGGGGGGCAGGAGTCGGGTCGGGTCGGCGCTTGGGCAGTCTGCACTCGCTCGGTGACGGCACGAGAGAGCGAGCAATCACCCTAGATGGCCATCAGCTGCCAGCAGTCAAGAGGCCGGGTGCCGGAGGAGCGCTCGGGGGACCCCCGAGGCCACCAGAGACCCAGGGCAGGAGCCCGAAGGACGAAGCAGAGTTAGACGAAGCCAAAACGAGAACAAATTCGGGTGAGGATAAACCGAGAATCTCTGGGATCCGGCGGATCTGGGGGATGTCTCGGGCGCCGCGGCCTTCTCAGAGCGTTCCTGAACGCTCTGAGAGCGCTCCGGAAAGCTCTGGAACGGATGTATCCTCGTCCTAGCCCCGTCCGACAGAAGCCCCGCCGCGGTCGGTCCTCCTCCGCGGCAGCTGCGGCGGGCGTCCAGACGAGGCCGTACGCCTCGACGATTCCGGACAGCTCGTCCACTTGGCGCCGGAGGGCCCGGCAGCTCACGCAGTCCCCGGGGGCGGCGGCTGCGCCCACCTCCTGGCCGCCCGCGGGAGCAGGCTTTGCGGCCTCTGCTGCGCTCTGCGGTGTCGTCCCACCGCCCGGGCCGGGGCCACCAGATGTCATGCTTCGGAAGAGGGAGGGGGGGGTGCTGGACGTGAGTGGACGAGGAACGGTATAGAAGAAGCTGTTCCGCCGTCGGGGGCGCCTGCCCACCCAGGCGGCTGCAAAGCTTGTTTCCCGACGGTGCCACGCAGGGGTGCGAGCTTTTCAGCCGCCTGGAGGGCAGGCGTCCCCGACGGCGGAAAAGGTATCGTCCCCTACAGGGCGCCATGGGGGACTGGGTGGTGGCGTCTGGCCAGGCAGAGCCGCCGTCAGCCCAAACCGCCGTCTGAGGCCAGGACTTCAGCCTCTCCCGCGGAGGGCTCGATGCGCCGAAGGCGGGGCCCTTTCACGGCAGGCGCTCCGCACGGGCTCGAGGGCGCGCGTGCGGCGGAGGGTTTTGTGAGGAGGGCCGGGCGCGGCGGCCGCTCGCTCCCTGCCGCCGCTCCCTGCTGCCCCTCTCCTGCGGTGCAGCGTTAGGGGGGGGGGGGGGGGCAGCTCGGGGGGGGAAGCATCGAGCTGGAATCAGCGACACATCGCCGATAGACCGGCGATAGGCCCCCGAGAGGGACTCCGCACGGTCCTGTGCGGGGCGGGTTATCAAGCCCCTATCGGTGATGAGTGGACGAGTGGGGGTCGATGCATCGTCCCCTGGGCCTATCCCCCTCTATCGTTGCCCCTCTCCCCTGCTGTCTCCCAGCCCTTCGCTGGAGAGGGGGAAGGCTCTTTCGTGGAGCCTCGGCCCTGCCAGATGCTCCACCCCCTTGGGCCGACGCAGGCCCGAGGAGGCAGGATGCAGGAGGAGGGGGCGGGGACGAGGGGGACAAGGAGGACAAGGAAGGAGGAGCATGAGGAACACAATGGGGACGGCAACCACGACGACGACGAGCACGTCGAGGAGGAGTAGGAGGAAGAGGAGGAGGAGGAGGAGGAGGAGGAGGACGACGACGAGGCGACGCCGACGGCGGCGGCGACGATGACGGCGGCGGCGGCAGCGACGACGTCTGGCTCCTGCGGACGCGCGCCTGGGGCGTCGCGGGCGCGATCCAGCTCGCCGCGCACCGCCGCCAGCTCCTGGAGATGCCGCGCGGACTGCCGCTTCTGAGAGTCCCGCTCCCCCGCTCCCCCCGCCCTCGTGCCTGCCGCTTCCCCCTCTGCTGCTGAACCCCCTCCTCCTCCAGCCTCCCCTCCTCCACATTAGCATCATCATCCTCGACCTTGTCCTCCTCGTCCTCGTTTGCCTCCTCCTCCTCCTCCTCCTTCCTCCTCCTCCTCCTCCTCCTCCGTATCCTAATCTTCACCATGATCAACATCCACATCCAAATCTCCATCACAGTCACCATCACCATCATCGCCATCACCATCAACACCAGCACTATCACCGCCATACCATCGCCAGCACCTTTTCCTCCTCATCATCATCACCGCCACCATAATCATGACCACCCACCATCATCAGCAGCATCGTCAGAACCATCGTCGGCACCATCATCATCAGCAGCAGCATCAGCGGCAACAGCAGCATCATCAGCATCGTCATCAGAAGCATCATCAGCAGCAGCAGCAGCACCAGCATCATCAACAACAACAGTATCAGCATCGTCATCAACAGCATCATCATCAACAGCATCATCAGCAGCATCAGCATCATCATCGTCATCATCATCATCAGCATCAGCATCATCATCATCAGCATCATCATCAGCAGCAACATGATCGTCACCACCATCACCACATAGTCATCATCAGCAGCATGGTCATCATCATCATCATCATCATCATCATCAGCATCATCATCATCATCATCATCATCAATATCATCAGCATCATCAGCAGCATCGTCATCGGCATCGGCATTACCATCATCACCGTGCTTCCTCATCTTTCGCATCCGCATCATCATCAGCAGCATCATCATGATCATGATCATGATCATGATTATTATCATCACCATCATCATCACCATGATGGTCATCGACGTCATCGTCATCCTCGTCGTCCCCCTGGAGTCCTCCTCTTGCTCGTCCTCGTGTTCGTTCTCGTTATCCATATCGCGTTCATCCTCCTCCTGAGAACCTCCTTCTTCAGTGCCCGCTCTGCTGTCCTTCGGCAGCTAGCTCAGCCTATGCTTTACTCCCTCCTCCTCCTCCTCCTCCTCCTGCTCCTCCTCCTCCTCCTCCTCCTCCTCCTCCTCCTCCTCTCCCTTCTCCCCCTTCTCCCTCCCCTCCCTCTTCCAGGTCGTCGTTCTCCTGTTCTTCGACCACTTACCTGCTCCTCCTTCCCCGCATCCTTCCGCCCTCCCTCCTCCTCATCGTTCTTCTCCTCGTCTTCGGGGGTGCGAGGGAGAGAAGCAAGTGGTTGGGGGGAGAAAAAGAATGGCATAATGGCAATGAGAATGAGAAGAAAGGGGAAGGACACGAGGAAGAATCGAGGGGGAGCATGGAGAACGAACGGGAGCAGGGGGAGCAGGGAATAAAATGAAGAGGCAGAAGAGAAGGCGTGCTAAGATCTCCGGTACCTGGTTAACAGTATTTCCAGTTCGCGCGCGCGGGGCGGCCCCTGGGGGTCCCCGGACGAAAAGTACCCCGGCAAGGTCCCGGCAAGTAGGTCCCGGCAAGTCCCCGGCAAGGTCGGGCCAGAGATGCCGGAGCCCTGTTACAGGGCCCCAGGACGGGCCAAGAGGTCCCCAAGAAGCCTCCAAGACGGTCCAAGAGGGCCCCGAGACGGCCAAAGATCGCCCGAAGACGCCCAACAGGGCCCCAAGACAGCCCAAGAGGCCTCCAAGACGCCCCAAGGGCCTTCCAAGAGGCCTCCGAAGAGGGCCCCAAGAGGCCAAAATCGTTGATTTTCATTTTTTTGTCGATGTTTTTTGCGTTCTGGCTTTTTCGGCTTCCGGACGCTCCAAGACGGCCCAAGAGGCCCCCAAGACCGCTCCAAGACGGCCCACGAGGCTCCCAAGACGGCCCCGGAACGGCCCAGGAGGGCCCCCAAGACGGTCCAAGTGCCGCCCAAGACAGACCAAGAGGCCCCAAGACGGGCCCAAGAGGGGCTCAAGAGGAGAACCGAGAACTGAAAAATCGAGCCCTCCGCCCCAGAAGGCGCCCAGGAGGCCCCAAAAAGGCCCCAAGAGGCCCCCAAGAGGCCCCCAAGACGCCCCAAGAGGCGCCCAAGAGGCCCAAAAGAGGCCCCAAGAGGCCCAAAAACGGCCCCCAAGAGGCCCCCAAACTCGGCTAGCCCACAACGGTGCGACAATATGGGCCGGCGGAATGAGCGAAGCGATTAAATAAAATTATCCCGGCAAAGCAACCTAACAGCGATGTGTAGAAGCATATCTGAAAGCATTCTTAAGATTCAGATGAAAATCCAGTTGTCGAATTCTGCTGTTCTCGCAGTCGTAGTCGCATTCGCGATGACAGTCGCAGCGGCAACGGCAGTCGCAGTCACAGCCTCAGCCTCAGCCTGCCTCCTCCTCCTCCTCCTCTCTCCTGCTCCTCCTCCTCCTCCTCCTCCTCCTCCTCTTCCTCCTGCTCGTCCTCGTTCTCGTCCTCCTCGTCTTGCTCGTCCTCCTCCTCCTGGTGCTCTCTCCTCCTCCTCCTCCTCCTCCTCCTCCTCCTCCTCCTCCTCCTGGTGGTCCTCGTTCTCCTCCTCCTGGTGCTCTCCCCCCCCCTCCTCCTCCTCGTCCTCCTCCTCCTCCTCCTCCTCGTCCTCCTCCTCCTCTTCCTCCTCCTCCTCCTCCTCCTCCTCCTCCTCCTCCTCCTCCTGGTAGTCCTCCCCCTCCCCTCCTCCTCCTCCTCCTCCTCTTCCTGGTCGTCCTCGTTCTCGTCCTCCCGTCTTCTCGTCCTCCTCCTCCTGGTGTCCTCTCTCCTCCTCCTCCTCCTCCTCCTCCTCCTCCTCCTCCTCCTCCTCCTCCTCCTCCTCCTCCTCCTGGTGGTCCTCGTTCTCCTCCTCCTGGTACTCTCCCCCCCCCTCCTCCTCCTCCTCCTCGTCCTCGTCCTCCTCCTCCTCCTCCTCCTCTTCCTCCTCCTCCTCCTCCTCCTCCTCCTCCTCCTGGTACTCCTCCCCCTCCCCTCCTCCTCCTCCTCCTCCTCTCCTGGTCGTCCTCCTCCTCCTGGTCGTCCTCCTCCTCCTGCTCGTCCTCCTCCTCCTCCTGCTCGTCCTTCTTCTCCTGCTCCTCCTGCTCCTCGTCCTGCTCCTGCTCGTCCTCGTCCTCCTGGTCTTGCTCGTCCTCCTCCTCGTCGTGCTCTTGCCCCTGCTGAAAATGTGGCCCAGGAATGGGAGTTCTGGGAAGTCGAAGAGCACGAAGTGGCCTACAGTTGGCTCGGGCATTCAAAATGTGGCCCGGGAATGGAGTTCTGGGAACTCGAAGAGCACGAAGTGGCCTACAGTTGGCTCCGGGCATTCAAAATGTGGCCCGGGAATGGAGTTCTGGGAACTCGAAGAGCACGAAGTGGCCTACAGTTGGCTCCGGGCATTCAAAATGTGGCCCGGGAATGGAGTTCTGGGAAGTCGAAGAGCACGAAGTGGCCTACAGTTGGCTCCGGGCATTCAAAATGTGGCCCGGGAATGGAGTTCTGGGAAGTCGAAGAGCACGAAGTGTGTGACTGTTGCATCCGGTTATTCAGAATGTGGCCTGGGAATGGGGTTCTGAGAGGTCGACGAGCACGAAGTGTGTGACTGTTTGTGAAAAAACGAGCCCGGCACAGGCCCGGCCGGCAACTCCCAACGCCTGCCCGGACCCCCCTGTGGAGTGATCTGTGAGCTCTTTTGAGTCAACTAGAAACCTATCAGTCTACGCTGTTAGGTAATTATCCCGGCAAAGCAACCTAACATCGATGTGTAGGAGCACATCTGGAAGCATTCCCCTTAAGATTCGGATGAGAATCCAGTTGTAGAATTCTGCTGTTCTCGCAGTCGTAGTCGCATTCGCGATGACAGTCGCAGTGGCAACGGCAGTCGCAGTCAGCCTCAGCCTGCCTCAGCCTCAGCCTCAGCCTGCCTCAGCCTCAGCCTCAGCCTCAGCCTCAGCCTCAGCCTCAGCCTCAGCCTGCTTCAGCCTCAGCCTCAGCCTCAGCCTCAGCCTGCCTCAGCCTGCCTCAGCCTCAGCCTGCAGCCTCAGCCTGCCTCAGCCTCAGCCTCAGCCTGCCTCAGCCTCAGCCTCAGCCTCAGCCTTGCCTCAGCCTCAGCCTCAGCCTGCCTCAGCCTCAGCCTGCCTCAGCCTCAGCCTCAGCCTCAGCCTCAGCCTCAGCCTGCCTCAGCCTCAGCCTCAGCCTGCCTCAGCCTCAGCCTCAGCCTGCCTCAGCCTCAGCCTTCAGCCTCAGCCTCAGCCTGCAGCCTCAGCCTGCATCAGCCTCAGCCTCAGCCTCAGCCTGCCTCAGCATCAGCCTGCCTCAGCCTCAGCCTCAGCCTGCCTCAGCCTCAGCCTCAGCCTGCTTCAGCCTCAGCCTCAGTCTGCCTTCAGCCTCGGCCTCAGCCTCAGCCTGCCTCAGCCTCAGCCTGCATCAGCCTCAGCCTCAGCCTCAGCCTGCCTCAGCATCAGCCTGCCTCAGCCTCAGCCTCAGCCTGCCTCAGCCTCAGCCTCAGCCTGCTTCAGCCTCAGCCTCAGTCTGCCTTCAGCCTCGGCCTCAGCCTCAGCCTGCCTCAGCCTCAGCCTGCCTCAGCCTCAGCATCAGCCTGCCTCAGCCTCCTCAGCCTCAGCCTGCCTCAGCATCAGCCTGCCTCAGCCTCAGCCTCAGCCTCAGCCTCAGCTGCAGCCTCAGCCTGCTTCAGCCTCAGCCTCAGTCTGCCTTCAGCCTCGGCCTCAGCCTCAGCCTGCCTCAGCCTCAGCCTGCATCAGCCTCAGCCTCAGCCTCAGCCTGCCTCAGCATCAGCCTGCCTCAGCCTCAGCCTCAGCCTCAGCCTCAGCCTCAGCCTCAGCCTGCTCAGCCTCAGCCTCAGCTGCCTTCAGCCTCGGCCTCCGCCTCAGCCTGCCTCAGCCTCAGCCTGCATCAGCCTCAGCCTCAGCCTCAGCCTCAGCCTGCCTCAGCATCAGCCTGCCTCAGCCTCAGCCTCAGCCTGCCTCAGCCTCAGCCTCAGCCTCAGCCTGCTTCAGCCAAAGCCTCAGCCTCAGCCTGCCTTCAGCCTCAGCCTCAGCAGCCTCAGCAGCCTGCCTCAGCCTCAGCCTGCCTCAGCCTCAGCCTCAGTCTGCCTTCAGCCTCGCCTCAGCCTCAGCCTGCCTCAGCCTCAGCCTCAGCCTGCCTCAGCATTCAAAATGTGGCCCGGGAATGGAATTCTGGGAACTCGAAGAACACGAAGTGGCCTACAGTTGGCTCCGGGCATTCAAAATCATGTTGTTGGCTCCGGGCATCCAAAATGTGGCCCGGGAATGGAGTTCTGGGAACTCGAAGAGCACGAAGTGGCCTACAGTTGGCTCCGGGCATCCAAAATGTGGCCCGGGAATGGAGTTCTGGGAAATCGAAGAGCACGAAGTGGCCTACAGTTGGCTCCGGGCATCCAAAATGTGGCCCGGGAATGGAGTTCTGGGAAGTCGAAGAGCACGAAGTGGCCTACAGTTGGCTCCGGGCATTCAAAATGTGGCCCGGGAATGGAGTTCTGGGAGGTCGAAGAGCACGAAGTGTGTGACTGTTGCATCCGGTTATTCAGAATGTGGCCTGGGAATGGGGTTCTGAGAGGTCGACGAGCACGAAGTGTGTGACTGTTGGTGAAAAACGAGCCCGGCACAGGCCCGGCCGGCAACTCCCAACGCCTGCCCGGACCCCCCTGTGGAGTGATCTGTGAGCTCTTTTGAATCAACTAGAAACCTATCAGTCTACGCTGTTAGGTGGGCCGGCGGAATGAGCGAAGCGATTAAATAAAATGAAGAGGCAGAAGAGAAGGAGAACGAAAATGAAGAGGAGGACGAGGAGTTGGAGGAGGAGGAGGAGGAAGGGGGGAAGAGGAGAGGCAAGGGGAGAAGAAGGAAGGAGGACAAAGGAGGGTGAGCACGAAGACAGAGGAGGACTGATAATGGAGGAGGAGAAGGAGCAAATAAGAATGAGGAAGTATGAGGAGGGATGTGAAGATCAGGATGGAAGAGGACTGAAGAGGTGGGGGAATGAACAGACGTCTGTCGTTGTCGCTGTCGCTGTGGATGGATGTGTCCAGCCCCCCCCTCCCCCTCCCCTGTTCCCCTCCTCCTCGATCGACCCTCCTCCTCCTCCTCCCCCTCCTCCTCATCGAGGCCGCGGCCTTGAGGGCCCAGCAGGTTCCCCTGGCCCAGTCCTGCGCTTGCTTCGCCACCCTGGCGGAGAGCTGCTTGTTGAGCTGCTCCACCTGGAGACGGGAGGGGGAGGGGGGAGGGAGGGACGAGGGAGAGGCGGGCAGGAGGGGGAGGGAGGGGGAGCGGAAGTGCCCGGGGACCCAGACCCCTGACGTCATGTTTTTTTCGTAACGTCGACCCCGAGAGGTCTCGACCCATTCCCCGGCACAGGTGCTTCCTCCTCAGTCGTTATTTTAGGGAGCTCACCAAAGACGTACGCGCCCAACCACGTACATGAATACGGCCCCCGGTCCGCGAGACCAGCCTCGTGATACGACCGGTCGCGCAATGCGCCCTTTCAAAATCAACGTGGATTCATGTACGTGTACGTCCTTCGCTCCTGTTGTTTTTGACGGGCCCAGGGCTGGTAAGTTTTGAGCAGGGGCCGACCGCCAAGGATTCCGATAGGGCCCACAACAGCATGTTCTTAGAACTAGAACGAAAGAAAGCTGTGAGAACAAGCACAATGCTCTTGGACTATAATCGGGCGTTGGCGGGACTGGGTTTAATGGGACCTGGTTTAGAGATATGTACTGGGGGAGCCCCCCCCGCCCCATTCCACGAACCGGCACTGCCGCCAGACGACGAGAAGACAGCTACGGCAGATCTGGTTTAGTGATTTCAATCCATATTTTGAGCTTCGGGGCCCAAGCACTAACTGGATCCCCTTAACCAGGGTCCTGACTACACTCGATACAAAGCCAGGCGGTCTCAGGCAGAAATGTTCTAGGGACATCTCGTGCAAACCCCAAACAATGCCTTTAGAACATCATGTGGCTGACCTGTGGGCAAGCCAGGACGCCTCGCCACGGCCTGAGGTAAGGTATGGGCCCCAGAGGCTGCAAAAAGCCCCCCAAAACTTCCGTCGTGATCGTCTCATGGCTCGAGGGGGTCTTAGGAGGCAGGGGAGCCCACGACGCAGGCCCGACACGGGAGGCCTGCAGCAAGCCCCACACAGGCCCGCACGGAGACGCCTCGGCAGGCCACGGGGATTCGGAGGGGCACGCCCTCGCTTGCCACGGCAAACGGCCGCGCTCAGCGCCACGGCTTGGCCGCACTGGCCTCTCCGAGGCGCGGCAGTGGACGTGCGTGCCGGGGCAGGGCAGGACCAGTCAGCATCGATACGGGATGACGGATCGGGTCGGAAAGTGCATCGGATCGGACTGCGTCGGCACGGAATCGAAATCGAATCGGACCGGCCGCGCAAAGGTGCACAACAACGCCACGCAAGCATCGGGCTGACTCCGATCGTCGGAAAATCCGAATCGAATCGGATCGGGCCAATCGGAATCGATATCGAATCGGATCGCTTAGACCGATCGGATCGAAGTGTACCCTGCAGATTGCCCGCCGGGCTCTTATTTGCCCCGAGATTGAAAAGCCCAGGGCGGTGACGGCCTTGGGGATGTGCCCTCAGAAGCGGGGGGGGTCCCCAGGATCGGCATTACAAGGATGAGGATGTGCTCCAGGATGCCAAGCAGCCTCGACTTCAAGCCCATCTTGGCATCCGACGGACGTGCTTGTTTTGTGCGCTGGCCGCAGAGCTCTCGAGACCCCACCTGGGGGCAGCCGATGCATCCCCGATCCAGACCTGGCAAGCCCCCCCCGGCCCGAGAGCGGCACCCGGGAGCAGCAGCAGCCCGCTATCGAGGCCTGGGCCTTCCCGCCCGGAGGGCATCGGCCCCCGGGCCTCCCCCGGGAGGCCTGCCTGCTGGCCGTGGCGGCGAGGAGGGCCCCGCCCCCCATGGGGCGTCCAAGGGGCCCCCAGGACGCCCCGGGGGGCCCCCAGGGCGCCCCGGGAGGCCCCCCGCTCTGGGAGGCCCCCAGGAGGCTGCCCAAGAGGAGAGGCCCCGAGGAACACCGAGGAGGCCTCCTTTCCTCGACCCGGGCACGGCGACGGGAAGGGCCACAGGCCACTATAGACATTGGTGACGATGACGATGACGCCATCGTCATCGTCATCGTCATCATCATGGTCATCGTCATCATCGGTATGATAGTGAGCTCAGCGATCTGCGAGGTCAGGAACCAGGAGCAGCATTAACCCATGCTACTTGTCTCCATCAGACCTGGGCAGGCAGGCGACGACATCGCCACTGCTGGTGACACCTGTTCGTCGGCGGCACTCTCGTGGACAAATGAGAAGTTCAAACAGTGATGGTTGCCTCCGCATCGCAAAATTGAACCACACAAATTGATAACAAAAACGTTCTCCAAATGGCAAACTTATTGCGCTGGCTCTTCGCCGCTAATGTTGTTTGCGATGAGGGCGTGAGCTGTAAGTATGACTTGTGCGTAGAGCCTCGAACTCTGGAACCTTGTACACCTTGAAACTGTCCCAACAAAAGCTCGGCTTGAGACGGAAATGCGTCGGCGCCGGCCTGCTGAAATTTGTCCCAGATTCCACCGCAACAGTCGGGAATGGGCGGAAGTCGACAATCGCACCTACGTCGATGACGACTCCTGTCGTTCTCGGAAGCCCGACCGAGCCCCTGGTCCCGATTGCCCCACACACCTCGCCTGCGCCAATCTGGCTGCCATGCTCGCCACCTTTGCTGGACCGCTTGTTGCGATGGCTGGGCGCGGGAAAGCGATCACCCTAGCGCCTGTACCAGCGATCACGGCATATTGTACTCCAGAACGGCTCGGTCATTTGATCCCCCAGTAGCTGAAGCGGACAAGATCAAGCATGCAGCAAGCGGGCGATCCAGCTCGGACGATCGAAACGCGTGGCACATGGCATGTAAGTCGGGGTTTAAGCGTGATCCGAAATTCGCAGTTGCTCCGGACATAGAAGCGTCCCCAAGATATCAATAACCTCCTGGCCTTTTAAGGCGTGAGTGCCTTAGAGCGTTTCCTCCTCCACCCCCCCTTCTTCCCCTTCGGGGAGATCTCTCTGTTCCCTATTAATCAACACCCCTCCCCCAGGCGACCGGTAGCCAACCCAGCCGCATGAGACCACACACACACAAACACACGCACACACACACGCGCACACACACCATCACATGTAAACAAAAAATGCAACACGCATTTTGCCTCCAAAACTCGAGCATGCGCGGGAACTTGCAGAGTGCCCCGCGACCACTTCGCATTGTCTTTTGACAGGGACGGCGGGGGTGCCCGCATATTGCTTGCTGTGCAAAGGCCAACTATCCGTTTGAAAACAATATGACAAGTACTCATTCGCTCTAAATCTGGAGCATGCGCAGGGCAAGATTTGGCTGAACCATCATGTGTTCCGCGACTCCTCAAGTTGTCACAGTTTGTCCATCGGTGTCGGTGCCTTGCGCTCCCTGGAGGAGCCACCCATAGAATGCTCGGCACTTCGCTTCAGGTGGACTCGTGATCCTGAACCCCTTGGGGCCAGGACCCCAGGCACCTGGGGTCCATATTGGTTCCTCCTAGCTGGCGCAGCTGGCGGCTAGAGCACGTGGCACAGTTGGCGTACGTGGAGAACATGCCGCACCTGGAGCGCCTGACATGCTTGGGCCTCCAGGGTGCCTGGTGCACCTGGAACCCGTGGCGATATGTAGACACCTGGATGTTACTAATGTGTTGGGAGGGCGGGTGGGAGTGAGCTACACGGCTTGCTACTTCGGAATGTAGCTTGACCTATCCCCCTACCCCCCTCTCCCTGGGTCTTGACGGGGCCTTTCGCAAGGGGATGGAGCGCCCAAGATGGCCTCAGCTAGAAAGCCAAAATCATTGATTTGACTCAAATGTTGGCCACAAGTTGGCCTTCTGGGAGCAACGCTAATCGGAACCACCCCCTTCTTTGATCGCTCATCTCCAAGATGGCCCAAATATGGCCTCCGAGGCTCCCAAGAATTCCCCAAGAGGGCCCGAAAAGACGCCCAGGAAGCGCCATCATGCCCCCAAGATGCCCCGAAGATGCCCCCCAGAGGTTCCCAAGAGGCCCCCAAGAGGCCCCAAGAGACCTTCAAGAGGCATCCAAGACGCCCCAACAGGCCTCGGCGAGAAGGCCAAAGTCACTGATTGTCCTAAAGGTGTTGGCCAAAGTCTGGCCTCCTGGGGGGGGGACCTGATTAAGGACCCCTCCTCCCATGATCGATCTCCTCCACGATGGCCCCAAGATGGCCCCCGAGGCGCCCAAAGGTGCCCACAAGACGGCCCCGAGAAGTGGCGAGGAGGCCCCAGGAAGCCCCCGAGAGGCCCCTAAGATGCCCCCAAGAGGCTCCCAAGAGACCCCCGAGAGGCCCCAAGATACCCCCCCCCCCAGAGGCATCCAAGACGCCCCAAGAGGCATCGGCGAGATCACCTATGTACATCATTGCTTGTAGGAAAGAAAGTTTATGCCGCATTTGGGCCTCCTGAAGGGGGGGATTCACATGTTCTACGGCCCTTCCTTTGATCAATCTCCTCCAAGGTGGCTCCAAAATGGCCTCCCGAGCCTCCCAAGGGTGCCCCCAGACGGCCCCGAGAGGTACCCAGGACGCCCCAAGAGGCCCCCGAGAGGCCACAAAGATGCTCCCAAGAGGCCCCAAGAGACCCCCCAGAGGCCCCCAAAAGGCCCCCCAGAGGCACCCAAGACGACCTAAGAGGCCCCCGGGACTGCCAAGAGACCGCAAAGACATCTCAATAGGACTCCACGAAGCTCTCGGAAGAAATCCAAAGAGACTCCGGGAGGCATCCAAGAGGCTTCTGGCGTTTCTGCTCGCGCTCTGCCTCCTCCTCCTCCTCCTCCTCCTCCTCCTCCTACTCCTCCTCCTCCTCCTCCTCTTCCTCATCCGCCTATTCCTCCTCCTTCCTCCTCCCTCCTCCTCCCCCTCTCCCTCCTCCTCCTCCTCCTCCTCCTCCCCCTCCTCCTCCTCCTCCTCCTGCTCCTCCGATTCATCATTCCCCAATCCGTGCTAGCACTGAAGGGGTCCTAGCGGATCTTGAAGGATTTGCTGGGCGGCGGGGTTCCCAGGTTTCTGGGTTCCCGGGTTCCTGGTCGATCTCCTTATCGATCGATGTCACCATCGATCTCATCATCAACCTCTCAATCGATCTCACTAACGACCTCACAATCGATCTGACTATCGATCTCACAATCGATCAAACTATAGATCACACGAACAATATCACGATCGATCTCACTCTCGATCTCACTGAATCGACTTCGCTATCGGTCTCACGATCGGCCTTAATTACCGTCCTCACTAGTGATCCCATTTTCGATCTCACTATCGGTCCTACAATCGATCTCAATGCCCATACCATTTATTGTCAACTCAACCCATCCACTGAGTTGTTTTTCCCTGGAGTAATCCATCCTCCCTCTGTTGTGGTCTGACGTCTTACCCAGCTCTTGATTCAACTGCATGCTCCTCCACACCCCGGACCAGGGCAACTCGTCTCGGCATCGTTTCTGGATAGGCTGGTGGGGCTACGCGAAGCGTCTAGAATGTACATGCTCCATCATACCCTCTCCCTCCCCTCCCACATCGCCCCCGATCATGTCCCGCCTCCTCCCCGGCGTGGTGGTAATAGGGTGAGATAATGTTCTGGGCGGCGGCGCAATGAGGAAAGGGGGAGAAGGAGAAAAAGGACCACAGCATGCCCCAAATACTAGCCTACGGGGGCCACAAGGCGGCGCGGCCCTAATCCCACCAGCCCTCTAGACACAGGTGGTTTAAATAGTTATGTTATCTTTTTGCCGACGCTCCTTCCTTTCCCTGCTCGGGGGAAGGGCTTACCCCTCCCCCTACCCCTTCATCTGGGCCTGGAAGGGGCGGGCTGCGAGGTGTCAGAGGATGCTTGCCGGCCCGAGATGGCAAACCAAAAGGACTCACAAAGCCCAAGATGGTCTCCAAGATGGCCCAAGATGCTTCAATACAATTCAAGATTGCCTCCGACATGCCTCCAAGAAACCCCAAGACAGCCCCAAGACGGCTCCAAGTGCCCTCCGGGCCTTCCAAGGCACACCTTAGGAGGCCCCAATCCTTCAAAAACGAACGGGCAATGAGTGTCTGTTACCTTCTAGCTTCCTCGTTTCCGATGGGCCTGTGGTGCCTCAAGATGACCCCAAGCTTGCCCAAGAGAGCCCCAAGAGGGGCCCAGGAGGACCCCAAGAGAGCCCCATGAGCGCCCAAGAGCGCCCCAAGATCGCCCCAAGAGGGCCCCTTTTAATACATTGTTTGCACCTCCGAGGGGGACCAGAACTTCCGACCCCTGCCTTTCCGAGCGATGGGGCCCAAGATCGCGCCGATGGGCCTCCCAAACTCCCACGTTGCAGAGTCTGTGCCGCCCCCCCCACCACCGCTACAAGGCCCTGCAAAGAGGGAACCCATCTTTTGCTGGTTATGGCGCCTTGAGCCCCACAATTCAAAAAGAGGGGGGGGGGGGGGCGAAAACCAGGTCACCCCCCGCGAGCACGACCGATCGCAACCACTCCGGACCGATCGTAAACCACTTCGGACCGATCGCAACCAGTTGCGATCGGTCCGAAGTGGCTGCGATGTTTTTGGGTCGTTTCAACTAGGTTCTGATTGAGGAAAAGATCGTAAGAGCGCTTCTGGGTTAAATGAATTCCTTTAAGCCGCCCAATGGGAATCTGAAAAAGCGGTTGCGATCGGTCCGATCACAGACGGCCGATCATGATCTCAGCTAAACACATGTATTGGAGCTCGAACGTGGCCATGATCCGTATACGATTTCCTATGTGATTCGTATACGGTTGAAACCGAAACTGAACAAAAACGCTTGGCGTGAAACAAATTGCATCTCAGGAGGGGGGCGGGGAAGAGCAAGAGGAGGAGGAGGAGGAGGAGGAGGAGGAGGAGGAGAAGGAGGAGGAGGAGGGGGAGGAGGGGGAGGAGGAGGAGAAGGAGGAGGAGAAGGAGGAGGACAAGGAGGAGGATGACGAGGAGAGAGGAGGAGGATGAGGAGGAGGAGGAGGAGGAGGAGGAGGAGAGGGAGGAGGAGGAGGGGAGAGGAAGAGGAGGCGGAGGAGGAGGGGGGAAGGGGGAAAGGAGAAGGAGGATGGGAGGGAGGAAGGACAGGAGGAGGAGGAGGAGGAGGAAGAGGAGGCGGAGGAGGAAGAGGAGGAGGAGGAGGAGGGGGAAACGGAAGAGGACAGGATGGCAAGGAGGGTAGACGCGGCGGCCCAAGCCCCCAATGCCATGACTTTTCCAGGACGTCGACCCCCAGAAGTCTGGACGAATTCCCCTACGGTAGGTTCGTGCGGCGTCGGCACCCGCTAGGTTTTGGCACGACGCCAGGCGGTCTGGGCCTGTGGTGATTGTGGGAACCATGGCTGGGGGACGTGTGCGCCCTGCGCGGCCTGCGAGACCTTTGGCGCCCGTGCGACACGCAGGACCTGTGGGACCTGTGGGGTCTGCGGGGCAGGCAGAACGGCGGGATCCTTGGGACTTGTGCGACCTGTGGGAACTGTGGACTTGTGCAACCAACCTGTGGGAACTGTTGGGCCTTTGAAAAACCATCGGGGCCCTTCGTCACCACGAGCAGAACCCTCTAGCGGACCGCAACGTTCTCTGGGGTCGCCTCCTCCTCTCAGAAAGCTCCCACAAGCCTCTCAGAAGCCTCCCACATGCGTCTAAAAAGCCTCCCACAAGCTTCTCAGAAGCCTCTCACAAGCCTCGTAGAGGCCTCAGAGAAGCCTTTCAGAAGCCTCAGAGAAGCCTTTCAGAAGCCTCAGAGAAGCCTTTTTCAGAGGCCTCAGTGAAGCCTTTCAGGAGCCTCGGAGAAGCCTTTCAAAGGCCTCAGAGAAGCCGTTCAGAAGCCTCAGAGAAGCCGTTCAGAGGCCTCAGAGAAGCCTTCCAGAAGCCTCAAAGAAGCCTTTTCAGAAGCCTCAGCAGGAGATTTTGGATCGGTTGCAATCCGGTGTTCTCCTGACACGTTTGTATAGGAATCCTTTAGGTTGCGATCAGTCCTTTCCCAGTGGATGCAATCCGACCGAAGTAGTTCCTGAACCGTCCGAAGTGGTTGTGATCGGTCTTATTCCCGTCACCCCCCCCCTCTTGAAGCTCTTAGCTCGTGCCGCGTTCCTTCTCGTCCTCCTCCTCCTCTTCCTCCTCCTCCTCTTCATCCTCAGTTTCCCTTGTTCCTCCTCCTCCTCCTCCTCCCCCGCCTGCGCATCAGACTCCTCCAGATCCGTCAAGACATGCTAGATCATTCCAAAAAATACCCCAGAAAAACAAAATAAAGATGCGGCAGCAGGGGAACATTCGTTATACGATTCAGCAAGTGTTTCCACCGTTTCTGCGCCCCGAGTAGGCTTCCACAGCGGCGCGAAGCGACAAACACTCAAAGATGGGTTTGTAGGGACACGCGAAGCATGTGACGGATCACTCCAGGGCGAATTGTAAACATGCAGCGAAGCACAGACAGTGATAACGCGAGCACAGAGTAATGCCCTAAAGGGGCTACCAAGCAAGCGAGCACACGTGCAAGTAGCTAGGCAAGCACGCAAGGGAACACACAATCGATGACGCAGGCAAGCAAGCCAACCCGTAGGAGGCAACACACACACGGGCAAGTGCACAAGTACACCCATGGGCAAGCCAACAGAAGCAACGGCAACTATTGATACTACACTGCGAGCCCACTCTAAGAAAAAGGAGAGAGAGAGAGAGAGAGAAATAAAGAAACCCAGAGAGAGAGAGCGAGAACGAGTGGCATAGAGGGATATGCATCTATATATATATATAAATATACATTTGGAGAGCGATAGCGACCAAAACAGAAGTCCATCGACAGATCACTAAAGAGAACGATATAAACATCTACATGTACATATACATATATGTGTATACATAAATACAAAGAGAGAGAGAGAGAGAGAGAGAGAGAAAGAACGAAAAAGAGAGAGAGAGAGAGAGAAAACAAACACAACAACAACAACAACAACAACAACAACAACAACAACAACAACACACGCTGTATACACACATATTGTACGAGTACAACCTGGATTGCTGTGTATACACCGACGAGGACCGATACTCACGTAAATGCACATAGGGAGGGAGCGCGTTTATAGGTACATCCACAGGCCGAAGGTTAATCCCCTTGGAGTTCAACTATGACAACGCCAATGGACCACATTTGATCATGTTTCTGGGAGTGTGGCAATTTCGTGGGTCCTATATTTGGAACTGCGCGGGTCCAATTTCCCAGGTGTGAAAAACGAATGGATCCATTTAGTTTCCTGGCGTACATTCTACTAAGCATGAACCTCCTGGGCCCACAAGGCTTTGGATCCACGGGGCGCTGCGCGTGAGGCATCGTGGTATCCATGGAGCTGCGGCTTTGCATACCAATGCTATGATTATACAGGGGGGGGTCCTCCTACGGTGACGATACGGGAAAAGGGGGGAGGCAATGTGAGGGGAGAGGAGGAGAGAGAGGGATACGGAGGTGGAACGGGGATGTAGGAGGAAAGAGGAGGATGATGAGGAGGAGGATGAGGACAGAACAGGACAGGGCAGGACATCCGCATTAGGGGGCCATCGTCAACGCACCCAGATTGGTGCCTTGCGCGCGTCTGCAAAATCCCCTGCGATTTGGTTGTGCAGCAGCCCTGGCTTCTGACCAGGGCCGACAGGGGTCACGCCCCGAATCTTCAAGGGGTGAGCTCCGAGGTGGCCCTGTTAGAGAGGCTCGCTACCTTGTGAGTACGAGTCCCTGCGGGTCACTGCGGGGCAGTTGCTGGCCCTTCCGCGTGCCATGGGAATGCGGACGCGCTGGGCGAGCCGGGATCCCAAGCTAGGGGGGAAGAGACGACGACGCGACCACTCAAAAGGAAAGGGGGAGGAGAAACAGGAGGCCCACGCCTTCCAAACTTCTGCTGGGGGGCTAAGTATCCTACTCTTTCCTGTTATATCCTCTCTCTCTCTATCTCTCTCTCGGCTCACTCTTCTTCCAGAGCGAACTGAACGACACTTGTCACATGCGTTGTCGTAACTGTACCCTGATACCCTGCTGAAATATCCTACTCTTCCCCCTCGAAGTGTAGGTAGGGACAAGCAGACTGGTAGTCACTGTATGTTGGAAGTGGGGCCATCGTGGATACGCTCTGGTGGCTTTCGTGGTTATCACCTTTCCCCATTCCTCCCGGCAGTAATGGACTTGTCGGCGCTCCAAAAAAACACTTCCCAAGACGCTGTTTGCGCGAACTCTCTCTTACGGGTCCTCACGCCGTAATTGCCCCGCTAATGATGGTCCCACTGACAGCCCGCCCTGCCAGCCTAGAGCCGCACTCCGAAATAACCGCGCTAATGCACCTCTGGGCGTTGTCAGTGGGTTCTGGTGGGCCCTCTCACTTGCGGCCGCTGGAGCTGGCCGCCTCCTCCCACTTGGCGTACCTCTCGAAGATCTCGATACCATCCAGAAGGGTTTTCGTGCTGTCCCGTAGCTCCTGGCGCTGTTTGAACCTTTTTTCACCTGCTCTGGGTCGAGATTGCCCTCGTTACTCAGCTCCTTCAAGGCAACCAGGAGGAGAAGGAGCAGGAGGAGGAGAAAGAGGAGGAAGGAGGGAGGCGGAGAGAAGAGACAGGAGGGGGGAAAGGCAGGAGGATGGAGGGGGAGGAAGACGAGAGGGAAGAGAAAGAAGAGGCTGGAGGAGGAGGTAGGACGAAGAGGACGAAATCGAGCAAATTACCAAGGTCAGAAGCTCGAGCGCCACAGCGGGCCCAGCTACCTCCCCTAAGCGCTCCCATAACATGAGTGCGCTCGAGCACGCATGTTATGGGAGCGGTTAGGGGAGCAACAGGCATCCATTCACTTGAACGGCACGGCGCCTCCGACATCTCGGGGTCGAGAGGAAAATCGCTCGGCCCGAGTAAGTATGTGCAGAAAGGGACAATCAACGAGAGAGAGAGAGAGAGAGAGACACACACACGCACGAAATATATATAGAGAGAGAGTATATATATATAGATAGAGAGAAAGAAAAAAGTGTGAGAGGGAGAGGGATGAAACAAATACGCGTTGCTATAATAAAAGCAAGAGAGAGAGAGAGAAAGACATAGAGAACAGAGAGACGCCGCGCCCGCTACTCGCTGGAGGCGTGCACACAGGATGCACGATCGGCGGGGCGCCCAGAGAGAGAGCCCCCGCGAGATCCCGCAGCCGAGGCCCGCGGCCAGCGACTCGTCCGAGCCGCCCCTGCTGCGGCCCGCGGCCGCGCCCGCCGCCGGGGCATGCGGCTGCCGCCTCTCCGCCGGCAGGGGCGGCCTCGCGACGGGCGAGGCCAGGACGTGCGCGCCCGCGCGGGGCAGCAGGTCCTGGCCGGGGCGGGGCGCGGGCGGTCGCGCGGAGGGGTGCCGCTCGCAGACGTGCTCGCGTCGCGAGGAAGAAAGGCAGAGCAGGGCAAGGGGTCTGTGATCGTTTTGGCCCCCTCGTGATTCGATGGCCCCAGGAGCAGTGCCCGAGGGAGAGGGGGATCGTTTCTTGGCCACCGGGGCCCCAGGGCCGTCGAGAAACGACTCAAGATGAAACGCCCGCCCTGGGGAGAACGTCGGCACTTCCAGGGACCGCGTACGAAACAAAAATCAGGACGTCGCATGTCTGGGCCTGCAGAGCGCACTCGCCAACACGGAGCAGAGGCCAAAGAACTCCGTGGATCTGGCACGCGGGCGCCAGATCCACGGGTCGGGGAGAGCACCCCGGAAAGATGGGATCAAAGCCGCCTCATTTGGCGAGGATCGCGCCGATTATGTACTGAATTCCGGAAGCCCTGAACCCAAAAGGTTGTCATCTCTTGGGACGTCGACGTGTGCTTCCGCTGGCCTTCCGCCGGCGGAGGCGGCCCAGTTTTACTTCCGCCGCCTTCCGCCGCCCTTCTGCGGCCTTCCGCCGAGGAAGAGATGGCAACTCCTGCGATCGTCGAACCCTCGAGGGCAGAGCTCTTGCTTGGAGCGCTCCGTATGGGGAAACGGGGCCCGCCGCGAATCCACGCGCCGCGATCCATGCTTACGTCTCCCTGACACACTTAAGAGGGGCAGACCCCGGGGAGAGGGCCCCGGGCAGTCGTGAGAGTGCACGAGGCCGCCGAGTGCCTGGCCGGGGCCTATCTCCCTGGGCCCCGGCAAGGCGTGCCCGCCCTCTCCTGGCCGAGCCCGGGAGGGTCTGGAAGCCAGCCTGGGTGGCGCCGACCAGGCATCGTGATGGCGTGCAGTTGCTTGGCGGCGCGCACAAGGGGGTACAGTCAACCAGTATGAGAAGGACGCACGATAAGGATGCAAGGGCCTTGGAAGGCCATGTTGACGTTTTTCAAGCGGGGCGCGGCCAGCGAAAGTTGCCAAGGATGGGCCGAAGTGGAAGGATAAAAGGGTAGCCTTGGAAAGTCGCTCATCCTTGTCATGCGGGTTGACTGTACAGTTGCTTGGCGGCGCGCACAAGGGGTAAAAGAAGGGGGGAGGCTTGTTAGAAGGATGCTGCTTCTTGGAAGGCGCCGGCCCTGCATCTACAGACAAGGCCCGCGCCTTCCGAGAAGCAGGGGTGCTTGTAAGAAGCCTTCCCCCCTCCCCCTGCCCACCTCTGCACGGGGCCGAACACAGTTGTTTTCTGCGGAAGCGTTCGGAAGCCCGCGCGGACCTTCTGGGTCGACGCCGAAACCTCACCTGGCGGCGCGTTTCGCGCACCCGCGCGCGTCAGGGGGAGGGGGCCCAGCGCTGGTCCCAGAAACTAGGGCTCCCAACTTCGCGCTTCGCGCTGCGCGAAGCGCGAATAACTTCGCGCTCTCGCGCCGCCCTCCCAAAGGGAGAATAGGAGGACGAGGAGGAGGGGGAGAAGGAACGAGGACCGCGAAGCGCGAAGCGCGAATAACTTCGCGCCCTCGAGGGAGCCCTTGAGAAATCTGCGAAGCCTCCAAAAGCTTCGGCAAGTCGCTACCTCTGCTTCCTCAGGGCCGCGTCCGGCCGTGGTGACGAGGGGCCTCCAGGAACGCTCGAGAGCCGCTGCGACAACAGCTCAAAGCCTGAGTCCAATCGACGCTCGAGACGCGTCATCGTCGTCGCGCTCGCTCGTCGTCCTCGCACGTCGCCGTCGTTCGTTTGTCTGTTCGTTCGTTCGTTCGTCGTTCGTCGTCATCGCTCGTCGTCGTCGTTCCTCGTCGTCGCCATCGGGGTCGGCGTCGCGCGGCGTCGTTCGTCGTCGTTTGTCGTCGTCATCGCTCGTCGTCGTCGCCGCTCCTCGCCGTCGTCGGCCTCGCTCGGCGTCCCTCGTCGTCGCTCGTCCTCGTCGCTCGTCGTCGTCGTGTGCCGTCGTCGGCGCGCGCGCGCGCGCTCCCTGGACGCGCTCCGCGAGCGGGCGCCGGGCCGCGCGTCCGCGCCCCTCTGCGGCGCTGCGGCCGCGCCAGGCGGGCCCGCCGCCGCGGAGGCGCCGGGCGGCGGCCCGCGCGGCGAGGGCCCCCACCTGTGGGGCTGAGGGCGCCGCCGCCGCCTCGGGGAGTCGTCGCCGTGCGTGCCGCTGTGGGCCTTTGTTGGCAGGAGCAGGGGCAGGCGGGCAGCACAACAGGCAGAAGGCCGGCAGGCACCACGTCGTCGCGACAGGGGGGCGGGGCCTGCCGACGCCGAGCGAGGCCGACGACGAGGAGCGACGACGACGACGACGACGACGAGCGATGACGGCGACAAACGACGACGAAGGACGCCGCTGCGCGACGCCGATCGGCCTCACTCGGCGTCGCGGGGCGGGGGGGCTCCCACCGCTGCGCGGCCGCCAGCTCCGGCGCCGCCTCCGCGAAGACGGGCGGCGGGTGGCTCCGCAGGTCGGCCAGGACCTCGGCGGGGGGCGGTCTCCTCCTCCTCCTCCTCCTCCTCCTCCTCCTCCTCCTCCTCCTCCTCCTCGCCCAGTCATTTCCCTTACGAATAACTCCTCCCTGTCGCGCCCCCAGACGTGTCAGTCGGGCTGGGCGTTTCGGTCTGGCGCTCTGCCTTCGCGACCCCCAAAGACGTTCCAGGAGGGCTCCTCAGGGCCTGCAGGAGAGCCCAGGGTCCGACACGGTCCAAGAGCGTTCCAATACTCTCAACATGGTTCCTTCAGGGCCCCAAAGGACTCGCAAACGCCCCAAGAGCGCTCCCAAGGAGGCCCTGAGAGGCCAAAATCATGAATTGTCCTTCGGTGTTTGGCGCCCCCAGACGTGTTGGTAGGGCGGGTTGGGCGATTTGCCCGAGACTTAGTGTTCTGAAGCTTGAGCTTTTCAACGGTTGCACACACGGAGAAGGTTCGTTTTGAAATGGAGTTCTCGCCTGAGCGCCGCGCACATTCGTTTAGTAAAGGTGGAGGAGGGCCGTTGTCAAATTGAGGTCTCGCCAGAGCGCCGGGCTCATCCGTCTTACATGTTCAAAATGGGGCCCTCGCCTTAGCGCCGGGCACATCCGTTTCATCTGATTTTGCCACGAGACCCGACCTTGGAGGACAAGTGGGCGTGACTTGCTAGAAAGAGAAAACCAAGGAAGAGGATTGCTATAGGGCACATACTGCTGCTTCCCGAATTGTCCGTTTGACGCTGTGCCGCTTTAATGCGCATTATGCTGGTTCCCGAGTTGTCCGTTTGACGCTGTGCCACTTTGTCTGGAGTCTCCGACCATCTTGGAGAGATGTTGGGCACTCTTCGGGCCCTGGGGCGTCTCCGACCATCTCGGGGCCCTCTCATGGGGCCCTCTTGGGGACCTCTTGGGGACCTTTGGGGGCTTCCTGGGGAACTCTTGGAAGCTTCTTTGGCCCTCTTATAGTCTCCTGAGGGTGCTTTCGGGTGGAGAACCCAAAAATGTTGGTCCCTGCCCCTCCTCTGGGGCCCCTCTTGGGGCGTTCCTGGGGCCTTCTCGGGCCGTCTTGGAGGCCTCTTGGGCCGTCTTCGGGGCGTCTTGGGTCGTCTGGGCGCTCTCTTGGGGAGCTCTTAGGCCGTTTGGGGGCGATCTTTGGGGCCTCTCTGAGGGAAAGCATTTGAATTTGACTCTTGGGGCTCTCTTGGGCTGGCCTCTTGGAGGCCTCCTGAAGGCCACTTGGAGGCTTCTTGGAACATCTTGAAGCCATCTTGGGCGTCTTGGACCGATCTTTCGGCGACTCGTGGCCCCCTTCGACAATCTTGCGAACCATCCTGGGGCCGTCTGGGCCGCCGGGAAACGCGTCTGCCGAAATGGGGCCGACAACGGCCGTCTTCCGCTGGCGTTCCGCCCGTGGCCGGGGCCATGTACCCCCCCCCCCCCAAGGGAACACTAAACAGGAACCTTTCCGCAAGGTCGCGGAAAAAGCTTTTCAACATAGGGTTGTTGTCTGAGCGCCGCGCACATTTGCCTGACGGCTTGCAAGGGCTTCAAGGATGGAGGTCAGTTCCTTTTCAAAATGGGGCTCTCGCTTGAGACATCTTCAATTTCAAATGCCAGAGACTTCAGTGTATGTATCGATGTCTATATGTGCATATACAGCAGCTGCACGGGTGGGGGGCGGCTCATTTCAGAACGGAGCTATCGCCCTAATTAGTCTTCTTTGAAGCTCATGACTGGAACTGTGAACTTGCGCAGTACATCGTAATATTCGCACGGACGGGGTGGGGGGCTTATGCAACACGTGAAATCGATGGACACGTAGTTGAACTGGATGATCCTACCCTTCCGTATTCTTGATTGCGCGCGAGAGCCTGACTCCGAAGGTTGCCAAAGGTGCTCCTTTGGTGCCCCCCGGCTGTGGGCGCCACTTCGGAGTCCCAGACACACCCGGCCACAGCGACGCGAAGCACCGCGCGCTGGACCAGCAGGAGCACCGCGGAGGCTACAGCGACGGGGAGCACGGCGCGCTGAACCAGACGGAGCATGCCGCGGAGCTGGCTACAGCGACGCGGTGCGCGACGCGCTGGACCAGAAGGTGCACGTCGCGGAGGCTGGCGCGGGCTGCCCCTGCCGCCGGCGCGGCCTGGGGGCCACAGCGACGTGGAGCGCGGCGCGCTGGACCAGAAGGAGCACCGCGCGCTGGGCCAGAAGGAGCATGTCGCGGAGGCTGGCGGGCTGCCCCCGCCGCCGCTGCGGCCCGAGGGCCCCGCCGCTTGTGCGCCGTGGGCCGAGTAAAGCGGCATCGAGTCCTGCTAGCCCCCGCCGAGGCGGGTGGGGGCTAGCTAGGCCCGCGAGCTAAGGGCCCCAGGGCCCCGCGGCGGTCGGTGATGGGCCCAGTGGGCTCAGCGGGCCTTTTTGTTGTTTCTTTCCCTTCCCCGTCCTCCTGGCCGAAATTTACCAAGGGATTTGTCCTCGGCCCTCCCCCCTCCCGTCCTCCTCCGACGGCGCTCGGCCGTCGGGCGCGCGGACGCGCTTCAGGGGCTAGACCCCTGCAAGCGCGCGAAACAGCGGAAACAGCGGGGAAGACGAGGAGACAGAGGAGGAGGAGGAGGAGGAGGAGGAGGAGGAGGAGGAGGAGGAGGAGGAGGAGGAGGAGGAGGAGGAGGAGGAGGGGAGAGGGGCATGGCGAACGAAGGGGAGGGGAGGAAGAGAGGGCAAGGTGACAGGAGAGAGGAGAAGGGAAAGAACCGCCGAGAACACTCCAGAGCAGCCAAACACCTCCTCGATTCTCGGATCCCTCCTCCTCGATCCTCGATCCTCATTCGATGGCGACCGTCGCCCCCCCCCGACCAGGAATACGGAAACACACATGGCGGGATTTACGTGCGGAACATCCAGCGGCCACTTGCTGGATGCACATGCGAAGGCCCAGCGTACCTGGCCACAGAAGGGCCGACAGCTGGAAAGACATCTGGCCACATGCGTACCCAGCTCTTGCCCAGGCCGGCCGCATCACGTGTATCCAGCTTCCTGGTAGTCGTGACCTGGATGCCCCCCGAGAAAATCGGTCAAGACGGGGGGATGAGGCCAAATCTGCTCAAAATCGGTCCCTGGATCACTCCCGAGGTCCATGTGGCGCAGCTGCCTCAGACCCAAGACTTCGAACCATTCCCCCCCCGCCTTGCTGGTGGGAACCAGTGCTGGGCCACCTCAGACCCCAGCCGGCTCCAAGTCGCGACCCCGCCCCCCTCGCCACTGCCCGAGAAGGGGAACCGCTGCGCGGCGCTTTCCAGCCGCCCGGGGCCACCGAGCGACCCAGGCGCGCATCCAGGCAGTCCCCGTCGACGACGCCCGGGGGCGGGCCGGGCGGCACCCCACTCGCCGCCCCTCCTAGGCCTCTGCCGGCGGCGAGCGAGGGGGGGAAGTGAGAAGGAGAAGGCCCTCTCAGAAGGCGGCGGGACCTCTCAAAGCCCTCGCGCCTTCTCAGAAGCTTCCCGTGAAGGCTTAGGGAGCTTCCCGGAAGGTCGGAGGACTTCCGCCCCTTCTGAGAAGGCCCGCCCCTTCTCACTGCCCCCGCCCCCCGGGCTCGCCGCCGACTCTGGGCCAACACGACCCAGAGAGGATCGATGCTCCAGATGCGCTTTCCCTGACCACCCTGTCTGTGTGGGTCTTGGATGATGCTTCCCATGCCTCGCGAGGGAGCCCCGGCCCCCGGCCATCGTGGCCCACGCCCACGCCCACGCCCACGCCCACGCCCGCGACCGCACCTGCGCCAGCGCCCGCGCCCACGCCCGCGCCCACACCCCCACATCCACGCCCCCACATCCACGCCCATGCCCATGCCCACGCCCACGCCCACGCCCACACCCACACCCACACCCACCACACCCACATCCACGCCCACGCCCACGCCCACGCCCACGCTCACACCCAGACACACGTCCACGCCAACACCCACACGCACACCGACACCCACATCCACGCCCACGCGCGTCCAACCACTCCAGCGGGCCCGCGCTGAGCCCCATATGACTCAGACCTCCGGCGTCACAAACACATCGCGGCGGCTCTTCCACGCTCTTGGCTTCTATACAGCCCATGGAAGCCCGACTCGGGCCTCGGGGCCATCACAAACACGCCCCGGAAAAAAAAGCGTCCCAGGGGTGGCGCAAGAATCCTGGGAGCGTCGGGAAGCCGAAAAGTCTAGAACGCCCAAATCTTTCAAAAACAACCGGAAAATCAATGATGTGTGCCTCTTGGGGCCCTCCCGGGAGGCCTCTTGGAGGCCTCTTGGGGCGTCCTGGAGGCCTCTTTGGCCATCGTGAGGCCATCCTGGGCGTCTTGGAGCGATCTTTCGGCGACTCGGGGCCCTCTTGGACCGTCTTGGGGGCCTCGTGGGGTCCACGTCACCTCGCCATCGCTCGGAAGTCCATTTCTCGTGCATTTGTCGGTGTCGTGCGATTGTTCGCAAGATGGCCCAGAATGCTCCTCGATGGTTCTTGCCGAGGAAAAAGAAAAACGTCTCAGCGATGCCAAAATCAAATTATATCGTCACGTCCGGTCTCTGGAGATGTTCGGCCCTCAAAAAACCGGTCCGCACGACCTGGCTGCGCCTGAGGCACATCGCGGGAGATCGCCACGCAGCTCCCCGCACGGGCACAGGTGCACTCCCAGGAGTGACGGCAAAAACATCCACCGGCCTCCTGCTTCATCCTACTGCATCCTCCTGCTCCTCCTCCGTGCTCGCTCGCTCGCTCGTTCCTCCTCCTCCTCCTCCTCCTCCTCCTCCTCTTCCTCCTCCTCCTACTTCCCATCCTCTCCTCGTCTTCCCACATCCTCCTCCGCATTCTCCGACCCTCACCCCTTCATTATCAACATCATCCGCCGCCTCGCCTCCTCATTCTCCTCCTCATCTGCTTCCTCCCCATCCTCCTCCTCATCATTAACATTGTCCGCATCGTTACCACGATTGGCGTAACTCATCCTCTCTCTACTCCGCCTCCTCCTGTACTACTGCATCTCACCTCCTCTCCTCTCCTCCTCTTCCTCCTCCTCCTCCTCCTCCTCCTTCTCCTGCTCCTCCTCATCTTCCACCTGTTCCTGTTCCTGTTGGCTACAATGTTCGTCGAACGCAGCCCTTCCTCCACCTCCATTCCCTCCTCATCCAAATGTTGGTCCTATACCCTAGTCCTCCACCTCTTCCTAGTATTCTGATTCCTCCTCCCTCCACTCATCATCTCTATCCTCTTCCTCCTCCTTCTCTTCCTCCGCCTCCTCGCTAATCGCATCCTCCTCATCTTCTTCATGCCGGTCATCATCATCATCATCATCATCATCATCATCATCATCATCATCATCATCATTATCATCATCAGCATCAGCATCAGCATCATCATCATCATCATCATCATCATCATCATCATCATCATCATCGTCGTCATCGTCATCGTCATCGTCATCGTCATCATCAGCAGCATCATCATCATCATCACCGTTGTCTTCATCGTCGTCATCATACCATCATCATAAGCATCATCCTCATCAGCAATATCACCATGATCCTCTGCCTTGACTCCAAGGTTGTGGTTACCACCATAGTATCGGGCGTCGTTTGCAGAGGTCGGGCGCAGAGGTCTTACGGAGCGCCCTGTGCATCCCCCCTCCATGTGCTCACAAGGGGCTGGACGAGTGCTTCGATGAGAGCATCGCCTCCCGGAGAGCCTGTCCGCAAGCGGCTGGGGAATGCCGCACGTGCCGCCACAGCAGCACCTACTCTCCGCCCGCCTTGGGGCAAACCGCGAGCCCCCCCCCAGCTGAGAAGGCTCACCCGATATCGTCCTTCGTCCGCTCGTCCGCGGGCCACCCATCTCCGGGGAGCGGTCCCGAGGCCCGGCGAGGGCCTCCGGAGGCCCCGTGAATAGCGAAAAGCTCCCGTCGTGATCTTCTCAGGCCACGAGGGGGTGTGGGCAGTCTGCCCGAGGCCCAGGCTCTCTTCCAGAGAGCAGAGAACTCACCCCGCATAGCCAGCACCCCGACAAGCGAAGCCGTTTAGTTACACACACACACACCAGGGAGGAATCGAACAGGGGCGATAACAAAAACAAGCGTGATACAAAACTTGTGTGATAAAAACTTGTGTAATATAACAAACAAATGTGCTGAACAACAAGTGTGATAACTTGCTGTAATCACACGTGTTTTTTTGTCACACCTGTTATCACACTTGTTCGGGCTGTTTCGTCAACGCCCAGGGCCTTGTAGTAAACGCCAATGGTCGGGGTCGGGGTGGTCCCATATGGTCCTCGCGGCCACCCGGGGAGGGGGGGGCGCCATACCGAACCCGCCCCCCGCGGGGTCTGCGCCCGCTGCCGGGGCGGTGCGGCCCCGCCGGCGCCGCCATGGCGGCGCCCGCGGCGGGAGGGCCCGCACACGGCGCGCTGTGGCGCGGCGGCGGGGCCCTGGCGGCCTGGGCGCCTCGCGGGCGCCTCGCGGGCGCGGCGGCGGGCGGCGGGGGTCATCGGTGCGTCGGCGGGCGGCAAGCGGCCCGTCGGCCCCCCAGGGAGGCCCCGCGGAGGCGGCCCCCCCAACAGGGAGGCTCCCGGAGAGGCCCCCCAGGGAGGCCCCCGAAGAGGCCGCGAGGAGGCCCCCGAAGAGGACCCCCAGAGGGCCCTCGGAGGCCTCTCGTCCACGACCCAGGTGGCGGGATGGACCGAAAGCCACCAGATCCATGCATCCATGCTTTCTTTTGCCTGCAAGGGGTGATAGGCGTGTGGAGGTTTGTCACTATTTGCCCTTCCCCATGACGGCCGAAGAGACTCACAAGTTGGCCATCGAGGGCCTCAAGAGGGCCCCAAGAAGGACCAGAGAGGCTTTCGGGACAGGACGACCTCCGAAGACACCAAACGGGTCAGGACCCCTCTCAGACGGTCCTAGACCTAGAGAACCCCAAGATGACAGCATCAGGGTGCCTCGAAGAGGCCCCGAGCCCCCCCGAGATGCTGTCGAACAGGCCCCAAGCAGTCACTAGGTAGCCATCAACATGCCCCCAGGAGGGCCCCTGCCGCTGGTTTCTTCACAAGTTCCGGCGGAGGAGCAGGAGGAGGAGGAGGAGGAGGAGAACGAGAAGGAGGAGGAGGGGGAGGATAGCGCGCCACTGAGGACGAAAAGGGGACAGAGGTTCGAATGATGAGCCGCAGACCTTAGGAGAGGTCCAACTGAGAGGACCCTTTGCATCACAGTGCGGCTTTGACGGACCGCACCGTGGCCCAACGACAAGCTCCCCGCCGAGGAAAAAACGGACCACCTTCTTCGCCACCGAGCTCGCGGGTCTTCCTTCCCGGAGCTTGACGAAAAAGAGGGGGAGGAGGAGGAGGAAGAGAAAAGGGAGGAGGAGGAGGAGGAGGGCGAGGAGGAGGAGGAAGAGAGGGAGGAGGAGGAGGAGGAGGAGGAGGAGGAGGAGGAGGGCGAGGAAGAGAAAAGGGAGGAAGTGGAAGACCGACCGGACCTTCACTCAGGATGAACGGCGGGAGGGCGGCAGGCACCTGCCGCGGACACCGCCCAGGCTCGGACGTCCGCGGCCCACCCCAAAATGTCAGGCCCGTCTCCCGCCCCACACCGAGAACGAGACCAACCCCCAAAATCCAGCAGCCCTTCTACGCCGAAGCCTTGACTTTGAACTGGCGCCCAACACCATGGCCCCTCTGCCCTCCACACACACACACACACCCGCGGGGAGTGTGTGCGGGGCGCTTTCGCCGAAGCCAGGCAAACCCCAGGCATGTCCGCCGAAGCCCCACCCCGCCCTCGGGGGGGGCCACTGCTGAGCGCGCCTGCCGCAGCCAGCAGCCAGCGAGGCCCGGCCGCCGCGGCTGGGTCGAGTCCGGCAGGCGTGCTGCCCAGTGCCAGCCCTCAGGCTGGGTTGGTCCGCGACGTGTTTTGGAACCCTGGAAGTGGGCACCAGCACCAAAACAGGGGGTTGCCTCCACCAGGGGAAGATGATCCTAGATTCTGGCGTTGGTGTTAATATTTCGGCCATCTGGGTAGCACGAGTACTACCACCATCACCGAAACCAGGATCATCTGCCATCGGTGGAGGCACACCGCCGAGATTGGCGTTGGTGTCAGCCTCTAGGCCTACGAGTGTTGAGCCGGCGCCACGACGGCTCCAACCCCAGCCACTGCGGGGTGCCTCCACGTGTGTGCCGGGCCCGCGGGCGCGGCATCACCAACAGCCGTGCGCAGCGGCGCGCGCAGCGTGGCGGGGTGCGAGCGCGGAGGCGCCCGGCTGCCTGGCGCTCCGAGGCGCAAGAGCGCGGGCGCAGCGCCAGCGGGAGCACCGCCCCGCAGCGCGCGCGCCCATCGCCTTGGCCCTCCAGGCCACACCCACGGACGGAGCACGGTGGGGGGCGAGGGAGCCCTCGTGGAGGAGCGGGGCCGCTCTCCTGCCCCAGTCGGCCCAGGGCTTCCGAGGAACCCGAGCCACGTCCATACCCGACGTGGCGGAGCCCGAAACTCCTGAACACCAAACATGTTGTCATCTCTTGGAGACGTTTTTGAAACCTCCGCCACCTTCCGCCGCCCTTTCCGCCGGCGTCCGACAGCGAAGGCGGTCTTGCTTTACTTCCGCCGCCCTTCCGCCGCCTTCCGCCGAGGAAGAGATGACAACGCGTTTGATCCTCGAAGGCAAAGCCCTTTTCCTGCAACGTCTGGCGTGTTCGTTGCCCCACCGTGTTGAACGCACCGCACGCACTCAGGCGAGCAGGCGCGCGCGCGCGAAGATGCGAGAGCGCAGGCACAGGCAAGCGGGCAAGGGACATGGACGGATGGACGGGACAGATTGGCATGTCAGCTGGAAATCAAACGTTCACATCAACACACACATATACTACGGTGATGACATTGGATGATGAGCTATTGGACGAAGAATCCAGGGTCCGGAAGCCAGTGGCACTTTAATCGTGGATTGGCCATGGACACCACCACCAGCCTCATCCAATTGTTGTTGAACGAGACGTCGGAGCGGCAAGCCATCACCTGTTCTAGAGGTTACTCCGTCTCTGCCAATGTTAGACAAACGATTACGGTATCCCCAGTCGGCTGGTCGCGACGAGGGCGATGCGGACACCCACCCCAGGTCTCACACCCCCTGCGAGGCGCTGCACCTCATCAGATAAGGAATCCACCAGGGTGTGAAGCCTCATCGGCACATTCCTTAACCAGCGCCCCTACCGTACGCCTTCGCATGCGCCAGGACGCCGGTGCGGTCGGAAAGGCCCAACTCAGCGGGCAGGTCAGAAGAGCAATGTACTTCAGAAGAGCTCGCAAGGTAACCACCAACCAAATTCTAGATAGCACACGCACACACGCACCCGCAAACTAAGCTGTGCGCACATCGTTTACGGGCGCAGCCCACAAAGCGCAAAGTGTTCTCCGCAAGCGACTGAATGTAGTCCACAACCGACTAACTAAGCTCCACAATTGACGGACTGACCGCGGTGAAGCGGTTCAGTCAGATGGTAATTTGCACAAGCGAGAGGGTGAAAGCTTCAGGTAGCAATGTTGACGGGGGGATGTGAAAGTTCTAACAAAACTGGACGAAGGGATGCTGATGGTAACTTTCAATATGGGGGAGTGGGCATGTGACGGCATTGACAAGCGGGGAGCGAATATGTTCGGCGAAAGACTATAAAATTGTGAACATTGCAGTGTTAGCTGGCCCCAGAGGTCACCAAGAAGTGCCCAAGACGCCAGTAGAGCAACAACAAAGCTACAAGAGGCCCACTGGACCCGTCCAGACAGCCCAACAAAAATCGGGGGAGCTCGGTCGAGCCATCGAGCCCAACACGGCCCGAAGACCTGGCCCAAAAAGATTCCCAACTGCCTCCCAAAACTCACTCAACCACCCAAAAAAAGGGCTCTAGCTGATCTGGACATTGGAATGACTGTAATTGCTGTTTTAGGAAGTCATGTGCTACTACCCTTTACAAATCCTGATCTAAGGCAAAGGGGCTCGAGTGTTCCTCTTAAGAGCACCCCCAACCCCGCCAAAGGCGAGATCAAAATGCTCGATGAACTAATTCCGCTCATCAAGCTTTAGCGCTCCAGTCTTGAGCCAACTCCGAACCAAGCGCAAATAAAAACAGCCCCAACAAAAAAGAAGCTGAGGGGGGAGGTCCCGCCTTGGGGTCGGCAGCACCGGCCGTAGGGCCTTCACGCTATTTTCTATACAAAAAAACGAGGCAGAAGAGGAGGGAGCACTCCCATATATGTCGTCTAATCTCTCTCTGTCTCTCCATACATGTTTTATCATTTTTTTTTTTTTTTTTTTTTTTTCTCTCTCTCTCTCTCACCCACCACCAACCAAACAGCAGCCTCCACCCCCACCCAACCCCGAAGCAAACGAGGCAGAAGAAGAACGACAAAAATCAGGTGGAGGACGGGGGGGAGGACGAGGACGACGAAGACGTCGACGACGGCGACAGCGACGACCACGACGAGAACGGCGGTGGAATGATGCGTACAGGATGGGGTGATGCGCAGGAGGAAGAGTCAGGAAGATGGAGAAGTATGAATACCAGGGGCAGCAGGACGACGATGAGGGGTAACCGAGTTGAGGGAGCACGCCAGGCCCGGGCTCCGCAATGACCGGCTTCACCGCGGGGGGCTTGCTGATCTCTTGCCTGCCCCCCGCAAGAGGCTCCGGAGAGACGTGGCAGCTCCTCTCCAGGCCTGCCCAAAACTCCTGGCCGCTGCGAACAAAAGAGAAACGTAAACTCCCCGCACGGCTGGCCCACGGATAAGACGAAGCCAATATAATCGGGGGAGAATGAGTCGGGAATCTCTGAGATCCGACAGCTCTGGAGGATGTATCGGGCGCCGCGGCCTTCTCAGAGCGTTCCGGAACGCTCTGAGAGCGTTCCGGAACGTCCTAGCCCCGTCCGGTTACGCGCAGCCAGTCCTCCTCGGACCACGACGGCCAGCGGACCCTCGCCGGGTCAGCACGCCCGCGTGCATTCTCAGGCCCTCGAGCGGCTATGGCGGCGTCACCGCCTCGAGCGCGCCTCGCGGCGGCATGTCGACGAGCGCCGTCCTAGCCCTAGGAGGTCTTTAGTTTTGATTCCCCCCACTGTTTCTCTCGGTGGGAACAAACTTGCCTCTCCTCCTCTTCCTCGTCCTCCTCCTCCTCCTGCCCCTTCTCCTCCTGCCATTCCTTCTCCTCTTCCTCCTCCTCCTCCTCGTCCTCCTCCTCCTCCTCCTCGTCCTCGTCCTCGTCCTCCTCCTCCTGCCCCTTCTCCTCCTGCCATTCCTTCTCCTCCTCCTCCTCCTCCTCCTCCTCGTCCTCCTCCTCGTCCTCGTCCGAACGGAGCCTCACGGATCGATCAGGCCCGAGAAGCCCTGCACGGAGACGGGGTCGAGAGCCCTCACGCCTCCCTTCCCCTCACCCCCCCCATGCTCTTCCTCCTCCAGCGTCCTCTTCCCTCCTCGTCCTCCCCCCCCCTCCCACCCTCCCTTCCCTCCCTCCCCCTCCTCCTCCTCCTCCTCCTCCTTCTCCTCCTCCGTTTCCTCCTCGCCCCCACCATCTACAGGATCAGAGTCTTGGAATCACTACTACGATCGCCCGGAGCCTGGGAGGGTCTTCGTGGTGGTGTGGTCCACCTTCTTTTGCGGCTGCGGCGTCCCACCGGGGACACCTCCTTCTCTTCATCCCGAGGAGGCATCGTGGACCTGCTCGCTGAGGTGGCCAGCTGGTTGTGGTGGCGCCGATTCTTCCCCCGTAGATGGACAAAAAAAGTGGAACCCTTGGCTCTGCTCCCCCCACCCCCCTCTATTCAAAGTTGGCCCTGGACATGCCCAGGGCTTCCAGCAGGCCGGACGCCAACTTTGAATCTACGGGGAATTTGGGGGGGCGACCACGGGGTCGAAAACAAATGGGTTCCACCATTTTGTCCCCTTCCTGTCCCTGTCCCCCCCCCCTGTTCCTCCCTGCCCTCCGATCTTGGAGACGGTTTTGGCACACCAGTGCCCGCCGACGCTGCCACTCGTGCGGGCATCGAGTGCGCTGCTTGTGCCTCCGTCTCTCGACGAACAAATGCCGTCGAAGGTCTCTCTCGGCCTCCCCGGCCACTGCTCGCACCTCCAGCCCGCAGAGGCGGAGATACCCATGCAGCGCGACACCCTCGGAGAGGAACACACCGTGTTTCCTCCAGGCTCGTGCCCCAAACACGCTGACAATTGCGCGACCAAGCGCCAAGCGCAACGCTTAGCGTATACGCAGATCGCTACATACATATATATATATATATACAAGACTGCAGTGGCGCTTCGCGCCATGCACCTTGGTCCTTGAAGTTTGGTTTGCAGGCGGAATAGCAGGAAGATCAAGCGACAATTTAGCGATAACTCCTTGTTGCCTTTTCGGGCATCGCCGCTATGATAATGATATTCGTTATCCTTCCTCCATGCTTCTTTTTCCTCATGTTGGCCATGCCCTGCGCATTGCATTCTCCCTATCCTCCTCAGTTTTTTTTTGCGGAGGCTCCTCCTGGGAGAGCCTCTGGGGGCCTAACAAAAATTGTCTCAGACTTTCTTAAGGCCTTCTGGAGGCCTCCTGGGCGTATTCTGGGGGCCTCTGGGGGCTTCCTCGGGCCACCCTGCCTCCAACCACGGTCTCCCTGAACGACAGGGTGACGATATGGAAAGCTTCGGAGGGTGTCTTGGGGCCATCTTGGGCCGCCATGGGGCTCTCTGAGGGCCATCTTGGAGCCGTGTTGTGCCGTTTTGGGGCTCTCTTGGACTGCCTGGAAGCCCTTTCGGATGGTTATGGGGCGATTTGGGAGCCTCCCAGGTGGCTTCGGACGCCCAGAAGACCGCCGTCTTGGAGCGTCGGGAAGCCAAAAAGAGGAGAACCCCAAAATTCACCAACAACTACCAGAAAATCTATGATTTTTGCTCTTGGGAGTGCTCTTGGAGGCCTCTTTGAGGCCGTCCTGGAGGCCTCTTGGGCCATCTTGAGGTCACGTCGGTCACTCTTGGAGCGCTCTTGCGCTGTCATGGGGTCTCTGAGACGCCTCCGATGACCCCCCTGATCGCCCAAAGTGTGCTGGGAAGGCTTGGCAAAACGCCCTGCGAGGCCAGGGGGGCCGCTTCGAGGCCCTGCCGGAGGGTCCCAAAGCCCCAGATCCCGGGAGTCCCGTTTTGGGGGGGGGGGGTGAAGGGTTTTCCCCCCGCCCGGGCTTATCAAAATATAAGAAAAGGAATACACATATTTCTATTCCTATATATTATTACCCGGAACCTTCCCTCCCCACCTCACACCCCGCCCTTTAAACCGGACCCCCCCCCCTATGGACGCCCCGGACGCCCTTTCGGACGTCTCGGCGTCCCCCTGGACGCCCCTGGGAAAGGTCCGCTGGCCCTTCCGGGCCTCCCAGGGCGCCGTGCCAGGCCTTGCGAGCAGACTCAACACGATCAGAAGGGTCATCGGAAAGGCGCACACAGCACAGGAGCGCCCCAAGAGGAACCTCGATGGTCAGAAAACGGCCGAGGAGGCCCCCAAAACGCCCCAAGAGGGCGTTAAGAGAGCCCCGAAAAAACACGAATCGTCCAATGCCCTTCGGATGATGTATATGTTTAGCATATCCGGTTCGGGGGTTTTCGCAGCGTCCAAGACGGCCCGATGGGCTCCTGATATCGCCCCAAGAGGCCCCCTAGAGGGTTTGAAGACGGCCCGAGAAGGCCCCAAGACTGCCCCAGAGAGCCCCGAGACTGGCCACAAGAAACCCAAGATGCCCCCAGAAGGCTCCCGAGAGAGACCCACGAAAGCCACGAGAGACCCCCAAGAAAGCCATTGGAGGCCCCCAACTGGAAGGCCCCAGATCCCCAAGACGGCCCAACAAGGCCCCAGGACGGCCCAGGAGGGCCCCAGAACGGCCCAAAACAGCCCCAAAAACGCCCAGACGGCGTTCTCCTACGAAGTACATCGAGCTGACCCCAAGATCCTGGTCCCGCGCTTGAGGCTCGAGGTTTAGACTCCTCGATCGGGAGAGACAGGTCTCTCCCCTCTCCTCCCCCCTTCCGTCTCCTCAGCCCCCCTTCATCCCTGCTCCCTTCCCGGTCCCAGTTCATGGACAAATGCCATCGCAACAGTTTGATGCTTCGTCGTTTGCCAGCACCGTCGCGCGTGAAAAAATCGTCATTCTCCTCCCCCACTCCTGCGCACAAGCGTGCAAGCGCATCGGGCGAACGCGGTGTCAGTAGACACTATGGATATCAGAAAAATGAGCCGGTCGCCCGTCCAAGCCTCGAGGTCCCCCCTGCTGACGCAAGCGATGATTTGTTGCTTTGCCGGGGAAGCGTCCGGAACAAGGCGCATGGCGCGAAACGTCAATGCAGTCTTGTGTATCTATATATATATATATATGTACCTATATATATATGTATACACGCACTGACGTGGGGTCCAGAAATGTCTTCGACGCGGCCGGGGCAAAACTCCTTGAGACCCTCCGCAACCTCACCCCTCGCCTGATCAAGTCTCCCTCTGACCCTGCCCGAGCCCCACTCCGTGCCCGCCGGGCATGCCGTCGAAGCCTGCGCCCCTCTCTCCCCGAAAGAAATCCTGAGGCCCACCGGCTATCGAAGGGCCGCTGCACCTCCAAGCATAGCCCCTCCCGAGCGACGCAGGCGCTGGTGCCTCGCCTCTGCCTCCGTGGGCTGGCGCATCGCGGGAAACCGACCCGCCGAGAGGTAGGAGTGCAGGCAGCCGCCGTCCCTCCTAGAGAGGAGGCCCTCTGTGCACGGTCGCGTGGTGAGGTCGGCCTCCACGCCTCGTTCCGCCATCTCGCTCAGCAGCGACAGCGCATGCTGCCATTGCCCTCCTCTCCTGCACGCTCTGACCGCCACATTGTAGATGGAAGCTTCGACTTGCCGCTGCGACGCCTCGGCGAACAGCTCCAGTGCTGCGCTCCAATGCGCCCTGCTTCCACAAGTCATGATGGCCACCGCGAGCGAAGAAGCGCCTGATCGAGATTCTCGCTGCCTCGCGGTTCGAGTCTGGGGCGATGTGCAAACATGGGCCAGCAGGTTCGGCGTCGCGACTTCGGCCATGACAGTGCTGAAGTGGCCACTGAGGGAAACAGGAGGGGCAAGGGATGCAGAACGTGCAAGCGTGGCACTGGTTCCACCTGGTGAGCCAGAACTTCTAGCCAGAATCGCTGTGCGGACGAGGAGAACGATGAACCATACGAGCGGCCTGCGTAGGAGCAGATCATGTCCGAACACAGATCGTCGCTGCGCAGCTCAGGATTGTCCACGGAGGGGGGGGCGACGACGCGGAGCAGAACCCTGAACTGTGAAAGCGATGCGAGGATGCCAAATGTGGCACTCGCTCCGTGGAGGCGCGCGCTCCCTTCCACCCTCCTCCTCCGTCCCCTCCTCCGCCTCCTCCTCCTCCTCCTCCTCCTCATGCGCCTCCTCCTCCTCCCCTCAGCATCATCATCATCAACAGCAGCAGCATCAGCATCGGCATCAGCAGCAGCAGCATAATCGTCATCATAGTCATCACCATCAGCATCATCACCATTACCATCACCATCATCTTCAATATTATCACAATCATCGTCATGGTGATGATGCTGATGATGATCATCAGCATCATCATCAGCAACAGCATCGTCACTGACCTCAGCGTACTCACGTTATCAACCTCATCCTCCTCATCCTCGTTGCCCTCACCAACACCATCACCATCGCCATCGCCACTGTCATCATCGACATGCGCATCCTCAGCATCATCATCATCATCGTCATCATCGTCATCATCATCATCATCATCATCATCATCATTACCACCACCAGCATCATCAAGATCAGCAGCATCATCACCATTGTCATCATCATCATCATCCGCATCATCATCCTCACAATCAGAATCAACATCAGCATCATCAGTCTCCTCCTCGCCATCATCATCAACAACAACGTCACCACTAGCATCATCATCATCAGCATCATCATCATCGCCATTATCAATCAGCATCGCCATCATCACAACACCATCAAACTGATCCACCTCACCATCACCACCACCTGCATCAACATAGTCCTCATCGCCATCAGCATCACCAGCAGCAACAACATCATCATCATCGTCGTCAACATCATCATCACCACCAACAGCATCCGCATCTGCGACATCGCCCTCTTCCGACACCCAGCCGACGCTCACCCATTCTACACCTCCCCACCAGCATACTCATTATCAGCATAATCCTTATCACAAGCATCATCATCGCCATCGACATCGACATCGCCATAATCAGCATCATCGTCATCGTCACCATCATCATCAACAACAAGAGCGGCATCATCATCATTATCACCATCGTCATCACATCATCGTCCCCATCATCATCCTCATCTCAAAATAATCATCCTCATGAAAAGCACCATCAACAACATCAGCATCCGCATCGTTGATGTTGACATCGGCATCAACATTATCACCATCGGCATCGGTATCATCGGCAGCACCATCATCATCATCACCATCATCATCATCATCATCATCATCATCATCATCATCATTATCATCAGCAGCATCCTCAATATCATCGTCGTCGTCGCCGTCTCCGCCATCATCACCATCATCATCGCCATCATCCGCATCACCGTCAATAACAACATCGTCACCACCATCATCATCATCACCATCACCTTCATCAGCAGCAGCATACTCATTACCATCATTATCAACAACATCATCATCACCATCAATACCATCACCATCGCCACCATCACCATAAGTATCAGCATCATGATATCACTATCATCATCAGCATCATCATCAGCATCGCCACCATTCGTCACCCCACCCGCGCTCCTCATGCTGTCGCCCCCTCAGCATCGTCATCAGCATCAGCAACCGCATCGCCATCATCATGATCATCAGCATCATCATCATCAACAACATCATCATCAGCCGAACCATCACAATCAAGACCATGGCCGTAATCACCATCACCGTCACCATCAATTTCATCATCATCATCATCATCATCATCATCATCATCCTCATCATCGTAATCACCATCTTCGGCATCATCATGCCCGCATCATCATCCTCTCCTTTCGATCGACTCGACTCTCTCACATCGGCACGCCTCCGCCTCCCAGCCGCGGGAGAGCCAGGGGGCCTGGAGCCGCAAGGGAAGCCCCTCGACCACCTTTCTGCCTGACTGCCCGCAGGAGGGAGGAGCAGGGTCGAAAGGTATTCTCAGCAACGAGATCGTCAGAAGATTCGCTCGCTTCGTCAGCATCGACCCGAACGCAAAGGAAGCGGTGCACGAGCACTCCTCCTGCGCGTGAACAAGAGATCAGGACGGGGAAGGAGGAGCGAAGGCCCGGCAGAGTGCCCTGGCAAGCGAAGGCGGCAAGCGGTGTTGCGTTGAATCCCCCTGGCGGCCCCGAGCGGCCAACACGAGGAGCGGGTGCGAAAGGTGGAGATCGAGGGCCGGAGGATGGGCGACAACGGCGGTGGCAAGTGACCCCCCTCGTGGTTGGCATTATAGCCCCTCCGAGACACCAGGAGCTGGCGCGACCAGAAGCCTTCCACATAGCCCCCCTGGAGCGGCTCGGGTGTGCCCCGCAGTCCGCCCCGCGCAGCCTTCATGTGGTTCTCGTCGGTGCCGATGTCGACAGCCATGGGCTTCATCTCGTGCACGCGTGCGCTACGAGGGGTGAAGGTACAGCAGAGGGAGGTGGAGGGACGAGGAAGAGGAGGGGGAGACCGAGAAGACGGAGGGAGGAGAGGGAGCAGGAGGAGGCGGTGGAAGAGCAGGAGGAGGAGGAGGGGGAAGATGACGAAGCTGGGGAAGAAGAGGAATGGGAGGAGAGAAGAACAGGGATAAGCAGGAGGGGGGAGGAGAGAAGAGAGACGGGGGGACAGGCAGAAGAGCAGTAGAAGAAGAAGGAAGAAGGAGGCGGATGGAGAAAGGAGAAGGATGGCGAAGGAAGGATCCCTGGCGCGCGAAGCGCACCAGGGGGCAGCCCCGAAGCCGCCGCCAGGGGGGGTCCGCGCCGACTCAAGAACTCCGCACGGGCTTCCGAAAGTTCATGCTCACGTCGTTGAGTGTTCTTCGGGTGGTAGCTCTGCCCCGTTGCCAGACGGAAGCCTAGGTCATGGGACAGGATGGGGGCCCCAAGACCACGCCACAAAAGACAATGCATCGGTGATGGATCGACGAAGCTGGGATGGAGAGAGTTCGCTTCGGAATCGCGACGCATCGGCCGACACATCTGCGATGGCATGCCACCTGACGACCCCGATTCCCTCCTGCCACGTCTAGCAGGCAGGTGCAAGGGGAACAAATGCCGAACAGAGCTACTCTCTAAAGCCGATGAGCAACCAGGGCGTCAAGGAATACGACGGTTTGGGATCGGCGGGGGGTTCTGGCAAGCATGTGTGATGGAAATTCTGGATACCATGCTTTTCACTATTCGCGATAACGCCCGTGACCAGCTCCGCCCCCATCTCCCCTTCCCCCCCTCGTCACGTCGCCGTTCGAGCTGGCGCCGTCTGGAAACCAGCAAGTCCTAAGCATTCCCAGAGCGCTGAGACGAATCGTGGCATCACCCGCCCCCCTCCCTCCCCCTCGGGGCCCGCCCGCTATCTAGAGGAACCAAAACCGACATGAACATAACCTCCCTGAGGTCCGCGCCCAGCAGAGTTCTTGGATTGGCGCTGGACCTGCGGAGCGCGCCAGGGGGCGGTGTCGGAGGCGCCACCAGGGGGGCCCAGCGCCGATCCAAGAAATCCGCGCGGACCTCCGAGAAATGATTCGTATGCCTGTTTCTGTTCTTTGATGGCCTCGCCAGGGGATCACGACATGGTCTCCTGCCCGGCTCCAGCCTGTGGGAGACGCGGGGCCGTCTCGGCAGGGTCGTCAAAGCGTGCGAGGGCATGTCATGCAGCGGCCACTGCGGAGGATAGGCCGGGGCCGATCGCGGGATGCGCTCGCGCCTCGCAAGGCAGCCGCGCGGGGCCGCTTCTGCCACGTGCTCTGGGCCCCGGGGCCCTCGCGGCTCGAGCTGGCCCGGCCAGTCGCCCAGAGAGAGCGGGGCCAGCGGTTGCAGTTGTTGTCTCGTTTTCGGACATCCTGTGGTGTAGGGCCCTCTCGTTGACTGGAGCCACCCCGTATAATAAAGATGCGCGATCAGGGTGCAGGGGCCTTGGGAGGCCATGTCGACACTTCTTGCGAGCGGGGCGCGGCCAGCGAGAGTGGCCAAGGATGGGCCGAAAGGCAAGGATGCAAGGGTAGTATCGGAAAGTTGCTCATCATTACTATGCGGGTTGACTGTACTTGGAGCCACGCGCCTCACGCCTTCCTCCTCCCCCTCCTCCCTCCTCCCATCCCTGCCTCTGCCCTCCGCGATCCGCATGGCGGCGTCGCCCCGCTTCGGCGCACCCGTCGCACGCTTCGTGGCCACATAGGGAGAACCAATCGAGGCCCAAATGCCGAAGTCCGCATAGCGGCACCGCCACATTTCGGCGCACTCATCGCAAGCTTCGTGGCACCATAGGGCGCTCCACCGAAGGCCCTAGTAGCAGCAAAGCCCGCATGGCGGCGCCGCCTTGTTTGGTGCACTCCTAACGCGTTGCGCGGCCTCATGACTCCATCGAAGGCCCCAATGGCAAAGTGCGCATGGCGGCACCGCCGCATTGTGGCGCACCCTCACACGTTTCGTGGCCCCATGGGAAGCTCCACCGAAGGCCCCAGCGCCAAAGTCGGCATGACGGCGCCGCCTCATTGCGGCACACCCCTCGCACGCTTCGTGTCCCCATATGGAGCTCCACCGGGAGTCCCAGTGGCAAAAACCGCACGCCGCCACCTCGCCATTTTGGCACACCCCTCACACGATCCGTTTCCATCCTTCGTATCACTTGCCTTACTGTACTCGCACCTGCATATGGCTGGGTCCTTCGCCTGGATATGCGTTATTCACGGTCTCGTGGCTCTTCACGACGTCAGACACAGGGAATGAGTTGCCCTGTACGCTCCTGAAATCCCACCAGCCCTATGGGCGTGAGTTGTGTCGAGCGTTTCCTCTTCCAACCCCCTTCTTCCCCTCCTGGGAGGTGTTTGTCGATGTTCCCTGTAAGTCATCAACCCTCCTCGAGGCGACTGGCAGCCAACCAGGACCAATGAGGACTCCCCACGCCACCCCTGTCAAAAAGCCATGGCAAGTCCACTTTGGGGCGTGGTTCATGATCAGTGGGCCGCGAGCACTCTGTTTTGTTTCTTGACAGGGACGGCTGGGGTGCCCGCGTATTGCCTGCTGCGCGCAGGGCCAGCATTCCTGTCAACAAACAATTCCAAATGCACTTCGAGACAAAATCTGAATCATGCGCGGGCCCCCCGCGTTTCTGTGCGCTGGTTTTTGACTGGGACGGCGGGGATGTGCAGGCCAACCAGACGCTATGATGGCTAACCCGCTGCGATTGCGCACTGGATTTCGACAAAGGTGGGGGGGGCGACACGTTTCCCGATGTGTACTGCCACGTGCGCAGGCGCACCTGGCACACTCTGCGCGTGCCCCGGACGCGGCGCACCTGGCGCGGCTGGAACATACGGCACACATGGAGCACTTGGATCATGTGGCGCATCTGGCGCACCAGGCGTGCCCAGAGAAACGCTTCGGCCACAGTGGTGCCTCGCGCACCTGGCGCGCCTGGCGCGCGCACATAGGGGTTGTGCTGATTCCCACCAGCTGTCCATCCAAAGACTACCGCTGAATACGCTGCGGCCCAGGTACTACTTCTGTGTTTGGAGGGTGGGTGGGAGTGAGCGAGACGGCTTGAAGGCAGGGTGTCTCGACCCCTCCCCCATACCCCCTCTCCCTGGACCTGGACGTGGCGTTCCGCGAGGGATTGGAGCGTCTAAGATGGCCTCGGCGAGGAAGCCACAACCACAAATTGTACAACAGTTTTGGCCACGTCTTGGCCTCCTGCGAGAGGGGGGGGGAGGCTAATCCCAACTGCCCTTTGGGCGGAGGTGGTTTAGAAAGCCCGTTCTGTTCCACCCCCTTCTTCCCCTTCGGGGCGGGGTTGACCCCTCCCCCTACCCCCTTCCCCTGGGCCTGGAGGGGGGGGGCGCGGGTGGTTGGAGCGTCTGCTTGTGCCTAAGATGGCGCCAAGACAGCCCAATAGAGCTCAAGATGACCTCCAAGATCGCTCAAGATAGCCCTCGATGACTCAAGATAGCTCCTCATAAGCCTACACGAGGCTCCAAAACTGCCCCAAGACGGCACCAAGTGACCACAGAGCCTCCCAAGGACGCCCCCGAGAGGCGAAAACCCTTCAAACACCTCAGGAAAATCCATGTGTTTTGCCTTCTCGCCGTTTCGCGTTCAATGGGCTCTTAACGCTTCAAGGTGGCCCCAAGATGGCCTAAGAGAGCCCCAAGACAGGCCTCAGAGGGGCCCAAGACGGGCCCAAGAGCGCCCAAGATCGCCCCAAGAGCGGCCCCAAGAGGGCTCTAAGAGGCGGCTCGTCGGGTTCCGAGGAGGGGGAGGGACGTAATTGTCGCCGCGCTCCTGTCTGAGCCGTGGCCTCCAAGATTGCCCCAAGAGACCTTCCAGACCCCCCCAAAGAGCCCCAAGAGGGCCCCATACCCTCCAGCAGAGCCCCAAGGGTGCCCCAAGAGGCACCACGAGGACCCCAAAAGGGTCCAGAAACCTCCTCCTGCGTCTCGTCCTCCTCCAACTGCCCGCACAGAAATGTACAACAGAAAGTAGATAGGAGGTGGGCGGAAGAGACGGGGATATGCGAGAGCAAGAGGAGACACGCCCGAAAGTCATGACCGCAGGTGTGCGTCGCAAAATGTGCTGTGTTGGGATGCGCTGGGGGGGAGACGCGAAACGTGAAAACCCAGTGAGGGCCCATATGATGGTCAGTCTCCTCCAGGATGGCCCCAAGATGGCCCCCGAGGCTCCACAGGGTGCCCCGAAGGCCAACACTATTTTTTTCACTGAGGTTTTGGCCACATGCTGGCCTTCTGTGGGGTGGGGTGGGGAGGGACCTAACCCCAACAGCCATTTGGGGCGTGAGCGGTTGAGCGACGGCGAGGGATTGGAGAGTCCAAGATGGCCTTGGCGAGAAAGCCCAAATCAATGATTGTACCAAAATTTTGGCCACATGTTGGCCTCCAGGGGGGGGGTAATTGAACCCTCACCCGTCTTTGATCGATCACCTCCAAGATGGCCCCAAGATAGCCCCCGAGGCTCCACAGTGTGCCCCAGACCAGCTCTAAGAGGTGCCCAGGAGGCTCCAAGGGGCCCCCCAAGATACCCTCAAGCTGCTTCCAAGACCCCCAAGAGATCCGAAGAGGCCCCCAGATGCACCCAAGACGCCTCAAGAGGCCCCCGAGACTGCCAAGAGACCCCCAAGACGCCCAAAGAGGACCCCAAGAAGCTCTCAGAACAAATCCGAATATATTCCGACAGGCACCCAACAATGCCTTTAGCCTTTCTGCTCGCCCTCTTCCTCCTCCTCATCATCATCATCATCAGCAGCATCAGCATCAGCTTCAGCTTCAGCATCAGCATCATCATCAACATCATCATCATCATCATCATCAATATCATCAATATCATCAACATCATCAACATCATCATCAGCTTCGTCATCATTATCAGCATCATCATCATCAACAACATCATAAACATCATCATCATCCGCCAATTCCTTCTCCTTCCTCCTCCTTCCTACTCCCTTCTTCATCTCCCCCTCTCGCTCCTTCTCCGTCTCCTCCTCATCCTCCTCATCCTCCTCCTCCTTGTTGTCCTCCTCCTCCTTCTCCTCCTCCATCCTCCCCTTGTTAGGGGCATGACGTCTTACCCAGCCCTTGATTCCACTGCATGCCCATCCACATCCCTGATCAGGGCAACGCGGCGTCTGGACATCGTTTCTGGATGGGCTGGTGTAGTTACTTCTTTGGTCGCGGCCGCGAGCGAAGAGCGCAGGCGGCGAAAGCAATTGTCCGGGGCAGCGAACAAGGCTAATTAGCTACAAGACGCGCCGCAAGCCGGCCGGCCCACTGCTTGTGTAGTTACGCGGAGCATCTAGATTATGAGAGCGCGTCCCAGCCTCAGGCATCCTGGGCACGCCTCCGAATCAACTCCTTCTCCTCCCGCTCCCCGTCAGACGACATGGCTCTTGCTCCGCAGCCGGCTAGCTCGCTGGAGTGCTAGCAATGACACTCATGAGTGTAACGCTGACAGTGCCGACAGGATTCGTGATGGATGGCCACGGTGGTAGCGAGGTCTTCTCATAAATGGTACTACATGGAACTGAAATACACGTCCATCTGTTCAGAAAGGAAGCTTAGGTCAGAGAACTCTGTCCAAGGCCCGACCAGGAGCAATCCTAATCCTAACGATGCTGTGCGCGTGGGCGCGGCAAAATCCAGAGCCTCACTCTGTTGGGCTCCAAGCATGGCTGCCAGAGGAACGCTTAAAGCACGCCGCGGGTTCCCTCCATAGCCACCAGGCACAACTACACTCTCTACTGCCCTACTGGTCGACAGACGTCTGGGCGGCGGGCCGCGCACGCGACGCTCCGCATGTGCGAGCTGCCGAGGTCGAGGTGAAGGAAGGAGAGCACCCGCCGCCACCAGACATCCTCATGCCCACCTGAGGCCCAGATCTTGCAAACATGCTTTGGACGCGCCTCCTGGCCTGGCCGTGGAGCCGGTGTCCACCAAGATCCGAGCCCAGTCTGGGCCGGCAAAGGCTCGGCGGTGGTGGCCGCGTCCCCGCTCCCGATGAGCAGGAGGGCAGGGAGAGGGAGCAGGAACAGAGGAGGCTGCTGCTGCGTCTTCGGGGGACCTTGCCTGTCCCACCGCGTCGCTGCTAGCGTCGAATCAGGTGTCACATCCACGTCGGATCCGCGTCGAACCTGCGCCGAGTCCACGTCGAGCCCGCGTCGAACACGCATCGGACACGAGAAAAGACCGCCCTTCATGTAGGACAAACACTGCCCCGCAAGCACGCAACGCAGAGGACGAGGCAGAGGAGGCGGAGGAAGGGCAACTCCTGCTCGAGCCAGGCTCTGCCCTTCACTGTCCGGCAGGTCCCGCCTAAAGCTCGCCAGCCCCCCAAAGGCAGCCCGCGGCGCCGGCTCAGGAGGGGAAGTCGTCGTCGCCGAAGACCTGGGGAGGGGCGGGCCTGCCCCCCCCCCCCTCCCTCGCCACCCGGGCCCTGAACCGCGACTGTTCTTACCGCGAATGCGCGCAAGAACAATTGGCACGCACGCGCCGCCATCTTGGTGCCAGGAGGCATGCCTGGTAACACCAGCCATGTCGCCATCGCCATGTCCATAGTGTCCAGGAGACGTGCCGGGGTAGCTACGAGGAAGAAGACACGTGGGCTGAAGCCAGGCATAATCTCATAGAGTGAGGACTCCGTCTTCATGTATGGCTATGCCCCGTAAGACACGACAATGGAGAGACAAGCCACGCGAATTAACAAATCGATGCACTGCCCGCGGGTCGTGCGGCTGTCCCCATATGTATGGCACTGGCATCATACCATATCGACTAACTCTACACTGCTGTGCACATTGGCGCAATGGTGCATGACTGTGTCATGTTGCCGTCAGGTACAACTGCCGTACATCATGAATTTGGCAACTTGCTATCGCGTGGCTTCATTCCACAATTCCGCATACGGTGCTTGTACACAGGGGCCCTCACCTGCGATGTAAGAAGCTCATGCTTCGTGTCGCACTCGGCCATTGGCACTTGGTGCAGTGCGCTTCCCGATTGGTGGCGTCACATGTGGGATGCCCTGTGGTTGGAGCCCCAATGGTTCTCTATGGTTGATGCCTCATGGCGCCTTTTGGTTGGTGCCCTATGGTTGTGTTTTACGGCTGGTGCGTAGTGGTCGGTGCCCCGTGGTTGGTGCCTTCTTGGTTTGTGCCCTGTATCGTGCCCTGTGGTTGGTGCCATTTGTTAGGTGCCCTGTGGTTGGTGGCCCATGGTTGGTGCAGGGCTGTCGCTCTGGGAGTACCAGAACCCAATGGCTGGGGGCTCCGCGCTGACACGCGCTGCGTACATCATTACGATGCAATCACGTTGCAGGTGTGGCTTGTGTTGCAGAAGCCCTCCAGATAGTACATTGGTGCGCTGCCAGGGCGGATGGGTAATGAATACATGTGACGAGTCTGCTGGGCCTTTGGGTTGCGTAGCATCCGAACGCGGATGATTGAAACGGCATTAGAGCGTGACTCCCAGGACGAACTGCGTCAGAATTAATAGCGAGAAGGGGGCACTGGCCAAATTGTGCCGAGGAAGCCCCACGGGCCGTCCATTGGAATCCGTGTGGGCGCCTCATGCGCTCATGTGGCGCCCCGTGGGTGCCAGCCAAATCGCTTGGACCAAACTCTGCTTGGCGTCCACATATATTCCTACGGCGTCCCACGACGCCAGTATAATCCCAACCAGAAAGGTGACCAACACAAAGACCGTTTGGCGTGAACATGCTCCGACATCTGTGCCGTTGTCGGAGCTGTGTTCTGGAGTCGCTTCTACCTTGAACAGCGCACCTGCCTCATCCAAATCCCTGGGCCCTGACTCCAGCTCCCCCGGACCATTTCGTCGCTGTCGCCGTTGTCCTCGGGGAACAGGCCCTTTTTTCTCAGGAAGTTGTTGGCCTCGAGGATCATGGACTCCCGGATCTTGAGCGGGAAGACTCCCTGGTGCGCGGCCGGTGGTGGCGTTGGGGGTCCAGCAGCAGCCAACGCGATGGGCCCCCGTCTGCCTGAATCCGTCTCGGGTCGAGGGAAAGGGGGGAATGGCAAAAGGGATGCGCTGTTGCATCTTTGGGGGACCATTGGGCTGGCCATCGTGTCGCATCCATGTCGACTGCATGTCGAACGCGTCGAATCCATGTCGAAACCGTGTCGAATGCACGTCAAATTCATGTCGGCTCCGTGTCGAACCCACTTCGGAGTACAAACAAGGACAGCCATTTACAGGACAAGAAAGGCCCCCCGAAGATGCAACGTAAGGGATGGGGTCAGCGAGCTAGCTGCATGGAGCTAGTTTTGCCGTCGCCTCCTGGCGCAAGCAGCGACACTTGCAAATCGAGTGGAGCGCCTGGCGGCGCAGGCGAAGCTGGCTGCACGCAGCAACTTTCCGCACCCCCCGTTCCGACTGCACCTGCTTACACAGTTCGGCCGACCCGACCGTCGCTTCCGCGCGCCTGGTCACACTATCCGCGAGGCACGAGCCCGAGAGCGAATGCCAGATCAACCTCCTACAAAGATTTCACCAGGCGCGACAGCGTCTGCGACAGAGCACAGATCCGGACGGATCGCGACGCTTGACCCGTTCTTGGCGTATGCCACTAACCCCCCTCATCCCCCTTGGGAAGAGCCTCAGCAACGCGAATGATGGTTCTCTCCTGCTAACCATGGCTCGGCTAGCAAGAGCCGCAAGTCCAAGTTGTGAAAATACATGAGGCGCGTCGACATTGGCAGGGGCATGCGGGGGAGGGCGGGGTGCAGGAGGGGCCTTCTCTAGGGAACTCACAGAAGATGCACGCGCCCAACCACGCACACGAATACGACCCCCCAGTCCGCGAGACCAGTCTCGTGATACAAGTGTTCACGCGATGCGTACTCTCGAGACCAACGTGGATTCATGTAGATCTACAGTCGGGCCGCTGACCCAAGGAACGATGAATAACTACCGAGGCCCATTTTTCCAAATGAGTCGAGCATCGGGGGGGGCTCGCCGCCAAAAGAAGAGCGGAACGCATGCAAACCTCAGGAACGACCGAGCCCCTTTCGAACAGCAAGTGTTCCTTCTTCGGCGGCCCGACTGCACGCCTTCCTTTCGCTCCTGATGTTCAGAAGGCCCCCCGAAGGCGTGGGACCCATGCATCCCGACGGGTCGCCTCCTTCCCTGAGGGCCACGGCCGCCTGGGAGGCCGCCCGTCGCCACACGTCCCGTTCTGCGCGAGGCGCGGGGGGGCGCCCCAACAAAAAATCGATGAGGCGCGCGCGCAGGGGAAGGACGCGGCCCGCCACAAGCACGCACACACACACACACACACACACACACACATATTATTTATTTATATATTATATATATATATATATATATATATATATATATATATATATCCTCTTCCTATATTCTTATAAGCCCGGGCGGGGGGAAAACCCATCCCCCCCCAAAAAAAAACTGGACCCCCGGGATCTGGGGCTTTGGAACCCTCCAGACGGGCCTCGAAGCGGCCCCCCGGGCCTCGCAGGGCGTTTTGACAAGCCTTTGCAGCACACCTGGGGCGATCAGGGGGGTCATCGGAGACGTCCCGGAGACACAAGAGCGCTCCAAGAGTGACCGACGTGACCTCAAGATGGCCCAAGGCCTCCAGGAAGGCTCCAAAGAGGCCTCCAAGAGCACTCCCAAGAAGGCCCCAAGAGGCAAAAATCATTGATTTTCTGTTGGTTTTTGGTGAATTTTGGGGTTCTCCTCTTTTTGGCTTCCCGACGCTCCAAAACGGCGGTCTTCTGGGCGTCCGAAGCCGCCTGGGAGGCTCCAAAATCACCCCACAAACATCCGAACGGGCTTCCAGGCAGTCCAAGAGAGCCCCAAAACGGCACGACACGGGTCCAAGATGGGCCTCAGAGAGCCCCATGGCGGCCCAAGATGGGCCCAAGACACCCTCCGAAGCATTCCAAATCGTGACCCGGTCGTTCAGGGAGGCCGCGGTTAGAGGCAGGTTGGCCTTAGGAAGGCCCTCAGAGGCCCCGAGAACACACCCAGGAGGCCTCCAGAAAGCATTAAGAAAGCCTGAAACAACTTTTGTGAGGCCCCCAGAGGCTCTCCAAGGAGGAGCCTCCGCAATAAAGAGCTGAGGAGGATGGGGAGAATGCGCAGGGTATGGCGAAAATGAGGAAAAAGAAGCATGGAGGAAGGATAACGAATCACATTATTATAGCGGCGATGCCGGAAAAGGCAACAAGGAGTTATCGCTAAATTGTCGGCTTGACCTTCCTGCAATTCCGCCTGCATACCACACTTCAAGGCCCAAGGTGCATGGCGCGAAGCGCCACTGCAGTCTTGTATATATATATATATATATGCAGACATAAGACGAAGCCAGGACGAAAATTAAATCGGGTGAGGATGAATCAAGAATCTCTGAGATCTGGGGGCTCTGGAAGATGTCTCGGGCGCCGCGGCCTTCTCAGAGCGTTCCGGAACGCTCTGAGAGCGTTCCAGAACGCTCCGGACCGGTGTTAGCCTCGTCCTAGCCCAATCCGAAGACACCCTCCAACCGATTGCTCCTGGGAGGCGGTGCATAAAATCACCATTGAGAGCCAGGGACTTCATACACCGCCACCACCCCTTTTTCTGAAGGTGCATGCAAAGTTCGTCGGAAGGTTTCTGTATAATACAATATATATATATATATATATATATATATAAGGCTGCAACGGCGCTTCGCGCCATGCACCTTGGTCCTGGAAGTGTGGTATGCAGGCGGAATTGCAGGAAGGTCAAGCCGACAATTTAGCGATAACTCCTTGTTGCCTTTTCTGGCATCGCCGCTATAATAATGTGATTCGTTATCCTTCCTCCATGCTTCTTTTCCTCATTTTCGCCATACCCTGCGCATTCTCCCCATCCTCCTCAGCTCTTTATTGCGGAGGCTCCTCCTTGGAGAGCCTCTGGGGGCCTCACAAAAGTTGTTTCAGGCTTTTTAATTCTTTCAGGAGGTCTCCTGGGTGTATTCTGGGGGCCTCTGGGGGCTTCCTCGGGCCACCCTCCCTCCAACCGTGGTCTCCCTGAACGACAGGGTCACGATTTGGAATGCTTCGGAGGGTGTCTTGGAGCCATCTTGGGCCGCCATGGGGCTCTCTGAGGGCCATCTTGGACCCGTGTTGTGCCGTTTGGGGGCTCTCTTGGACTGCCTGGAAGCCCGTTCGACTGTTTGTGGGGCGATTTTGGAGCCTCCCAGGCGGCTTCGGACGCCCAGAAGACCGCCGTCTTGGAGCGTCGGGAAGCCAAAAAGAGGAGAACCCCAAAATTCTCAAACCCCCCAAAAAAAACAGAAAACTAATGAGTTTTGCCTCTTGGGGCCTTCTTGGGAGTGCTCTTGGAGGCCTCTGTGGGGCCGTCCTGGAGGCCTCTTGGGCCATCTTGAGGTCACGTCGGTCACTCTTGGAGCGCTCTTGTGCTGTCTTAGGGGTCTCTGGGACGTCTCCGATGACCCCCCTGATCGCCCCAGGTGTGCTGCGAAGGCTTGTCAAATTGCCCTGCAAGGCCCGGGGGCCGCTTCGACGCCCGTCCGGAGGGTTCCAAAGCCCCAGATCCCGGGAGTCCGGTTTTTGGGGGGGGGGTGATGGCTTTTCCCCCCGCCCGGGCTTATAAAAATATAGGAAGAGGAATATCGAAACCAATTGCCCTAGCCAGCCCAACCAGCCAACCCAACCAACCAGCCACCCAAACAACTCAACCGGCTCAACCAGCCCAACCAGCCACCCCGCAACCCCAGCCAACCCGCCACCCCGCCAACCCGCCCACCCCCGCCGCCTGCCCTCCGTCACCGTCGAGAGGAGGGGGGGGAAGTGTTTCTCACAAGCGAAAACCACAAAAATCACCCTCCCAGGGTCCGGCGGGACAGCGGGGGGAGGGGAAATCGCGCCGTACTATGCGGGAGCGGGATTCGCGCCCGAGGTGCCCAAATACGATTTGGGGCCTCAAATGCGACACTGTCGTCACTTTATTACCTTTCACCGCGCTCCCCTTCTCAACGGAAAGGCTCCCATCCGTGAAACTGTCGTCATTTTTCAGCCCCCGCGAGAAGCTTCTTAGAGGCCCCCAGAGGCTCCGGGAGGGCCCATGGCGGCCTCGGGAGTGCCTAGGAGACCTCTGGAGGGCCCCAGGAGGACCCACTCTGCACCGCGCCCCCCTTCTCAACGCAAAGGCCCCCATGCGTGAAATTGTTTTCATCATTCCGCCCCCGCGAGAGAGTTCTTAGAGGGCCCACGGAGGCTCCAGGAGGGCCCATGGCGGCCCCGGGAGAGCCCACGAGATCTCAAGAGCCCCCCCGAGGACCCACTTTGAATTACACTCAGGGAGCTCCAGAGGGCCCAGGAGGCTCCAAGAGGCCCCAAGAGGCCCCGAAGAGCCCAAACAGGCCACAGGACCCCCAGCACGCTCTAGGAGAGCCACGGCGACACCAAGAGGCTCCAGGACGGGCGTCATTCCCTCTCCTCCTCCTGCTCGTCGTCGTCATCCTTCTCCTCATCCGTCCTGCTTCAAATCCTTCCTCCCCCTCTTCCTCCTCCTTTTCCTCCTCTTTCTCCTCCTCCTCCTCCGCCTCCTCGTCTCCTCCTCCTCATCCTCCTACCTCATCCGTAGCCTCCATGGCTCCGATAGCGCCGTGCGCGAGATCCGCCTCCTCCCCATCCGTCCTTCTCCCTCCTCCCTCCTCCTTCCCTCCTCCCTCCTCCCCTCTCTCCGGAGCGTCACAAAGAGGCCCTCCGAGGATAATTTCACGACAACAAGGGCGCCGACCCGATGAACAGACACCACGTCGGGGCTCTGGGAACGGAGTCGAAGACGAAACCTCGCATAACTTAGTCTTCGATGTTCGTGGCATTTTTCTAACCACCTGCGAGCCTTGTGGAAACTTCCTAGAGCCTCAGGGGTGGGCGTCTAGCGCAAGAACACGAGT